TATATTAAGTGACCCGCGAATTCTTGTGGGTGCAACCTCCGAAAGGAAAAGTGGCACCGCCTGTAATCAATCCATTAATTACATGGAATTAAATTTATGAATATTATGTGTTCAAACTACAAATCCTTATAATGGAAATTAAGATAAGATTAAGAGTTAATTGAACCTGGTTTGCAAAACCAACTCCACAACCAAGTAAGATCCTGCCAATGATAAGCATGGCAAGGTTAACAGCTGCAGCATTGAAAACTGTTCCGACGAGGAAGAAAATCCCCGCCATCAACATGGTTAGCTTTCGGCCTAGCGATTTGGTTGTGTAGGACGCAACGAAGGTAGCTACCAAAGCAGCGAGGTACAATGAAGACGTGAACAGCTGCAACCCCTGATTATCGTATTTACAGTAATTGCTTTCAAGTCCAGGCTGGCTGTTCTTCTTATACACTGTTGGGAAGAATTCCCTCAGGAACTCCGGCATGGATGTAACACCCCCTGCATGATCAATTATAATTTGATCATTAGACTACAATATAAATTAATTATGTTTACATACGTAGTATCAAATAATTTTTAATTAATTGTGTTTTAAGTAAGACCAATATATAACCATTTGCATGCATGCATGCATGAAAACATAGCTAGCTAGCTCTTTGTTGCTACATACGTACGTACCGGAAATACCAACGTCATAACCAAACATGAGGCCTCCGCTGGAGGCCAATATGCAAGAAATGATCACAAGAGGCGTGATCTTTGCCTCAAAGTCTCCTCCTCCCGTCCCCGTCCCAAATCCACCACCCGCCATGGTTTCTGCTTCTTAATCAATTTAGAACTCGAACTTACTTCGTTACACTTTAATTCTTAGTATCTAATTACACAAGTATTTTGCATTTATTATATATATATATATATATATATATATCTACTGGATGACCTCTATCAAACTGAAGAAGAAAGGGAAGAAGAAGAGACTTTGCTCGGTGAAATGAGGTGTGTGTTCTTCAGGGGCTTATATACCAGACGACCTGAAGACCTGAAGGCGACGGAGAGTGAACCACGTAGAAAATGGATGACTGTCGTGATTTAGTAAGTTCCATGGACAGGACCTTTCCACATTGGATGGTCAACTGTTGATGTACGTACTCTTCATTCTTGTTGCTTCGCTTAGTCTTAGTCGTCTTGACCAAGATATATTTACACACCCCAAAATTCGATCCTCATCCACCTCAAATTAATTATCGGCTCAAATATTTCTAAACGTCTCTATTTTACTAATTTTATGGTTTATATTTAAGACCTCTATTTATAAACCAAGTTTGTTTTGTTTTAACGATGTAAGTGAAATGATGCATTGAACTATTTATGTATATTTTTTATTTTTTGTAATTTACGAACCACATTTCTTTAAAGTGAGATCTACTTTGTATAGATGTATCACATGTTATCAGATACGTTGCAAATAATCTGATAAGTATGATATAAAGTTATATTCTCGATAGAGAAATCTCACAGAATCATGAACCTTGGAATAGATTCAAAACAATGAAGTAATAAATTGGAATCACGACTGTGCGCTGGAGCACAAGGGACTAGTGCCAGCACCCTTGAATTGATGCTGCAACAAAAAAAAATCTTCCTCTTTTTACTTTTTCTTTTGCTCCTTTTTCGTTTTTTCGATCGACCTAAAAATATTCGGCATATTATTTTTCCAACAATCTCCCGCCAACACTTCGTTTGAGCTGCAACTTTCTGAATTCCTAATTTGCTCCCTTCAAAATAGTGGACAAAAATAAAGATAATGGTAGGGCTCAGGGATCCCATCGTTGAGCTTAACGATTCCACCAACTGATGTCCAACTAACTTCTCCAAGATAATTATAACTTACAAGACAATTTGCTTTTGTAATCAGTAGATGCTTGTCACTTCTGTAGGGAAAGGGAAAAAAAAAAAAAAAAAAAAAAAAAAAAAAAAAAAAGAGAATGTGAATGCTTGAATGGTGCTAAGTGGACAAGAGTATAAGTTCTTTTGAAATAATCCACGTACAGTTCATAGCCAGACCAGAAAAAGAAAGGCCCAATTAGTGAAGTCATAATTGCAGGCGTCTCATTGGAAGACAAGCAACAGTTACAACTAATAGTGGCTGCACCACAAAAGCTGCTTAATATTGGTTCAACCTCAAGACTTCTAAAATAAGTCTATTTATTTATGAACAGTTGAAAGTTCGAGCTTTGTGAAAAAGTAGAAAAAAGTCATGCATCTTATACCTCCCAACCTTTCGGCCGCGGACATGAGCATCCGTACGTTTCCTTCTTTACTTTCACGAATTTTCCCGTGAACAAAGTCTATGTCTTTGTTTTTATCCTTATCCAAAACCAACAACGAAAGTCTAGACTTCCAAATCCAAAACCTTGCCTTGCCATTTGCATGGTTTTTGAGCATCTAATTAAATTAAAACGGTCAACTTTGGTGCCTCCCAAAAGTATACATCAACCCTCACGCATTCTTGGCGGCCCACTGTCCCTCTCAATTCTCCCTGAGGTCATCGTTTAACGTCATTTCTTTTCAATTTTTTATATTTTTTGTTCACATTTCTTTTTGAACCTTTTGATTAACTTTTTTCTTTTGTTTAAAGAAAAAAGGGCAAACACAGGGGTTTACCGAGGTGATCAAAATAAAGTGCCGGCTAAATGATATGGTTGTTGTGTAAGAAGCTTGTAGCTCAAGTGATTAAGAGCATTTACATCTGCACTTGAGGTCCTATGTACGAATTCCTTTTCCCCAATATTGGTTTTTTCAAAGGGGGGTGTGTTTTGTTTCTTTTTGGCCAGAGACATTCTGCCATTGTAAACTCTATTTTCCCAAAACTACAAAATCACATGTTTCAGGTGATACATGTGAACACACACCAAAATAGGGGAAGATAACAGCAAAATAATCATCTGATTTGCCATGTGAATTGGAGGAATACAATAATATTCTAAGAACACGCCAAGCAGTGAGATTTGGATGCTGGATTTGCCAATTTCTACTCTTTTAATAAATAAAAAAAGGAAATGGATAATAATAAAAGTCTTGTATTGCGGATTCAAGAAAAGTATTCCACATTTATTCTATAATATTTGTGGAGTTTGCGCATTTTAAATCTTGGGTCCATGGTTGAGTCACCGCAAGATCAGCCTGACTTGTTTTATTTCAACGGTTCTATTGAGGTTGCCGAATTTATTAAAACAAAACTATATTTTATCACCCACATGAGATATCACCAACAATATTAAAAATAGAAAACTATATGACATTTAAAGATGACTAGTAGTGGCGGAGTTTGAAGCTAATTTATGGCGGGCCATGGCCATAACAGGCTCGTATGTGGTTTCGCCTCTAATGACTAGATTACCAATTAAAATTATTATTTTAGAGAAATTATTTGGTTTTTAATTTCCTTTTGGGTCCTACAGTAAAAGCATTAATTTGGTGGGAATTCCAATATTGTATATTTGACCAAATGAACAATAGTCCTATTTTGGATGATTATAGTTTTTTGCTAGTCTAGTTTGTTTCAGTGCGTTTTTATTGCTCCTTACTACTTGATCAAAACTTTACTACTAAACTAGCTCGTATCGAAATGATATAGTGTACAAGTTCACCCAAATTATTACACGTGCATGTAAGCAATAATATTGAAATTATAACGAACCCTAAATCTAGCATACCTTGAAAGTTTGAAGTTGCCTTGATTCTGAAATAATATTCAACCCAGCAGCAAAAGAGGTGGCTAATTAATCTTGTGATATTTGGTCTTATTAAACTGACTTGAACTTTGCTAGGGAGGTAAGGCGTTACGTATAGCACTGTGTAAGGTTCAACGGTGGGAAATGAAAGCCATCAATTTGTTGAACCACAATTTGTCGTCGTCTATGTCATGTATCAGAAAAAATAAAATAAAAACAAACTGTGTCATGTACGTAAAGCTTTATATTCGTTTTTAGTGTCTGAACGCCTGTCGTATTGGCAATCTGTTCATGATGTCGACGGACTGATCATAAAATTACATGTGCAATTTTGAATTCGAAAGGCATATTTAAATTGAGCATAAATAATATAGGAAACATCCATGATTTCCACGAACCTGCATCATTGCACATGTGGATATAGGGGCACGTCGACCTCTGGAATTTTAGGTTTCTGTGTTAATCCTCCTTCATGGATAACCTAGTTGATGACATTCTCTTATTAAGTTGACCAAAAGAAGCATTTGAAAAACAGAAAAAGAAGTCAATTGGGAACTTGCTTGCCCCAAAAAAAAACAAATTGATACCAAAAATTCAAATGATCTTAGTACTTTAATGAAGCGTAAGAAGAGTCGGTCCTGAAATTTTGGAGGCTCGGGGCCATACCCAAAAGAAGACCTTACAACCATAAAAAGATATCTATGCCTTACAAAAAATTCACTTCACTTGTTTGAATGGCTAAATTTTTTAGGACTCGAACTTTGATATGGTTCGAGTAAAGTCAAAGGCAAACCACTACTTCAAGAGCAACTTTAAGAAATCTTGATGTCGTAATTCTAAATTGGATTTAGTATGAACATGATAATTAATTTTTTAGAAAAAACCCATTAGCATGCAAGTTTTTATTTTGGTCTAAACCCATTAACATTGGGATTGGTGGGTGCACAGGAGAACTTTAGAATACTTATTACAGGAGATATTGTTTTTGTTGACTGCGGACCAGCAAGCCAGGGAGCAAGACGTCAACGAGTGAACAGAGAACGCCATCCGTCCGTGTCAATACACGTGGACAAATCTCAACGGTGGTGCCCACTGCACGATCCAATTCGTACCTCGTGCTTTCTTTCATGCCTCGTCCTCTATATAAACCCCCCTCGTCTCCATAAAATCTCATTCGCACTACCACTCATCTCTCTCTCTCTTCTTCTTCTTCCTCCTCTTGGTTTCAGAAATTAACAGAAACTAAAGTTACGTTTTGGTCTTGGTTCATCGGCAATGGCTGGTGGAGGGTTCGCGGCCAGCTCGGCCGGGCAAGAGTTCGAGGCGAAGATCACGCCCATCGTCATCATCTCGTGTATAATGGCGGCCACCGGAGGGCTCATGTTTGGCTACGACGTCGGCGTTTCAGGTAAAAATTAACTTCGCCTGACGAATCATTTGGGCTTGGTGTGCTTAGATCTTGCTGGTTCAGCTACTCTGGTAGATGGACTTTGAGGGCATTGTTTGGTTAGGGTTCAATGCGTTAATATTGTGCTTGATTAAATAATTCATGTATTTCTTCACTTTTAGTAAACAAAACCACTTTTAGTCAATTCCGGTGAAAGCAGCAAAAGAAAGTTTCTATTTTTATAATGGAAAAGGGAGAATTTTTTTTGTTCAAATTATTATTTTAATGAAGCAAAAAGTTTCTATTTTTATGTTTTCTGCTGTTCAGTGACGAAAAATAAAATCGCTTTCCAAAAATAACAAGTGGTTAATTTTGGATTTTTCGCACGAAATACTCTATGTGAGTTTTTGTATAATATCATGTTAATATGGACTTATTTATAAAAATCTAAAACAAAAAATTGCATATCATGTATGTTTTCTGAAATTTTCCAAATTCATGAGAAACTTGTGAGTGCTTTCTGGTTGAGTTTTGGGATAAATTAAAGTTACCAAATGTGATCCATTTTTGGGCCAATGGGATTTAAGGAGTTTTTTTTATTTCCCACCTTCTTCTTCTTTTTTCGGCTTTTGTCGCTCCCGCCAAATTGGGAATCCAAGCAGACATGACTAAATCATGAGTCGAGTCGAGGCCTTATTATGCATCAGCCATCATCACACCCGTTGACTACCATCACCATGTGCTGCTTTGATTTCCAAGTTTTGAAAAATGACCTTTATACCCTTTTGTTGCAGGTGGAGTTACATCCATGTCCCCGTTCCTGAAAAAGTTCTTCCCTGTTGTGTACAGGAGGACGCAGGAGCAGGAGGGGGTCAACAGCAATTACTGCAAATACGATAACCAGGGCCTGCAGTTATTCACGTCGTCGCTTTACCTTGCTGGTTTAACGGCGACGTTCGCGGCTTCCTACACAACCAGAAAGTTTGGGCGAAGGCCGTCTATGCTCATCGCTGGCGTGTTCTTTATAATCGGGACAATTCTCAATGGCGCAGCTCAAGACATTGCCATGCTCATCATTGGCAGGATCTTACTTGGTTGTGGAGTTGGGTTTGCCAATCAGGTCAGTTCAGTTTTCAATTTTGTTCATAATTAGGTATTTTTTAAACTTGAGATAGTCTAAACTACTCTAAGTTAATCTACTTTACGGGAAAAGGAAATTCAAATTTGTGTGTGAGAGAGGTTGGCTCACTATCCTGGCCAACCGACCTAACTCACCTCTCTTGCAATACCATAATACCAAATTTAATTTTATGGGTACGTAATCTGTGTGGGGACCGAGTGTGGTGTAACCTGAAAACGCGTTCTTTAGCCTTGTCTCTTGCCATACCGACACCATATAAGTATTGGGTCCATTCCTACTTCTGTAATAAGTCTAATTTGATTATAACATTTCGTAGGTGTAAATTGACCAGTGACTTAGACACCTCACCTTGTTATAATTAAGAATCAAAGAAAGGGGTGGTTCAGTTAATAAATTTTTCTCAAAATATCATAGCAAAATATTCTTATGTGGCTTATAAAATATATGTTGGTTGTAAACGCTTAGATTGGAAGAGATGTATGCTCATGAACATGATCAAATCAGAAGCCATGGCCCATGGGCATCTTTATTTCTGTGCTTTTAAAGTCATTTTCTTTGCAAGTCACAATCATCCACACGGTTTTACAACTCTGTTTACTTTAAATATATTCTCGTGTTTTGACGTTTGTACATGTGGTCACCATGAGACTTCTTTGCTATTTTGTGGATAATTTCTTTAAGAAGACATAACAGATAACGATAAGGGGACTTGGAGTTATCCAGAGAGGCCGCCCGCACCCAATTTCTTTGCATCTTTTTCGATTCATTTTTTTTATACCAAAAAGTCGTGAATTTCTTTGTGAAATAACGTGAAAATGTTGACCTTTCTTGTTCCAATGTTTTCTAGCTGGTCCATGACTATGTGATCTACATGCCCAAATTGTTTATCTTATCCTTTTGTAATTATTATGACCTTAAATTCAACCACTTATGTACCAAGGGTTGGCGCTGGATGATTATTTAAATAAATAAAAAAAGGCATCCTTAAGGCACAATGCATATGAACCCAAGTGGATTCTGTTGGGGGGGATTTTCTCTCTCTGTTTAACAACTTAATTACTTGTTTAATATGTATTTTTGAACTTATTTAATCAAAAAGACCAAACTAATCCTGTTACAACTACAACAAGTTGATATATATGTTTCAGAAAAAAAAAAAAAAAAAAAAAAAAAAAAAAAAAAAAAAAAAAGATAAACTATATCCAGAAAAACTATTGGTGGTCTGCTTTTCTTGTTCAATAATCATTCAATTTTCATGTTACTTACAGGCTGTGCCACTGTTCCTTTCGGAGATTGCACCTACAAGAATCCGTGGAGGGCTAAACATACTGTTCCAGCTCAATATCACCATTGGCATTCTATTTGCAAGCCTCGTTAATTACGGCACCAATAAGTAAGTCAGCTTCTCCCTAACTTGTTCATGTTTTGTGTATTTGCTGAATGTATAGGAAATGGTTTCTTTGACATCATAGTACTGCTCAGAATGAAAGAATTATTGGTCAAAAATTAATAAGATAAAACAAAAGATCCATTAATGTAGTCGTTTTGGAGCAAATGCTCCTCTAGAAAAGGTCATGTGTTCAACTTCTAGTATCCATATAATGTGTGTGAATTTAATAAGTTATCGCTCTCTCAATATGAAAAGATCTTAAAAAATAATTTAATAAGATTAAAAAAAAATAGTATATGTTGTAAATTGAAAGACAAGAGTAGCTGTGTGGAAATAACAGTACACGTGTTGTTGATCCGAGAGAAAACATTACACGTGCCCATAAATTACATGCAAGATGTTGAACGTTCTGTCAAATTTTATATGTTAGTATAAATGCTGCTCTGTTGGACTATTGGGATTTTAGCACTCAAAGTCAACAATTTGGCTCATCAAATAAACTATCAATTAATAGACTGGTGAAACTAACGATAGATGAGTATCTGTCTGAGGGAGGGAGGGAGGGAGGGAGGGTTGTTCTATTAAAATATGCATTTGAATAATAGATAGGATCTTGATTTGTGGGATTTACAAGGTTTTCTAATCAAGAAGTGTCTCTATGGTACCTTATGACAAAAAAGGGTGGGTGTTAGTTAACAAAGACGTGTAAGATATTCTTTTCAGCTTACAAATTGTTTGACCTCCTTTTCTATTATCTTATTCATATTCAGATGGCTCAAAAATTTCAATCTTATAACGTCTCCAAGTCAATTTGAGGAATTCATACATGATCAAAGATTCAAAGCTGTTCATTTTGTATAGGTCATTCATTTGGGCATTTGGGATGCCTCGTTGTCCCTAGGAATATCATGAGATAGGGAAAGTCCATAGAAAATATCAATTTTAATTTATGTTATTTCATTGCATGTGAAATTACCACTGTCTCCTTTACTTTTTGGATCACAAAAAGTGTCTAGTTAATGGTTTATTTTGTCTACTTAACAATTTTCCATGAAAACTTTCATATAGCACATGTATTTTGTAAATGCTGACTATTTTGCATACTGTTGATGAACTTCCTTGATTAACAGAATCACAGGAGGATGGGGCTGGAGGGTGTCATTGGGGTTGGCTGGTCTTCCTGCTGGTCTCCTAACCTTGGGAGCCCTTTTGGTGGTGGAAACTCCCAACAGTCTTGTAGAGCGCGGTCTCTTAGAAGAAGGAAAAGCTGTACTTAGGAGGATCCGGGGCACTGATAATGTGGAACCAGAGTTCTTGGAACTTGTTGAGGCTAGTCGCATTGCTAAAGAAGTGAAGCACCCCTTTAGAAATCTCTTAAAGCGTAGGAATCGCCCCCAACTTATCATTGCAGTAGCCTTGCAGGTTAGTAATTAACAGAATGCCTTTTCGCACTAAACCGAATTTTAAAAAAAATTCAATTAGTACTAGTATGCTGATTTTCTTTCTTGACTGAAACTTCTCTGCAGATCTTTCAACAATTTACTGGCATCAACGCAATTATGTTTTACGCACCAGTCCTATTCAACACATTAGGATTTGGCAGCGACGCTTCCCTCTACTCAGCTGTTATAACAGGGGCCGTCAATGTTCTCTCCACTGTTGTATCCATCTACTCAGTTGATAAAGTAGGCCGTCGCATGCTGTTACTGCAAGCCGGAGTTCAAATGTTCCTGTCTCAAGTGGTTATAGCCATAATACTAGGAATCAAGGTCAAGGACCACTCTGATGACCTTCACAAGGGCTTTGCAATCTTTGTGGTGGTTCTGATTTGCACTTATGTAGCTGCATTTGCTTGGTCTTGGGGACCTCTAGGTTGGCTGATACCTAGTGAGACATTCCCTCTAGAGACCCGCTCAGCCGGGCAAAGTGTGACCGTCTGCACCAACTTGCTCTTCACTTTTATCATAGCACAGGGCTTCCTCTCAATGCTTTGCCACTTCAAGTTTGGCATCTTCCTCTTCTTCTCCGGCTGGGTCTTAATCATGTCATTCTTTGTGCTGTTCCTGCTCCCGGAGACGAAAAACATCCCAATTGAAGAAATGACAGAGAGGGTATGGAAGCGGCATTGGCTTTGGAAGAGGTTCATGGATGACTACCACATTGAAGGAAATCAGATTGCTGGAGATGACTTGAAGAAAAACGGGCATGCTAATGGATTTGATCCTGTTTCTCAGCTATAAATTAGCAGGGTTTTGTCTACACGAAATAGTAAATACATCGCTTAGATATATCTAAACAATATTATATATATATATATATATATATATATTATTTCCAATGTCATTAATTAACCTTCCTCTGTTTCAAGGGGAAGGTCATGTATTGAAAAGCTTTATGCGTTGCATTTGTTCATCTTATGCGTATGTGGAATTTCTTACAACATAACATTGTTTTGCTCAGAATCGATACTCATTGATAGTAGCTTTTAGTATACAAAGCTAATTTACATGAAAAATCTCTGTTTTCAATTTTTTTTTTTACGTTTTCGGTTCTCTTTCAAGGCACTCGCTAGTATGAAGGGTCATTTCCCCTGCAATTAGTCTTGCCTGTGATGTGAACCATTCACAAAAGGGAAGAATGACTGGTAAAGCAATGCCAACGGATGGCGATTGGTTTGTTTTGGCCTTCACCCTCGCAAAGAAACAACTTCATATCATACCCCAACGAATATATCCAAACTAGTACCCAAAAGCCAAAACAACTTAAAAAATCTGTTTAATCTCAAAAAGATCTTTCACTCAATAGCAACATGACATCCCAAAAACAAAGATGAAGGAATACGAAAGAAGAAAATTCTGGTTTGCTACTTATGATGCCCCTTTAGACCTAAAAACACTTAATAAATTTCCATAAATGGATCAGAAGAAATTAATTTACTACTCTTTCCCTCCGTCATAGTTTCTAGCAGCTGCCATGGCTTTGGGAGTGTGAGTCTTGGCTCTAGAGTTGGTGATAATGGTTGTGCCGCAGGTATCCCATGCAGCTGTTTACAGGTTTGGAGACTTCTCTGGATGGACCACTCCGGCTGCTACTAAGAATTTCCATGTTGGTGAGATATCACCGAGTTTTATCACATCACAATTTTCTCTTAATATCCATATTTTAGTGAAGAAAAATTAGATTGTTATCAATATTGGGATCTGAGGACGAGACAGATTATAATAACATTATAAATTTATACTCTTCTTAACTATTCTTTAAAGAAGCAATCAAACAAGCCAAAACGAGGTATAGTCTAGTGGAAAATGGCATTAACTTGCAGACTGTGTTTTCCCAATTCAGAGTATGATGACATGCCAGATATCTCATAAAAGATTGCTCCTCTTGATTAGTAACTACATTATTTTGGTGTTATTACCTTCTATAAAACAAATAATTTGTTTAGTATTGGGTCAAATTAACTCAAAAATTAATATGATGGTGCAAAGCAAGGTTTTGCTTCTTGCCCTTATTTTTTTCACATACTTATATGGTCATTCAACAGCTTCTTCTCCTTCCCTACCGGCCTCGGCTGGTTTGAACGACGAAATACGCCGGTATCAGCTGAATAATTTGGGCCGTGTTCTTCTTGATGAGGAAGTGGACTCTCATCATCATCATCCTCTTGAAAGAACAATTTTTTTGACATTTGGTATTAGGGACCCCATTCCTGAAGACGAACTGATGGGCTAAAAATTTCAATCAATACTAAGCAAGTAACTATATATATATATATAAAAGAAAAAGAGAGGTTTTCTGGCCTAAAAATAACCTGAAAAAAGTTTTCAATTCCCCGCTTCGTTATATATAAGGTTTTTTAGGTTTTAAACATAAAAAAAATTTCACTTTTGGAAAAAGCCAAAGCTTTTTCAAAGAAGACAAAAAAACCGCTCAACTTTCAAATCAAAGACATGCAAATGTATTGGATTCCTTAGGAAATCTAAAAATAAATAAGGGCATTTTTGTCCATTTTTGCTTCTTTTAAAATTTCTCTCTCCTTTTGCTTTTTCCAAAATGTCCCTTATATATATATACCGAGCTTCTGCATTTACAAAAAGTACTAATATAACTTTCAAGCCCGTAAAGGAAAAATTAGCTTCTTTTGAATTTATCCTAACGTCATTCTCTCCCATTCTCCATGACCTAGTTTTAAACAAAATGTTTTTTGAGAATCCAATTTACTCCGGTTGAAATTTAAACTATCTCGCTTGAATTAAGTCATGTTGGACCAACCCAATTTTTACGAGAAAAATGTAATGAGAATAATAGAAGATTGGAAGGTATTTCCTCTTTCTTGGATTGGAAGGTTGAAAATATAATTTGCCATCCCCTTTAACCATCACCCTGGCAGAGAAAAGAAAATTTTCCTTCTCAAACCAACATCCAAGAGCCACTTGCAAATCATTATATCCATAAGCCAGAAGAACTTAAAAACTCTCCCCAATTCCTGAAAGAACTTTTTCATAACAGTAAAATGACTCCCCTCTGAGAAACCCCCCCAAAAAAAAGGAAATAAATTCTTGTTTACTGCTTCGTCTAACACTCCATCCAAATAAGCATAAATTCCTTTTTTTTTGTCCAAGTTCTAATCTTCAACAAGTTGCAAGGGCAATCAGTCCAAAATCTTTATAAATCCTACAGGGCAAAGTCCCCTGATCTGATCCTCTCAACTCTCATCTCAGTCTGAAAGTTTCTAGCAGCAGCCATGGCTTTGGTGGTAAAAGTCTTGGCTCTAGTGGTGGTGATGATGGCTATGTATATATAAAATATACTTTGATTAATTAGTATCTTTGATGATCTGTATGCATGTGTGTGTATATATATATATATATATATATATATATATATCATGGATCGCATGTTGAATATATATTAGCTTACATTGGTACAAATTACTTAAGTTCCTTCATATATATATATATATATATATATTTATAAATGAATGTTGGTTTTATTTATCATTTTGGCAGGAGGTTCGGAGAAGTTAAAGCTGTCTACATGCAAAATGTTGAGAAACCTCGCTTTGCCCGGCTTGTTTTTCATTCTGCTTCCGCCGTTGAAGCTGTCTTTAATGGGAGAAAAAAGGTCGTGTTCTCCATTAATGAGAAGGATGTTACAGCTAGGAAAACTCTTCCTACGTACGCATAGCCCCTCATCATAAATAACCACCAAAATCAGTATCAGAAACCCCATGGCCAACATCACAAGCACAAACCAATAATAAGTTCCTCTGCGGCCACTGCATGCGCACCCTGATGATCAAGGGACATTTTTGCTTCGCTAGGACTGGGAATTGCAACTCTGATAGTTTTTGTTTGTAGTCTTGCTTCCTTCCTAACTTATATATATGGAATGCGTGTGTCTCAAGTTTATTGCTTTATAAGGTTTTTAATAAGGAACTTTTAAGGTGGCTTAGTTGTGATATTTCCGTACTTGACAAACATTTTTGTACCAATAATGCTAAATTGGGCAAAAGCCACGGACATATGGGCATGAATAAGTTACATTTGTGCTATTTATATATATAACACAAATACTTGTGCTGAATTCGTGCACATAAGGCATGATTTTAAATTTGGCACAAGAAACAGTGCCCTATGTATTATGTAAGTACAATTTGACTCATTCTTTAAGTTTTTAAAAAAAAATTTATTTGGATAAGCATAAAATATTTGTGTCTTTATCTGACAGATTTGACATATTTTAGGCACAAAATCCATCTTATATGCCCAATATTTATTAGAATTTACATGGGAAGTAATTTTTTATTTTCCAAGTATGCTTTTATTTGATAGATGTGACATGCTAGACACAAAAACCATTTTGTGCCCAATAATTTATAATAATTTACTTTATTTTCAAACTCTTTTAATGTTTCATTTGCATAACAAAAATTTGAAACCGGCTTCCACCTGAAGTTTGTTCTTTTTCTTCTTTTTCTTCTTTTCTTTTTTTTTTTTTTTTTTTTTTTTTTTTTTTTCTCTTTTGGGGCTTTGGGGGGGCAATCCACCCTCAAGTTTAAAAATTTAAACTCTAAAAAATATCTCACCCATCACTCTCCTTTTTTAAGCCATTTCCCCCTCCCCCTCTCTGTTTCTCTGAGCCACCATCAAAACTTCTCTTCACCATCTCCATGCCACCTTCGCCAGCGCATATACATGAGATCGACGTCATGCCGCCACCATCCAAAGTCGCCTCCACCAGCACATATCAGAGAGACTGACCACTTCACCCACATGCACCTGCACCCTCACAAGTACTAGGCTGATTTAGGGGGGAAAAGGCAATGGGCAGAGGCTGGTGGTTATAGGGCTTGATTCTATGGTGTGTTTGAAAATTGTGACGATCTGAAAATTAGGGTTGGGCTGCTGGGTGTTATAGGGCTTGATTCTATGGTGTGTTTTGACATTGCGACGATATGAAAATTAGGGTTGGGCTGCTGGGTGCATAGGGCATATTTGGGAGGAGAAAGAGAAATAGAAGGTGGAGATGTTGGCGAGAGTGAAGAAGTGGTCGTTGTTTGGATGGTGGAGGGATATGAGTTGGTGATGGTGGAGAAAGAGAGAGGAACTGAGCTGATTTAGATGTGGAGGGATATTTGATGTGGCAGTGGTTGAGAAACAGAGAGATGGAGAATACAGGCGGCTGTGGTGGAGAGATATAAAATAGGTGGTATAGGTTTTTTCTTTTTTCTTTTCTTGCAATTATACCTTTTTTTCATAAATAATTACATTGGACGCGAATGAATGATTCGTGTGTATGTGCAAAAGTCAAATCATAAGCAAGAATCAATGTCGTCAAAACAATGCCACACAATGTCATATATGTGCCCAAAACCATTGAGTTTTAGGGCACGGAAAAGAATAAATGTGTTTTTTAAGCAATGGAAACTCTTATACATGAAACTGACTTATTTATTGTGATTGCGCCGTGGAAATTATCATAAAGCACGAATAATTGTGCCTTTTTGGGTCAAAAAGCACAAATAATATAGGTGCCCAAAGCCACATACTGTAGTAGTGCACCTCTCTAATAGAGGTGGCCCTATCAGTGTACATGGAGCCCACGTGTATTAGAGAGGTGGTTAGCAATATGGTCAGTAAATGTGGTCCAAATAGCAACACATTTTTTTGTGTGGTACATATTGCAGAACTCTCTAATAAACTCAATTTATACATTGTGTATTAACTTGACTCATTCTCATAGCATTCACAGTAGGGGGTGTATTTTCAGAGGTGTAAAGCCACTTTTAAATCCCCTTTACATCTCTAGGGGTTGTAAATGTAGTTTTTGCTCCAATGGAAAAGATGTAAATCTAAATATGTATAATTGATTTTTTTTTGTCTTAATTCATTTTTGTGTTAAATTTTTGTTTTGTACTAACTTTATAAAATTATTTTTTTGTGTATTAGGTTAATTTTATTTTTTCAAACAAATAGACCTAAAAATATTTAAATTCGGAGGAGATATGATTTCATTCCAAAAAAAATTAAAGCTGGCTGTTTTTTAAAATTAAAGTTGTTGGTCCAACAATGTAGCCGTTGGAGAGGGGGGAGAGATGACAACCAAAAAATGGGCTCACATATGAATTTTGATCCAGCAACTTTTTTTGCTGACTTTTCTCCACTTTATCTCTTTTTTTATCAATTGAGTCCCACCTGCAAGAGATGTAAAAAAAAATGTACATGTACATCTAAATTTGCATCTCATAGTGGTGATGCAAATTTACACGTGTTTACATCTCCCCATTTCAGGTGATTTTGAATAAAATAAAATTCAAAATACTAAATTATATTCGATACCGGGACAAGTTTCTGTTAAAAAAAAGTTGCACTTATTTGTAGAAACGTGTGAGACACCCTTGGTAGGAGAACAAATACGGAACAAACTTAGAGAGAGAATACATGGTTTCGGATTGTTACAACCTCTCTTTTCATATTGAATATTAAGAAAAGTGTAGTGCCGAGAGCACACTTTGCATTGCACCCTCTGTTTTTTTTTTTGCTTTCTTTTGCATTTCAATTTCAAATCTTGATTATATGCTGGATTAAAAGGTAAAGAATATATTAAACACGTGCATGTAGCATCTTATAAGGAATTGTACAAAGCAAGGCTGTTCTTCTCCCATGTACAAAGCAACATTCTCAACTGCAAAGAATTATAATGGTAGGCGATCGTCATCATGCAACTCACCAATAACAACAAAACTTTTTGTACAAATTTACATAAACAAAAACTTTACTCATAGGATGGCACAAACATTCGCTCTTTCTAACCAACATAACCCAACATCCTTTCCTTTCAAGTCCTTCAATCTTACAGTCGGTAGTCCCAAACAAGAAGATGATGCGCCAATCTGTTTACATGGGTTAGTCAATTGAAAAGAAAAAGAGAAAGTGTGAGCATCATGTGCTCGTCCAGGTTATTGTAATAATTCCATATATATTCTTCGATAATCGAAAATTATTTGGTCATTATATTGAAGAATGTAAAGTCTCATATTGAAAATTCAACAAAATAAATACAATATATAATGGGCGGTTCCACTGCTAATAATACCAAGTCATATACCTACTGATGAATTTTGCAGGTCTGATTAAGTTACCGACAATATCAGTATTGGCCATTGGTCCGTATCCGTCAACATAGAGGATAACACTTGAACAGAATGATGTATGTATTATTTTTTCCAAGAAGTTGATGACTTAGATGGTATCATTATTATATTACATGGAATAAAATATAGAAGATTGAAAATTATCTCCTCTTCTTTGGATTGAAAGGTCATTGTATTCTACCAAACCAAGAATTTACAAGCCCGACGACAATGCCCTTTTCCAACAAATCAGAGCCACTCATCTGAATAATATGGCCATAGTTTTGTTCTGACCTTCATCCCATCAGATTCCTTCCCAAGCGAATACCCAAAAGCCCACTACCAAATTACCAGTATACAAAAGCCAAAAGAAATATAAATAACTCTCCCAATTCCAAAAGTATTTTCTCCAAAATTGAACACAAATGTTAGAAAAAGAAATTCTGATTTGCTGCTTATAATGCCCCTCTCCATCCTTCAAATGTCAGCAATATCACCACCAAAATTATACAATAAATAAACAAAAAGGGGATCCTTGTAAATTTCTTCTCTATACATTTGGCGTTATTCAACCGCAACCAAGTCCTATACTTTGTTAAGTCACGATCGTTGGATTCGCCTCACTTTTCTTACTTGAATTAAACCACAAGGGACAACTAAACCAAAGCACCACCCCAAAAGTTTTACAACCAGACAATTAAAATTCTCCTTTTTAGGCTTCCAAGTTGCAACTTCTCCAACCAGCCAGCCCATCCAAAAGCTTTATAAATGCCAACGAAGGAAAGCTCCCTTTGAGCATCCCACTGCTACCAATCAAAAAAATCCAACTAATCAAGTTAACTACTAGCTAGATCTCAGTCTCAAAGTTTCTAGGAGCTGCCATGGCTTTGGTGGTGAGAGTTTTCTTGGCTGTGGTGCTGGTGGTGATGGCTGCTCTGAAGGTATCCCATGCAGCTGTTCACAAGGTGGGAGACTCCGCCGGGTGGACCACCATTGGCGGTGTCGACTACAAGAAGTGGGCTGCCTCTAAGACTTTTCATGTTGGTGATGTTATCAGTGAGTTTCTCTCTCAATTTTCTCCACAACTTTTCTCAGTTCATTTACTATATATTTTTATTTTTCTGCATCTCTTATTGCTCCATAAAACAGTGCGTAGTAGCATATAATTATGAGCGCGTATATAATATAATTCATATTTATAAATGCAACCTTTTGTTGGGGTGTCTCCATGATTGATATATGTTGGACATGCTTGCCCAGACAAAAGGCTAAACATCTCTTTCTAAATCCCACCCTCTCTGACCCATTATGCACGCGTGCTTTGATGCAATATTATAGCTTTACATTCACGTTCGAAAAGGGTGCAGCAGCATCACTATAAATCTTACATTCTATTGATACGAGCAATAGTGTAAACTACTCTAGTTTTAAACTTGGATGAAAAGGGGTAGATTCACTGTCTTGGCCAACTAGTCTAACCCAAGTGTGCCTGCTTTTTTATTTTATATCATACAAGATGAAGAAAATAAGAATAGCTAGTATAAAGAATTAAGCAAACCTTTTTCTTTATTTTTCCTAAAAGAAAAATCAACCAAATTTAAAGGAAAAGGGTGCGGATATATGTTAGGGTGTTAGCTATATAGCTCAAGCTTGTGTCAATAAGTGGAGTTTGGTAATATTAGGCAGCTAATTTACTTGGCAATTTAATGAAATGGTCCAACGCAAGATTTTGCTTCTTGGGCGCTGTTCTATATTTCTAGAAATATATCTCATTAGTCTTTTTTTGTGTTTGTGTTCCTTCTTTTGTGTGGGATATCAATGGTCAGAGTTCGAGTACAATTCTCAATTTCACAACGTAATGCGCGTTACACACCCCATGTACCAGTCATGTAATGCCACAGTCCCCTTGGACTCCTATGCCACTGGAAACGACACCATCACAATCACCACCAAAGGCCACCACTTCTTCATCTGTGGAATCCCCGGTCACTGCCAAGCCGGCCAGAAGGTCGACATCAACGTGCTCCGCCATCCTTTGGCGGCAGCTCCAACTCCTGCATTAGCCTCTCCTGCTGTTCCTGTTGCCCATGTACCGGCAGCACCAGGTCCCAACATGGCTGCTCCAGTAAAATCTGTGAAGGGGCAGTTTGTTGTGCTAGGGTTGGCAATTGCAACACTTGCTGTTCTTGTTTCTGGTCTTGCTTAGTGATGATAATGAGGGAATGTCCCTCAAGTTTATTGGTTTATATGGACAGTAATTTGAGTCTCTTCTTAAGGCTATTTTTTAGGTGGGTAGTGATTTTTATACAGATTACATAACTTTTTAATAAATTCCATTGCTTAAAATTTTTGTCATAATGTTGAAGAATTGCAAGAGTATTCATTACATTTGCACTGGCATATGTTGTTAGTGAATGTCAGGATTTAAATATACTTCCAATTAAATTTCTTTGGTTCTTATGGGTTTTGGTTAAGACAGAATTCAATTTGGTTTATAACAAAATGGGGAAAATCTCTCACTTTTTCAGAACAACAATGGAGGAAGCTCTTTGTTTTACTTTTAAATCAAGGGCGGTCCCCTCACCCCCGAAAGAAAAGCGGGTAAGATCAATTTATAAACTAAATTCTAAACAATGTTCGCTTTAAACATAAAGATAAAAATTCTAAACAACGTTCCCGAAAAGAAAAAATGCTGTTACACTAGGGATGTATATTTCAAACCCAATCCTGGAAAGAAAAAATCATACCACAAACCTGGGCTACAAGTCCTTAATTATTCGTCCCGATTCTGAGTTAAAAGATCCTCAGTTCACGTTACGGGTTTTGAATTGGGTAATGCTACACTTACCACATTAGTATCCCACATTTCTATACCACATGATGTGACATGTCCATATCATATGACATATCAATTAAATGAATGAAGTGTATTTTAATAAATAAAATTAGAAAAACAGAAACTAGTATTTTACATGATGTGGTATGTACACATCAACCGTCATATCATGTGGTATAAAATTGTGGTATAAAAAATGTGGTAAGACTAGTATTATTCTTTTGAATTTAAAGCTCGTTTAGTTCAAGATTTATTTAAAAAGCTCGTTTAGTTCAAGATTTATTTAAAGAGATATTTAGTAATATACCCATTCTTAGCACTAAAACTATAAATAAACCCTACATCATTTCATTTTTATAAACATACCCAAAAAAAACCCAAAAAATGACAAATGGTACTATTAAATTTAATTTTAATTATTAAATTACTTTGATACCCTATTGAGTGTTTTGGGTTTTTTTATGAAATTTTGGGTTGGGTTTGTTTTAAGAAATCAATGGCAATTTTATAATTTAAAAGAAGTTAAAAGTCTTTTTGTTATGTTATAAATGGGCTTTGGGTGTATTTATAAATTCCATTTTATATAGGGTTTTTTTATAATTTGGGCTCCTATATTGGGTATATTAGTGAATCTCCCATATTTAAAAGCTTGTGAATGAGTACGAAATTGCATTCTCCTATTCGGTAAATATAATATATTCGTCTAGAAAGATGCATCAGAAGACTGAAAGCTGAAATTCCTTTCACTAAAAATCTTCTGTAACAAAACTACTCTGATAAATTTATCTTTCTACATTTCACTAGAACTGCCTGAAGTACAATGGATCACATCCTTCCAAGTTGTGAATTCTGTAACCCATCATATCTTTCTACGTTTCTATGTCATATTAATCTGCTGTGTTAACATTACTCTTCCAGTTACATATGTTACAAAATTCAGATGGGTGTGGTCCATTTATCCCACGAGGGGAAATAATTAGTGAACTCTAAGCCCTAGAAACTACGGTGAACTGAGAGAAAGCTGGAAAGAATAAGATTTAGGTGTAAAGAATGGAGAAGGTGGTAAAGAATCAAGTCTTCTACAATAGCTGGACCTCGTATTATCAGCCAGGCACGCGATGTTATACCAGAAGACTAGTGAGAAGTGGGCGCTCCACATCTCCATTCCTTCCGACTTTACTTCTATCTCGATGCCGAGCTCTGCCATCAGAGAATTAGGAAGAGGATTAACAAATTGAAATTAAACAAGATAACATGCAGTTTTGACAGCATACTAAATTTGGCAAACAGATTGCACTGTCAAGTTGCAGACCTCTGCGTGAGGCAAAATAATAAGTTCCACTGGAGAAAGGGGATCTATCTGAGCAGTCCATTGAAACAAGCAAGAACAACATGTTTTGATATGTAAAGCTCAGAAATCCTCCAAATAAAAAGATAAAATGACTGACAGCCTCGCGGCCAATAAAATGTCATTCAGGAAACCATATTTGACAGTTACTCTGTAAACTTAAAAAACAATTCTCCTCGATGTAGTTTAATGAACATCCGAACTCACCAGTAAGTTTACAAGTCCCCATCACTTGCCAACTGCATCCTAGAATTGGACGGAACTATCAAACTAAATCACCATTAATATGACCCAATACAGGATTAAAACTGACAGAGAAACAAATAACCATACTTTTTGATGGCTTAAGAACACCTAAGTAACAAGTATTCAGCTAGTAAGTGCATTAAGCACACTCCACCCGTTGATAAGCAACTGTGGATTCAGCTTGTGTGTTCTTGTTATTACAGGTATTCATTGGCTTACTTTCTATCCAGTATATGCAAAAGGAAGTGTCACACGGTCAAAACCTCTAGCAAAAGAGGCAGAAAGAAAATTGAAAATTGTGTATGCAGATGCTTCAGTATATTATATTACAAAAGCTTATAAGACGTGCATTATACCATCAACATGTAGAAAATTGAATCTTCTCACTACTATAAGCCTTAAGAGGAAAAAGGAAAGGACAATCCCAATTGAAGTGGAAGAAAATAATGAAAGATTCATGGCCTAAAAGCTAAACTAGAAAGACACCCTCGTAATGCCAGTATACTCAGGATCAAACAATGCAATGTGCCATGTAGTCTCATATCAAAATTATGAATTATATAAAAGAATAAAATCTTCTTTAATTTTCTGGTCCGCAAACACATATTTTCTCAGACATATACATCTAGGTATCTTTGTATCCTAGGTGCTAAACAAAAAGCTAGGACTTGAAATCCAAACTCATGCATAGCTCAATCAGTAGTTTACTTTCTTGATAGCGTGAAAGATGTGTGAGAAATTCAAATCTCAGACTTGATCACTTGTATAAAGCTTGTCCCTCGTGTGGTACTTGGCTTCTTTCGAGAAAAGTTAACTACTCACCCACACACCAAAAAAGAAAAAGAAAAAAAAAGACTTTGGCATATACATTGAATCCAAATTTGTACTTGAAGGCCATATGCAATGCCACAAGCTTTTCCTATCAAATTTGGATTATCCAATGCACATCTAGCTATTTTGAGATATTTGACATGAGTAAAGCATCAGAGACCTTACACTAGTCGATTGGAGCTCCATTGAAGCCGAATCCTCGTTTTCCTGCCACACAAACTTTCAAAAGTCATTACTTGGACACCAGTGTTGGTAGAATGTAGTAGGGGGATGGATGGCAATACCTCGATCAATAAATCCTTCCTGGTAATCAAGCCAATCACACGAGATGGCCGGGGTACAACAAATATATGTCTCAGACCCAGTTGGCGGAAAAGATTATATACCTGCATCATCAAGTGCAACATAAATCTAATAAGACTAGAACTATGTGACATGGTAAGAAATTAGGAAGTCATGAATTGCAACGAAATTCTCGCCTTTGTCAAAGACATATCCTCAGGGACAATGTAAGGAGATGGGTTCAAAAAAGGGGCAAGATCTATGTACATTTCCAAGTCATCTGAACTAAGACGTATATCATGTATAGATAATCCTTTACTGGAAGCAGGTTTCACAAATTCACTTATAGTGTGCCTGCAGTACAGAGGATCTATCAAAAATCTCATAGTAAAAGGGAAGGGCCAGACTACAAACCAACTTCAAGCCTCCACTTGCCTGATAGACCTGGATCCTCTTGGATCACAGGGCAAGGGACTATGCTGGAAATCCACCTTCGACTGCAGAAGTACCAACAAGTGACTGCATCACAAACCACATACTAATGTTAATTTTTAGAACATTTACCTTCTTCATATATGAAATCAGACATAAATGTGAAACATATAAACACCATACCTACGCAGCATTAGTCCAATGACAAGTGTTTCTCCATTTCTTGCATGATCAATCACCTGAAATGAATATAACATGAAACACAAACTTATATATCAAACGATAGAAAGAGAGGGGTAGAGAGAGAGAGAGAGAAGAAAAAACAAAAGTGTAACATACAGGGAAGCCATTATGGTTGTTGCTCCGCAAAATTGAAACCACATCTGCAACCTTAACAACACGAGGAAAGAAAGACCTAACCTACCCACAAAAAAAAAAAAAAAAAAAAAAAAAAAAAAAAAAAAAAAAAAGAGCACTATTACAATGAATAAAAGGAAAGAGTAAAGAAATCAATGCACTGTGGATCGCCAGAGCACAGAGACCCATGTACAATAGGTTCAAAATGAAAAATGCATCAAACAAAATAAAGAACACGGTGTTGAACTTGAAATCAGAAAGACCGCCTTGTGAGGTTATTAAGGTATGGGCATCCACTTTCGTATGATAACAGAAGTTTTTCTTTCAACCTTCTTCTCTGCCTTCATTTCAATGTTTTCCCGGTTGAGTGAGAACTAAACGAAAGGCTCCCTAGCTTGGAATTGTCAGTTATCTATCACAACGATATCACCAGCAGAACCCATTTTCAAAGGATTCAAATCAATTTGGCCATAATCCTTGGAGTTTAAGGTGGCTCATACTTGGGATAGGCGTCTTTGAAGTTGAATGGATCAGAGTAGGGAAGTTCAGGACAAGTGAAAATCTCTAGGCACATTTATACATGGGCTCCGTACTAATGTATACATATGAGGGGTCAGTCATGCTAAATATGCTAAATTAAAGTGACATTCACCCTTTTTCCAGAGGCCTCCTTCGCAGTCATCTTCCGCATTTGGTACTTGGGTCTTGATTCCAGTAGTGGAATGCTCCTTAATCGTGCCTGTTCTTCATACAGGCCTTCATTGAAAGCATCACCAACAGCCTGCAAAGCTAAAAGATTTAAGTATCTCTCCACAGAGTCTATTAAAGTAATACAAAGTTTCAGAAAGTGTACCTTTGAAATAAGAAGAACAAGCATGATAAGAGGCAAAAGTTTCAAATTATTGGTGATTTCAACCATAATGACACATAGAGACACTGTCATCCGCATTGAACCTCCAAGAAAAGAAGCCGCACCGAGTAGTGCATATCTGCAGAACCAGCAAGCATAAAAGTGCATTTAGTTCTAAAGCTCTGTTAGTAGTATAAAATGTAGCAGATTAAATCTGAGTATCAAAGATCATAAAGGCTCAAGAGACTCACGTTCCCTCTTCAATGTTGAGCTTCTTGTAAACTTTAACAACAAACATGCCAACTAGACGCCCATACGTTGATCCTATCATTATCCCAGGAACAAATTGACCAGCTGGAACAGCTGTACCAAATGTCACAACTGCTAATGAATAAAACATAACCTGAAATGCATTAGGAAAACAAAGTCACGTAAAAATAAAACTCAAGGGAGCAATAAGAGAAAAATTCTCTGGGAACTTAAATAGTCAAATTACATTTTTATTGAAACTGCCAGGCTGCCCAGTAAAAAGGACTGCCAAGACCTTAGAACAGTATCTTAGAAGGCCCATTAGTTTTAGAGTTAAAATTCATTTTCCTAGGGTAAATATACTTTCGTATCTTAGAAACTCCAAGCCCCTTAGGCAGGTTCCAATCTTCCTACCTTCTATATCTTATTTTCATACTTCGAGGGATGTTCATGTGCAAGTACTCATTCATGTACCTTCATTTGTTTCTGAGTCTTAAAATTTCCTTTTCATTCAATTATTTTTCCAACTAGATCGGATATGGAACAGCTACCCCTCTCAAGGAGAGTGAGATTTTGTCACCATGGCCAATACACAAGACCAACAGTACCCAAATGACAAAAAACCAACACGCAAAGTAGAGGAGCCTGGTCAATTCATCATCTAAAGACAAAAAAAAATGTTGTGTGTGAGCAGTATATATGCACCAAAGGCAATAGCTAAGTAAATAGAAGCAATACCAAGAAGGTCAATAAACTTTGGGCACTATACTCATGAATTGTTTTTGCACTAAACAAGTTCCTGATTGCATCATCCTGCAACAACAAAAAACAAATCTGTAATAAAACGAACGACGAGACCTGCAAACTTATATGTAAAGAAGATAAATTATTCCAAAAATTCTCAAAACCTGAGTGTTGAAGAAAATTGTCGCCAGATCATTGTATTCCTTGTCCTTGCTGCAATAAAACTGGAAATAGCCTAGAATTAGGAATGGATATTCTAAAGCAGCCTCAGAATTCTCAGAATTCAAACACAAACCCAAAACTACTCAACACTTAAATGAAGATGAAGCTTACTAATAAAGCAAGATGTGTTTTTAATCTGTAAGAGTAACTTAGGCTCACATGAGAAACTCTAAATTGAAGTCTTAAAAACAACTGCTGGGCTCTCCCAAGAAAATTAACAAGAAGTATTTCTGATATCTTTTAAAACCATGAAACGCAGGAGGCTTCCACATGCACTGAGCAACTCCAAATAATTCACAATTTAATCTAACAATTATCTTAGAGATGTACTTCGTAACCTAGTTATTATCTTTCTTTTTTATTAAAAGAGTAGACACGTGCGCCTTCAGGTTTAAGTTTGGCTATGCAATTTACGCATCGTTATATGACTATGAGTGAAAATAATAGTAAGGTTTTTTCAATTCATGCTAAATACAAGAAAGAAAGAAAGAAATCATCTCAAAATAGTTGAGAGCAAATAATTATCAGTCAACATCTTACATTTACATAATTCCCATACATTCCTGGAGGCCTTGGGCATTCAATACCAGAATCTGGATCTGCTTCAGGGCATGGACTGCAATTTCTTAAAAGGGGTAAACCAAAGGAAATAATTGATGTTATCAGAGAGATGAGGCACGCTTCAATTATCTGCATTTTGGGGTTCAGCAGGAAGGGACAAGAAGAGAGTTGAAGTCAACTGTAGAGCAACGTGGCACTATTTGAAAAACATAAATTTCATTGACTACGTCAAAAACCCACCTTGACTCGATTCCCATTTTTGTGCAAATAATTCCGGCGCCAGTAAGCAATATAAAATGTAAGCTGGTTAAATAAGGCTCCTGAAAAAGAGAACAATTTGAAAATAAAGTTTAATTTCATGAGAAACATAAAACAGAAAAGAGTATGGACATTTTCATAGCTCAGGCAACAAACACATACCCAGTAGACCTCCAATAACTCCAATAACTGCCATCGGCAAGAACTCCTCAAAAGAGTAGTCCTCTTGACCACTAAATGAAATTAATTAGGATGTTAGAAAAAGCTAAAAACTGAGAAAAAAATACAGAACTAAAGAAAGTTTTAGATCTTTTCAGAAAAAATGAAGAAAATTTAGATCTTAACTCTGATATGTCCCATATTATGAAGCCACCTGACCCAAAATGTCCACACTTTCCACTCTTACACCATCCCATTGCAGTACGCACCACAACAGCCACAATAGCAGAAGTAAAAAAGACCCGCCACATAAGTTGACTCTTCCACCTTATAACAAAAACATAAAAGTTGATGAAATACAAAAGAAAAATGCTTACAAGAAAATGAGTTTGAAATATTTTTTAATTTTAATTCCACAATACTAGCATATATAAATATAACTATCTGCATGAATCCACAAGAAACGCACACTGCATATTTGAAGAAATAACTTTTTCTTTTTTTAATAGAAACGATTATATTGATAAACAAGAGGAAAGGCAATCCTCAAGCGAACTACGAGACAAGAAACTAAAAGATCGAAACACAACGAAACATAAAGACCCACACACTGGCAAGAAATAACTATAATAAAAATCAGACATTAACTGCATGATCAAGAATGGAACTGCATTACCATGATGTAACTTCCTCCAATGCAAATAGTACGCCGCCAACAGGAGCTCTAAAAGCAGCAGAAACTCCAGCTGCACACCCACAGGTTACCTTTTCAAAAAATCACAAAAATGCAAAATGAGCACAATTTTCAGGTGCATGACTTCTATCTCCGGAGTTGGACATATTTAAGAATAACAAGGAAGATGGTAAGAACAGTACTTGGATATTTTTAACATAACAGACAAACATACAATAAATAAATGGTTCAAGACTGTTATAGGGTGCCTACATTTTTCTTTCAACAAAACAGAACGCCATATATGAACTAGATTCTGGATACCATCAGGGGAGGACAAAAAACGACAGCTACAGCTACAACTACAAAGCTCATGAACTTGACGACTAGCAAGTATGGAAGTCGTGAATAGAAACTAGTCAAAGGAGATTACCATGCCTATGATTAATTCGCAATGGAATTTGACAAAAATCTAGTTCCAGGCAGGTGAAATTTTTAGAGTTCAGACAATAAACCTGAAAGTCATAAATCACTCACCAGATCCCGACGATCTCTGTCGCTATTAAAAATTTGTAGCCACCTGGATCTTAGATGGTATTTTGAAGATCCACCCTGTATTCAGATATGACCACAATAATTTTTAAAAGAAAAATTGTATGTAATTCGGACACTAGAAAGATATTATAATATGTGACATAAAAAACATGGTTTTTAAGAACTTGTGCACGACAATTAAGATTATAAATATATAAAAATAAATAAAAACAAGAATGTGCAAACAATAGCCAACATACTCCAGAAGTTGAACGAAGAACTAATTGGAAGCCTTCAAAAAGAGCAGTATGTATGTGCTTACTTGTCCAAGCAAAGAAGCAATACAAGCACCAGTATGAACAAGAGGGCCCTCTTTGCCTAAAGCTAGACCACCTCCCACTGACCCAATGCTCCCAAATATCTGCGCAGTTTCCAGAAGACTATAACTCAAAGTACATTATTTAAATCTCAACAAATAAATAGAAAGCCAAAACAGGTAATCACACCTTTCCAATCAAGGTTCTGAAAAGAAGTATACCAGGCATATCAACCCCTGTACATTTGATTAACAATCAGCAGGACACTTGGCTGATTAAATTAGCAATACTCAATAGAAATACATTATAAGTCCAACTTACCATTCAAATATCCCTTGATTTCTGGAATACCGGAACCAGCTGCTGCGGGTGCAAATTGTGTAACAATATATACAGAGGAAAAAACCAAAACTAAGTTGATTAATACGTATACCAAAAAACCAGCCACGTATGATTTTTGTATTATAGCAAATGTCAATGCAAACTTCCAGCCTGCAAAGTTCTCAACGGAAATATTGATGAAAACAGCAGCTAATCCAGTGCCTGAAAGCAATAAAAAAGAATTCGTAAAATGAATAGAAGGTCTGAGGAGTTAAAACCAAAGTAAATAGACCACCAAACAAAATTTTAATACTGAATTCTACTCCAATTTGGTTCCTTTGAAGTGACACTACTACACAAAAGCTAAACAATTGGTGCCATAGCTAATAAATGCTTACCGATACCGATGAGCAAAGCAAAGAACCACTTCACCATCACATAATATCCAACATAAAGCTTCCCTCTCTGAGCCTGTAGATATGAAAACAACCCAAACAAAAAAAAAAAAAAAAAAAAAAAAAAACAAATTCTACAAAAGTTGACGTTCAATTAAGCTCAGATGTGTGACCTGTTCTTCCCAATAAGCGTAATTCTCAATGACTTCATAGTCGAGGCTCTCGATGCTGCTCTCGTCGCTCTTCTTGATGAGGCCGACGGTGTCAGGCTCGCCGTCCTCCGAGTTCGGAAGACGAGACCAGGCGAGCTTCGGCGCCTCGATCCCGTTATGCAAATGATTCGACAGCATGATTGCTCCAAACTCGGATTTCGGATCAAACCCTAGAAATTCCGAATTCGAAATCGGAGCCGGTACAGCATAACAGATCGGAGATTAAAGAGAAGTGAATTGAATTAACCAAATCTTATTCGGAATCCGAGAAAGTGCTTTTGAAGAAGAGAAGTGAGAGAGGTGAGGTGTTGGCTGACTTTGGCGGTAAAAGTTAGAACCGTGACTGACTCTCTCTCTCTCTCTCTCTCCCCTTCGCTGTGTGTGGCTTTGTTCTGTCCTTTTACTATTTTCTTTGCGTGCGTTTGACTGTGACTCTGAAAACCGATCGCTTTGCAACGAAGCAAGTGTTACGCGCTCTGGGATAGGATCTTCTGCGGCAGCAGTTGTGTGAGATTTTGGGGGTCTAGTGAATGGACGGCTGGATGGTGACCTAAGAATTCTTCAGATCGGCGGTTATATAAGAACAAGGCGAATTTTGGAATTTTGAATGTTGTGCTGTTAGCGTGGGTGGCCTGGGATACAAGTGCACAGTAAGGTTGAGGGTAGTAGTGTAGGGGAGGGTAGCCCGTGGGGTCGGCTGAACGGAATTTTGGACTTACGGTTGAGGAAAATAAAATGTTTTTTTCTATAAATATTATGGTATGGTGGTTGGTGACTTGGTGCGTTGGTGGGGACGTGTCCAACCGAGGCGGGCAAAGGCGCACGGTTTATAATCATTGTTTAGTCCATGGATGGATGCCGCTATATCAATGTCATCTCTATTTTTGGTAATCCGAAATAACATAGAATTGAACATTAGTAACAAAAGTATATTTTTGTTTCGGATATATTAAGATGTTGAGTACCATTCTAGAAAATAAAAATATATGAGCAGCGCTAGCTAAAGGTGCATTTTGTTGCGGGTTTTTGACACGCTAAAGTGTTGCTTGGATTCGAATTTGAGACTATTGATTTGCAAATCAATGTCATTTTTCATTTAGTTTTTAAATACATTAAATAAATAGATTTATGTATAAGTTGGCAAAAAATGAATGAGAAAGGAAAGAAGAGAAAGGCAAGAGAGGAAGGTGGCTGACATTACTCAAAATAATATTAAGTGATTATAGCAGTTGTTGCTATAGCTTAGGTAATTACGAACAAATATTCATGCATCATAGGTCATGTGTTTGAATTTCTCCTTCTCTCGTTTGTACAAAAATATAAGTAAAAAAGTAGTGATTTTGCCGTATTTATATTGTCGGATTTAAGACCATATAAATGAGGACAATGGGTATCTTATCTCTTTTAGGGGTTGAACTTGAAATTGTCACCTAAAAACTTAGCTAGGCTAGATTTTGGTGGGTATGTTATCTCTGTGGTTAATTTCCAAAATAAAAAAATGGCTCTTTTAGTGGTCCATGATGAAACTCCATTCATTCTACTTAGTGAGCCAAAAGTTATACATTGGGGATTTAAGCACGCAAACGATCGGCAATTGGCAATTGGCAAATGCATTCCAAGTCTGAAGTCACGGCTAATAGTACCTCCAATATAAAAGAGTTATTCTACCATTTCCTCGAAGAATAAAAAATTAACTTAGAAAACGAAATAATATAGAATTTCAATGTCCTATAAAGAAGGTTTGTTGCTTCAAACTTCAAAGCAGCCAAAAGATGCAAAGTATTATTATAGAAATAAGCTGTCATAACATGTGATGAACACCACCAAACAGAACACTTATCAGTCAAGACTCTGTCACAAGGTTTCAGTTTTCCTTTAACATATAATATAACAAGACTTTCCCATCTACCTCCTCGCCTATCAAAATCATGTTCTGAAAAATAATGTACGTTTATTAAAATAATATAATTTTTGGTGCATTGTATTGTAATGAGTAAATTGATATTATTATATGATTTTCTTTTAGAAACAAATAAAAAACCGAAGCAAGGTATGAGACGCTTTGACCTGTGTCTTCCATTATGTCACCTCCAGAGCATCTCTGATGCTTGGCGTGGCTTGGCTTGGCATCCTTTCTCTACTCAGTTGCTTTTGTTATTTCTTTTTTTCCATCCTGTTCTTGTCTCTCCTCTTTCATTTTTCCATATTTTTCTTTGAATTCTTTTGAGGCTGGCTGAGAGCATCAGTTTAGCTGATCCTCATACTATCACTTAAAGTTTTGAAGGGGCGGGATCAGAAGTCGAGAGCTCCGAATACATAGTTGATATCTCTTTTGCAAAGTATTCCTTCGCTTGAGGTCTCTTGATCTGAAGAAGTCGAGAAGAAAGTGAGAATGTGATGTTAATTCATCCATGCATTTGCTATCAATCTTTTGAAACTGAACACTTGCCTTAAATGTTGGAGTGAGCAGACCATTCTCTATCGTGAATGGTTCAAGCACCAGTGTCACAGCTTTCACAAATTCAAAACCTCTCAACTGAAGTGAAATATATAGAATTATTTATTAAGAAAAAAGTTCAAAGCGTAAATCTGAACAAAGTGCAAGGTAGCCCTGAGTGAGCTATTAGAACACTTGCCTGAGCTTCCCTGCCAACAGCATCCATATCAGCCAATACAGCTGCCCTTGCTCTAGGGTCATTGCACAGTTGCCCTAAATCTTGATACTGCACCCACACCACCAGAGAACCATGAATAAAATATCAAATTTCTGCAGCTAATGCCCATGTCCTTAGACGTAGAAAGAAATGAGGGAGTAAACACAATTCCCTCAATGTGCACCTTACTTTAGTTAAATTAAGGATCCCTTAGAAGGGCCCTTTATGTATGCAGATGTAATATTATAATATTCTTATTTTGTTTATAGCACCAAACCTCCAACACCTCGATCCTTAGAAAGGTAAACTTTCAAATGTGCATGTTTTCCCTTTTCTCTCCAAATAATAGAAAGACACCAAATCTAGACTTTGTAACTAAGATTTTTGCAGACTTGCTTCTTTTTTTCATATGGAAGTTCTAAAATTAAAATTGGCCATGATAGTTGGACAGAATATGCAGGACATTTAAGACAAAATTAGTTCAGTGATCTAGATGAGTCAATCACTGTAAACCTGGAAGCAGTAATTCTATATGATCAGACATATATGTGATGAGACTGTATGTTTACTCGTCTTACATACCACTATTTCCATATATGCAGGGGAGAAAAGATCTATTGCACTTAAACTGCTTCTAATTTGTATAAATTTTGACTAGTTAATGCATGAAGATGTCAACTAGTTGTAGGTAAATGGAAGGCCAAATACTTTTCTATGTGCATGAGCAAAAATGTAAACCAAACTTCACTCAAGTCCTCGAGCATAGAAATTATTTTCATTTTGTGCGACTCAAATGTCATATCTGACCTTAATGCCTTCAGAATCAGCCCATGCTTTCAAGACATCTGGGTCAACTGACACAATTGCTACCAAAGAAGAATTTAGGCTGTCACCTACCAGTAGCAGCAAATAAGAAGTCAGCAGCCCATAAGTATGTCTCTGTGTGTGTGTGTGTGTGTGTGTGTGAGAGAGAGAGAGAGAGATTGTAAATTCTTATTTCTTACCATGGACAAAGCACTGGGCAACAAACTTGCACTTGGCATAAACATTCTCAATTTTCTCTGGAGCTATATACTCTCCTTGTGCCAACTTGAAAATGTTCTTCTTCCTATGGGCATACAAAACCTTCAGTTATAGGCGTAAGGCCACATGCTAAACAGACACTAACATGCTCTAATCATGGCAAATCCTGTAAGTTTGATAAATATCTCTCTTATATGTGGGGTAAATCTTCTTTTTTTCTGAATAGTTCCTTTCTCTCAATAAACCTCACAGTTCGTTTGACCCTTAGTAAAACCATAGAATATAAACCCATGCTACAGCACATGTCTGATCCTAATTGTCCAAAAATATAGTGTACCTCATTAAGGGCTATCACCAATTCAAACGGGTTTTAGCAGCCTCATATAAGATGATAAAGAAGCCACTATTGTAGCAGATATATATATATTGAACTTCAGAGTTACCAAGTTGAAATCTTCACACTAAGGGCTCGTTTGGGAGTGATTCTTGATGGGCCAAAAATCACTTCTACAGAGAATCACTACTCCATATAATCACTTTTAAGTTATTTTAAGCGATTTTGGGGAGAAGCACACTTTAAGTGGTTTTAAGTGATTTTATGGAGAAGCACCTCCCATGTGCTTCTCCCCAAAATCATTTAAAATCACTTAAAGTGATTATATGGAGAAGTATGGTAGGTGTTTCTCCCCACAAGTGATTATGGCCCGCGCATAATCACTCCCAAACAAGCCCTGGGAAGGTGCAAGGCAAATCACCTCAGAGTTATCAAGTTGACTATCCCTTTGCAAAGTAAAGTTATACATGGGCAACCCCCATATGTGGAAAGTATCACAGTTTGAAAATATAAAGCAGAAGCAGCATCAATAAATCTGAGAATACCATTTAGGATGGTGTGATCTCACCTATCAATGATTTTCAGACGACCCCCCGGTGACCACAGCCCAATATCTCCAGTATGAAGCCATCCATCTTCATCGACCACTTCTCTCCTGTTCATTAGGAATATATTATCCAACTAATTTAATATCTGACTAAAGGAATATCATTTAAAACAAGATTTAACAGGTAAGCTAAATACGTCTGCACTTCATCTTTGTGATAGCCTTGGAAAATAATAGGACCCCTGACACAGATTTCACCACGAGGATAGGGTTGATCCTCAGACGTGTAGTTCATCTCTGGTACATCAACAAGTTTTATTTCTGAAATCAAAAATAGGAAATCAAATATTAGCCCAAGGTAAGAGCAGAATGTATAAGGTGAAATAAATCTTATATGAAGAAAACCTTCTTTTCTACACTCTTTGATTCCATGGGTAGAAATGTTAAAGAAAAATAAGAAGCTAAAATTTGTGGTTCGCATTATATGCAATAAACCTAACTGATGCCAATAAATAGGTGTGTTAAACTCACAGAATCAATGGGCAATAACTCACCACAAGCTGGATTAGGAGAGCCAACATGGCCATATAGGTTGTCACCCCCATCCACAGAACTAATAACACAAGAAGTCTCCGTCATTCCATATCCTTCACTTACTTCACCACCAATGCATCTGAAAATAAATCGTCAACAGTTATAAGCCCAGTTGGGAAAAAAAAGAAAAGAAAGAACAAAACAATAAGATAAAATAAACAACCATATGTGACTCCTTCTAGGCATTCAAACGACTTACATCTTCAAAAATTCCATGACATCAGGAGACAAGGGTGAAGCACCTGATGCCATAAAACGAACCCGTCCTCCTAGCTTAGCCTTTATCTTATTGAATACCAATCTGTCCCACATGGGAGATGGATTTTTGCCTAGAAGATTCAGTAATGATACAATCAGTAATAGTGAAATCACATAACACAAGATAATTTTATAATTAACAATCAAACAGTTGAGACTCATCCTGTCAGTTGTGGCTAACAGAAAGTCCCAGGAGATCATGAGGCAGTACCAAGCAAACATTTCAGTACATCTCATGTTTTGAGCTGCTATATTTCTACATCAAATATAGAATATCACCTATTCACTTGTGGTTTTGTTCTTATTTTCCACAATTCTAGTTTTGTATTATATCAAACAATTAGAAAGTAAAGGAATTTGACTTTACACCTTAAAACCATTAATATAAGATCAGAGGAACTTATTTAATATATCAGCGTTGAGTAGGCTAAAGAAGTTACGCAGTTTAAGCATAATCTGTTGAGAAAGTCATAGGCATAATCTCATGTTATAGTCCAAAAAAAGGATCCCGTTGATAATATACTTTACCACTTAATAATGCTTGCTTCTTGGCATTGTAAGCAGCAGTAAATAGCCTCTCCCTCAGCACACCGGATGTCTTTACTGCATTTGTAATTCTGAATAACCAGGACATCTGAATCAATGACTGATTAACTATATTTGTTTCTTTTAGATGAAAAACCACATAATTATGTGAGGACTCAAAGACTCATCATATAATTTTGAAAATCAGTTTACCCAGCATATATTCTGTTATACAGCCTAGGAACACTGCAGAAGATGGTAGGTCTTAGAGCAGCCATATCGTCCATTAGCTTCAAACTATCCTGTATAACAGTTAAATAAACCCTGTAAGGCTTGTATCTGAAGATATTAATGCCTCAGCTACTGTAAAATACTAGAACATATTACAACAGGTAGATCTGCAGTTTTAAAAGTACTAATAGGCCATAGGAGGAAATATTTAAAAAATAAAAATGCTTAAATCAAGTCTCATACCCCTTGGTAGAATCCAACAGCAACCCCAAAATATACTGTCATGACCTGGTTAGCACGTTCATAAATATGCGCCAAAGGAAGATATGATATGTAGCTGGAAAAATATAAGGTAAGTTTAGCAGAGAAAAAACAGGGTGTATAAAGATCAGAACAAAACCTCAAATGAACTATTGTATACTAAGCACCAAACAGCCAATGATACTCACACGTCAGACGGGTAGAATTTGATAGCCATAGTGGCCCCAGCAACATTTGCAATCAAGTTTCCATGTGTCAATACAGCTCCCTAGCCAAACGATAGTATTTGGAATAGTGCAATTGTTAGAATATTTGGGATGATACTGTAGATGTGGAAAGTATTTAACATAATCTTGTATAAGGAGGAGCCAGCCAGCCCTAGAATTCTTAGGTGCTGTTTTTTTCCCCTTTCTTCTTCTCCCTCAATTTCTCTTCCTTTCTTCCATAATATCCAACATAAAAAGAGAAATCCAAACTATATATGGAAATATAGAAGTCAAATCATTTAATGGAAACCCACTAACTTCATCAGAAAGCGAAAAGTTCATAGCAGTTTAAGTTGTACCTTTGGGGTGCCAGTTGTACCACTTGTGTAGCATATTGTTGCAACATCTTCCGGTTCTGGTGGGAAAAAAGGCTGAAGACTACTATTGCCCTAAAAGGATATGACGAATATGAAGCACATCACTCAAACGTTTTTGAAAAATTATACCATCACATACTTATGGAATCCAACTATGATAACAGTCATAATATCCGTGTAGCAACACGTGCATATAAAAACAGCTCATGTGCATGTGTGAACAGACTCTGCATTGGAATATGTGAGAAGAAAGCCTTACCAACCACATGTAAGGGGTAAGTTTCATTGTGAAGACAAGGTGTAAAATAGAAAAACTATCCATTATGTAGCTACGAAAAAATGTAGAGTACTTATGCTATGGGTGTGTGTCTATGAGTTCTTTTAGCATGCCTGAGTGGATTATCCTTATGTTAGTCTTAGTACAGAAAATCTTCCATATGAAACTTGGATACATACCCCATCCTTAAGAAGATCATTTATAAGATCTCCCGAGACTTTTCAAGGATTTGGTTGATTCATAAGAAAGAAAAGAATTACCTGACTAAGCAATTTTGAATATGTTACAACCTTCACTCCAGTTGATGATGGAAGTGATGGTATTCGATCATCTATACCGCCAACAACCTGTATAATAATGAATGAAAAAGAAAGCATTACTTTAAAAGATATATAATAAAAAAGTTGCAAAGTCAAGATCATGATCACCTTCAATAGTATAAAGATTCATTTATACTATGAGGCGTATTCTCATACCACAATCAAGCGTACAGTTGGAATATCCGCCAAGAAGCTCAACAACTGCAATTCCAAATGACACGAATCAACGAAGGAAATTCAGAGCCTTATAATATAACAATGTCGAATTTAATCCTTAGTATAACTACAAATATGCAGTCCTCTATGATGATCTACTAACAAGAAGAGCAATTTCAATCACGAAGAAGGCAAAAAGGCCTTAAACGATGTCACTGAAACAGTGAGAAATGATACACTAAACTAAACTATACCTTGACACTAATCATGGCCAAACATGAGCCAAATGCCAAGGTTAAAGAAGTCAACACCACATAGTTGAGAAACAAACATTTCTCTAATTTAGGTGGATATTGTGATTGTTTATATTGTAGCAATAAATTTTTAATGTTCTCTTATAAATTTGTTCTTCTCTTCTTATCTCTTCCTATTATATTTTGCATAACTTAAGGGTAGAAAGTAAAGCATATTTTCCTGTCATTATTATAATGGTTTAATATCTACATTAACATCAGGTTTATATTCCATGAGGTTTATCATAACATCAGGTTTATATTGCTGATCCTATATGCATCTCCAAAAAAATTTAATAATTATCAGTTGTCATTGACTACTCTACTTATACAAAACTGAGGAAGAAAGTAAGTAGCAACTCAAAAAGATATCATTAAGTTATAGAGCACCCTGAATAAAGAATAACTTAAACTCACACTATTCAACGTTTCAGGCACACAAAATATAACTTGTACAACAGCATGATTTACAATGTACTTGACAGCATCTGGACCTGCAAAAAATACCATATTTACTGTAACATCTGAATACTAGACCAAGATTGGCAAAATTCGAGAAGAGTAGTACAAACCTAGAGTGTCATATAAAGGAACTGATATGTACGAATATGCAGAGCAAGCATGATCAACAATGAGCCACTCAGGTCTGTTGATAAAATACAACCCAATGCCAGCACCCTGCATTTATAGAAATAAAAGAAAGATAGGATTTGACATTAAACAGCATGGAAACTTCCACTCGGTATTTTCAGATTACTTGAGAATTCTCAAAGAACTGATTACAAAAATAAAGTTCAATAACAGTATATATATTGGAACCGTAGAATTAGTAGTGAAAATACCTTTGGTATTCCATGATAAATTAGGCCAGAACCTATTGCTGACCGTGCAGTACTTGCTTCTCCATATGTCATCCATTTGTATCTTGAAGGGCAAAAAAATTGAATGCAAATGGGTGAGGCTTCCCCAGGAATTTGAGAACTTTATTTATATAAAAAGACACTCACTCTCCAACTGTTCCATCAACCCGAATTCGTGTTCCCAAATATTTGTAATCTCGGAAAGTATCAACTGCGTGCCTAATTCACAAAATTAGATTGAATCATTTAGAAAAATTCAAGGGAACTAAATACAGAGTGGTTAGACATTTTGATATTTGTAGGGAAACATGTGTAATTTAGCAAAAAGTAGGTGGCTCACACGAAATTATCATGCAGTGTACCAATTTCAGGATGATCAGGGAATCTACTAACAAGCTTCAATGGGGAGCGTGCAGATCTGCCACCACATTTTTACAAGATTAGCCAGAGGACTTTGTAGAGGCAACACATACAAGAAGAAGGGAATTTGCCCACCTGTATACATTCCACTTTCCTGTCTGTAATTTCTCTGGAAGCACCACACTGTACCCTTGCTCTGTTAAGAAATTAATTGTAACATTGCCTGATTAATATATGTATTTAAGCCAATAAGTTGAACATTTTAGACATGTTTTTAGATCCAATTGCAGATCACCTTTGTCAAGCTGTCTGTGTTCATTCTGTAATCCACCAAATAAGAAACAAACTTAAACCTTTCAAACAATCGCATTTAATTTCCTATCCCACTTGAAAGCCCTAATTCCCGCTCAAAAATCTGTTTCCTAAAACCTCTTTTGAGCAATAAACTTATCCAGTAGCACTTTCACAACTAGTTTTTATCCCACAATACAGGATTCACGCAGTGAAATATCCCATACAACAAGGTCATGTAATGGCAGAAGCACCTATGCTCCACCAACGTAAAAAATAGAAATATCAGATGAAATCCAGAAGCACACTGGCATTTGGACTTGTAATTTGAAACGAGGGATTTTGATTTGACTATTTAGCTTCAGTTCTGTTTGCAAAAAATGTTCTAAAAAACTATTAAAAAAATGTTTACGCTTTTTATTGTGGATGAGGGGGAAAAACTTTATACTAAAAGAATTAAAGAGTAAATTTCATATCATAAACTTTTCAGAAAACATCTATTTAGAAAAGAAAAAAAAATCCAAGTCTCTGGAAAACCCAAATTTTAAAATTTAAAATCCAAACGCACCTCATAACGCTCTAGCAGGTTCTTATATTCAGAAAGCATCCTCATAAACTGGGCTCAAGTGGGCCACATAAAAAAGTATCAAACATGAAATCAAACGGAACACACCACCCTATGCTGAAAGAGTAATCAAAATGTTAAAACGGATGATCAATAATCGAAAAGCTCACACATCTACCAAGCCAACGAAAAGCAGCGAATCACAATTGTTCTGATTCTCAAGGCGCTCAAGATAAAGACACGACAAAAATCTACGAGCAATACTTAATTAACTGAGAAACCCAGGTCCACCACCTAAAACGAGCCCTAGCTTTTTTGTACCACACTATTAAAGCCCCTCACTTGGACCAAAAAGAAGCTTTGAGCTTCTCCTGCATACTACGCGATCAAAAAAAACCGAAATTCAGCTGAAAACAGAGTGTGTGTGCGTGAGAGAGAGAGAGAGAGAGAGAGAGAGAGAGAGAGAGAGATGGCGCACCGGAAACGAACTCGCCGGCGGTGAGGTTTGGCCGGAGAAGAGACTCAGAGTCGGCAGCGGCGGTGGTGAGGTGGGCGTGAATGGCTTGAAGGCGACGTTGAGCTGGCGTTGAATCCATAGGAGAGCTTCTGGTATGTCTTAGTTGAAACTCGATTGGTCTCGTGAGTGTTGCTTTTGTGCGTTGGATTGGGAGTAGTTGGCGTGATTTTTATCTAGTGAGGCAGGCTCCGTAAGCTCTTTTTGTTTTCTGTTTGTTTCTCGGGAATATCCGAGATAGAAAATGCGGGCACGCCTTCCAACGATGGCGATGAAGAGATTGAGATCACGTAGGAGATGGATACGTACAGAAATCAGAATAACGGCAGATGAGGAAGGAAAAAAAGATAAATATGTAATAATTTGGTGCTTTTTATGCTTTCTGTATCTGGTCTCAATAATTTGCCCCGTTTCGTTTTGGCGAGGAAATAATGTCGATATTTTGTATAAGAAATAGTCAAATCTGCTTCTTTGTTCTTCTTTTCTTAGGCCGGCCGTCGAACATTTTTTATACCTTTAAGTTTTATATTTATCCATTTTGGCAGATAGTTTCCGAATTGTGGTCAAATACGGACCACATCACAGGTAGAGTTCAATTTCAATTATTGTCTTTTCTATTTTTTCTGGTTTGCTATTTTCATGGGTTTTTTATTTTTATTTTTTTCACTTTCGTTGGTTTGGTAAACATGATGGCGTTGAGTTTGACATTATTTAGAGCAACTCCACCCCTTTGTCATGGCAGGGGTGTTAGGACAGCTACTATTCACGTGAATAGTGACTTTTTTTACAAAAAGCAATGTGTGTTTCACCCATTGTCACATATTGTCATGGCAAAGGGCAAATACTTTTTATTTTTTTTCACAAATTTTTTTACCTAAACAATTAAATTGGATAATATTTTCGGATAAGATTTTTAGGTTCGTATGTGTCAATATTTATTATAAAATTCATACCTCATAATCAAATAAAATTTTCGAATAAGATTTTTGGTGTTAAAAGTGAAGAGTATTGGTTTGTATTTAGAGAAAAAATTCATTAATTTTTGGGTATTTTTTTCATAAATATATTGCAAAAAAATTGGCTGCCATTGGATTGGAGGACAAAAAGCGATCGGAGAGCCTAGAAGATGTCACGTGGCTACTAGCCGTTGGCGGAAATTGAGACGCGTGCGTTTAAATTTTTTTACCTTTGGCCCATTAACGTCACCGAAAACAAAGGCTAGAGCTCGAGCTCGCCTTGCCTTCAGGCCAGCTTAGTCCCGTGGGACCCACAACCTGTCCGAACCAACCATTGTTGTTGGAAACTAATTTTGGGCTTCCCCCCCTCCCCCCCCCCCCCCCCCCCCCCCCAACCCGCCGGAATAGCTCTTATTGCACTGGGTAATTTTAAGGTCGGTTTCTAGTTTTTAGTTTTCAATTTTCAATTTCTAGTTTTCTGTTTTCCTTTTTAAAAACTTGAAAACATGAAACTTCTTTGCTAACCAATTTTAGTTTTCAACAAAATCGAAAACATAAAAGTTTTTTAATAACTATTTTCAATTTTTAGTTTTACGTAGAACTAGGAACTTACATTTCTTTTTCTTTTTTTGGTCAATTTGTGAATTTGAGGTAATAGAATGAAATTGCATATTACAAAGAATTCGTAGTACTTTTCTATGACTTTTTTGGACTTAAAATGAATTTTTCTTTTCATTTTTCAATTAAAAGAAAAATAGTGACAATGAAAAATAAAAATTTAAAATAAAATGGTTATCAAGGACGGCTTATAAAATATGATAACCTAAAAATTGGGAATTTTGTTGTTATTAATATTCTGAAAAATCATACAAAGTTAATAATATGTATGGGTATTTTATGAAGTTGGCTTGGTGTGGTAATAATGGAGTTAAGTGAGTTTAATCTCAATTTGGGACTAAAATACCCTTAATTTTATGATTTTTCAAAGGAAGTAGAAGAAATTGATGTGATAAAAATGTAATTCTTGAATGGAAAAACGAAGCTCAATCTCACAAATGAGTAGCGCAGACGGCTCATCAATCAAAGTTATAACGAAGGAGAAATTCAATTTTGAAGTTTTGGGAATTAATTTGAGGGGGTAAACAGTGAATAGTGAATAGTGGTCATAATTGAATTTTCTATAAATTCACGGGTCATTATGCAATTTCCAGAATTTTCATTTTCGTCCGCTAGGTTGGACCTTAGCTAGAGAGGCGATTTCCAACGGCTTCCGGCGGAGGTGATTGATACCACCCATGTCAATCGCATGAGAATAACCCAACTAGAATCATGGCGATTCGAGCAGCAGCATAGACGTGGCGACGCCGTGAACCTCCTTAATGAATAATGAAACCCATAACTTTGGATGGCAATTTGACTACCTTAGAGGTCAATTTAGGTACAAATCCAAGTTTTAAAATTGTTTATCTTGTCAAAATCTGTAAGTCAGTGTAGTTTTAGATTGGCGATTCTAAGATTTTTCTGTAGCTAGAATAGTACCCTGAACCACCACTCATGGTGGCGGCACGTGGTGGGGGTTCTTTGACTAGGATTTTGGGACCATTTGTAGTCCTGGAGGTGCTGAGCACTGTGGTGTGCTCAGATTGTCGAGATTCCATCTTTTGATCGACGATCAGAGCCTCATCTGGATCGTTGGATAGAAAATGATCAGACAATTGGATCATGTTCGTTGTTCAGTATGTTGAAGATGGTTTTGTTATGAGTTTGTAGGTTTAGACTGATCAAAGATCGGATATCCCAATCTTAAGTTATCATGTTTCAGGTTATGTGATAAGCGATCGTCATTCGATCATGCGTGATCGTGGAATTTAGAATTATCCGACTGTTGGATAAGGCCCAAATTGATGTAGGGTGATGTCGATACAATTTAGAGACCATTGGTGCTACCGGATGTGAAATTTGAGGTCGTGGGCCCAAGGCACATTTTCGTAGTGTCGGTTGGACATGTGGGACCCAAGGGACCTAAATAGTGACTTTTTGGAGAATAGGTGTCATTGGTCCTGTTTTGACGTCAACAATGCGTATGTCACATATTTGGACTTGTGTGGACGAGATTTGATTGCTTTGGACCCTGTGTTAGTCTGAAGGGCATTTTAGTTATTTGGGCACGAAATCTTGGATTTGCTCAAGGTTGAGGATAATGTTGATGTCGTGGTTGGTTGTGACATTCTTGGAGTTGTCAGTGACTTTGTTGAGTCATAAGCAAGTGCATCTCGAGTGACGTGTGATTTACGTGCCTGTGCATAATTAGTTTTGATGAGCTGGGAGCTTAATCATTATTGGAGTTTTGTTCTAAGTCAAGTTACATGCTTTTCTTAGGTATTGTTGGAGCCAGAGTTGCTCGATAAGGATTGTGGAAGATCTTGGATTCGTTGAGTTGTTGAAGACACAGCTTGGACGAGAGGTGAGTGCACATTTTTGGATTGGGAGTAAACATTTTGTATTGTGAGTACAACCTTCTGTATTATTGAGTAACATTGTCTATTTGTGAGTACATCATTTTGTATTGTGGTATTCTTGTGTGGAAGATCACGTATAAATATATATATATATATGGACGTGATTAGTGTATTTGACGATAAAACAATGTTTAATGTGAAATTACATTTTATATTGTTTTGGTCTTGTTGATTTTGGTGTTGACGAATTTAGGTGAGAATATCTTGAATCCCTTTTTTGAGTTTGCCAGACGGGGCATTCTCAAGAGTTTGTTAGACGGGACATTCTCATTGCAACAAGGAATAAAATACCCTAGGTCAGATGAGACGTAAAAACAATTAGAGATCTATTCTGTGTCATTTAGTGAAACACTAGGCAAGATGGGCTAGGCAAACGGGCCTCAATGTTATAAATTAGAAGCACTAAGCCAAACGGGCTAGGCAGACGAGCCTCAGTGTTATAAATTAGAAAACGCTAAGCCATACGGGCTACGAAGACGAGCCTTAGTGTTATAAATTAGAAAACACTAAACCAGACGGGCCACAGTGTTATAAGATAGGCTAGGCAGACGGGCCGTAGTGTTATAGATTAGAAGGTCAAAAGTATTCTCTCTTCAATTTGTCAAACAGTTGATGTATGAAAACTGCTTTTAATATAAAAGAGTTTTGTTGTCGTCACAGACGGTGACTTAAACTGTTCTTGAAAATAAAAGAATTGTGATTGTGATGATGTAATTGATTATGATTGCCATGGTTATTCATGGATTGTGTGATGCTTTTGAAAGTGCATGTTGATGTATGTCATGTGTAAAATGACATATTTATACTGTTGATTGTCCTTTACTCATACGAGCTATAGAAAGCTTATCGGGTTTGTTGGTGATGAACCCGGTACACTATTCAATGGTGTATGGGCTAATCATGCAGGTAGTAGAGACTGTGAGCAGTGTAACCGAGGTTAGGATCAAAAGGTTATGTTGATATACAAGGTGTGAAGACTTCAACTATGTGTATTAAAATCTGAGAAGCAAGATGTAATAAGTTGAAACTCAATTTATTATATAATGTTGAAATGTAATATTTGACTGAGAAGATTTGAGTCTGTATTGACATTGTGGTTACAAGCGGGTTGTATTGTATTAAGGAAAAGAAAATTTTCCTGGTACTTTTGTTGAAGGTTTCGAGCTTCGCGTCCCGAATTGGTTTGTTTTGTAACAACTCAACGGTTATTTATTGTTGAAAATTCGGGGCGTGACATAAAAATGGATGAAGATCCAAAAACTTGACATCAAGTACCAAATCCGCCTATTTCATATAGTTTAAGTCCTTAATTTACCGAAAAAGAGTTTAAAGGGTAGATTGACAATTATTGTATAATTTATGAGGCAACAAAATGGCAGATTATCATGTTTTTTTTTATAAAATTTGTTTTGAAATTTGACAAAAAGAAAATGTTGATGAAAGATAATCAAAGCATTAATAAGCTATTGAGTATGTAAGAGCATCTCCAACAACCTCTTCAACATTTTTGGAATTCTAAAATAGGTGAGCCACATCATCAAAACCCTCTCCAATAGCCTTGTCAAATTTAGTCATCAAAGTTGCAACATTTTTTGCTCTCTTCAAGGTTGGTAACTTGATCTTGACTCTTCAAAACATTTAATTTTACTTTGAAAAAATAAAACCTACCTTGAAAATATTACAAACATGTATTTTTTTTATTTTCAAACAATAAATACATAGATATTTTTCACATGTTTTCATATTTTTCATTCTTTTCCATAACATTGCATTAATTGAATTGAAAAGTTTAGGGGCACAAAATATTAAAGTAGCAAACAAAGCTTTTCAAATTGCCACATTGGTCAACAAACTTCAATTTGAAGAGTTTGGTTTTCTACTACTATTGAAGATGCTCCAACAATCTTGCTATGGAATGGGCAAAAATACTTACCTATAGCAAGGATAACATTATTTTGCTATCCCCGGCCAATAACACAATGACACGTGGAAAATTTATCCTACTTGTCATTGTGTCATTAACCAAAGATAGCACAAAGTGATATTCCAGTTGCATGAGAGTTTCTTTGTAGGATGGAGCCACGTGCTGACAACAATGATCGGTGTGGTTGCAAACCCAAGACTGCTGAGTTTCCATCATAACTGTGGAGGCAAGGAACAAGCATCGAGTTGAGCAAGACCCCTCCCAAGAAATGGATGGGAAAATGTTTTAGCCAATAGATTCTGATTTTTTTATACATTAAAGATGTCTTTTTTGGGTACAAATGTTAAAGATGCCCTAAATTTTAAGAATGATGCTGCCAACGGAGCCATACGCAAAAAGGAAGAGACTCGTAGAATTCTGAGAGTTACTCCACAATGAAAATCAACAATTTAAACCGTTCATATTTCAGGTCACTCATCTAAAATATGCAACAAAAAATCCATTTCATTAGAACAAAAACGAAAACAAAAATGTATGCAATCAAATGGTTAAACAACTGCCGATATAGCCTATTTCTGCTTGATCCTTATATTACTAACCCACAAAAAATGTCTTTTTTTGTCAGCCTCACAAATGGTTAAACAACTGTCGATATAGCCTATTTTTGCTTCAAGAGCATTGTACTTTTTTTTAATACAAACGATAGTCTAAACTACAAGGAAGAAATGGCTTTATACTTAATCTGAAAGAACATTTTCCCGCATCAGTATAATAATCAAGTTTTAAAATAGAAACAAGATCATCGAGCACATGAAATAAAAATAAGTTTTTTTTTGTTGAAAGAAATGAAAACAAGTTAGACAAGAGGGAGACAAAATTAGAAACAAGAACATCAAGCACATGAAATTAAAACTTTATAGCGATTTTGTCATTGTATTAACTTACCACTCCAAGAAAAGAGTATGGCTGGTAGAAGTTGTTACAAAAACCTTTGAAAAAAACTATACTTTTTAGCCTTTCAAGAGGAAGGGGCAGTTGTGAGACAAAAGACGGGCACGTATATAAAATATCTTGGTGGGAATATCTGCCTCCTCACGCCCAGACCTCAGCAAAGTCGTGTATATGTCTTCCCCACTTGATCATGACATGCATATCCTAATTTTATCCACAAAGACGTAGCTAAAGCCTACCACCACAACCATGTTCCATTCTTCTAGAACAGTTCCATCAACTGCTGGGCCACATCTGCATCAACAATCAATACAAATTAATACCTACAAGAAATACGATAATGCAGCTACAGCTCGGCTTTCGATTAAAGCATTCATTTTCTCACCGTGGATATGGAATAGTACAATTCATTTTCCTCTCTACCAGTGATAAAAAGTGATAACAAAGCATGTATGCATACCTTCAAGAATATCGGGTGTAGCCTGGAACTCCTGCCAGACATTTTGATAAGAATCAAGATCCATATTTAGAAACTTCGCAGCAAGGTACGCTGCTCCAGCAGCAATATGATGTGGTTTGAACTGGAGCCACAGAGAACTCCGGAGCCTGAAAAATCAAAGCATAAATAAAAAAAATAAAAAGTAGGAAATCAGTTTTACAAGGTTATGAGAAAAACACCAACATTTGCAAGGAGAGGCAGAAAGACAACATATCCAAACCAAACCATCTGGGGCAACACTAGAAAGACCAGGCAATGTCCAGTGCAACTTAGCATAATTTTCACATTGATAGACAGTACATCAGCAACAAGAGATAAACATATAGCATAAAAGGTTAATAGCAAAATGACATCAAATCAAGCATTGATCATGAGGAAATAACAGGTCATTTTCTTCTTACCAACTACAAAAGCAGCAAGTCAGGTAGAATATTTTCCAGAATCTCTGCAGGATTGCTGATAAGAGTACCAAATCTATAGCAAACATGTTATACCCATCTAGAGAACACATCAAAACTCCCAGGCCCAAAACTGCTGCACGGCTATTTTACTCATGTACACAATTCATATGAGAAAGAAAACAGGAAGCAGAAGCGCATTGCAAACAATCAAACTTCTGAAAGCAAATCCACAATCTTCTGCTCAATGGCTGGATCTGGACAGACTTGTCAAACACATGCATCGATGCTCATTGAACATACACATTACCCCAACTATTGACTTCCCAATGAGAATAATCGACTATACACACGTTGCCGGCATGAGATAAAGCCGAAATGTCATTTATAGTTTGTTCCAGCTGGTCAGTATGCGTATATCTGAGTGTGTACAACACGTATATCCTTTTCTTATACCATCAACTAATCTATTCTATATAACATACTAAGGAGCACTGGGTAAAGCAAGGCTTGCCGAGAACTTCTTAGAACACCAAAATGATGACTGCGCCCTAGAAGAAGGATTTTAACAATGGTTGGAATTTTCAGACAACTACAAGGATGAATGCTAGATATTCAACTGGGGTAGGGTGGTTAATTCTCACTAAAGAAAATTGGCTAAAAGTTGTAACATAGTTTAGTAAAATCTCAGACCAAAAAGAAAAAGTGGTAAAATCTTTCCTCTGGAATCTATACTCATTGTGATTTCAGTCTTCACAAAAGCTTTTCATACCAGCTGCAGTCAGTACACATAATCTTACAACACTTGTACAAATGATCTGGGTAGCCTTTCCACCTCACCAAAACATCCCTGGATGAAACCAAGTAGGATACAAAAGTATACGCCTATATCTTAACCGCTATGATTTTTTTCTTTTCTTTTCTTTTTTCTTTTTTTCTGATAAGGATATATGCTATAAAAGATAAACATTTAATTCTTCTATGAGATTTTACAAACTATCATAAATGAATGTGAAATTTTCAAATTTCAAATACATATGGCTGTGTACTTCTGTGTAAAACAAGGAGTCGTCTAACAGAAGGAATAGCCAGTCCAAAGTGACAGTAGTAAAATTAATAATCATAAATAACACCAATAGTAGCATTAAGATCAAACTCATTATCACAAGTAAATGAAGATAGGAATACGATATAAAACGTAGTTAACAAAAATAATAAATTTAGACACTGAATAAATTAAAATCCATTTCAAGAAAACTGTTAATCTTTTTTTTCACAAAAAATATCTAGAAACAAATTCATCACTTGAAAGAATGTTTCAAATAAAGTTTGATTATAGGAAAACTTAAATAAGATATTATAATATTGTCAAAGCCAAAAAAAATAAATAAAGATTGCCCACTAACTCGAACTGGCCTCAAAATTTATTCAAAATTGTGAAAAAGAACTTACATGGGAGTTGGGACTAGGCAATTGACAATAACTGATAACAAGTAAATGGAACCAAACAGTTCCCAGTCAAGATCTTGGCCCTGATAAATAATTGGGCAGGGTCTAGATCCAGACAAACCATTACCTGAGAAATATAGGTTAAACCAAATAGATATGATATGACACCAGGCAACTATATCAAAATTGAGTTGCAATTCCTGGCCTCCTATTCCCCATCTTGGAAAACAAGTTACATCTCAAAGCTTCACTAATGGAGAGAGCTGTCCGCACATTTTGCCAATTTCTTTCTCATTTTCACTTCACAAGTGTTGCATTATTTTTTTATTTTTTTTTCTATTTTCTTTTCTTCCTTTGGGGGAGAGGGGAGATGAATGTCAATATTTTAAGGCCTCCCATTCCATTCTGTACTGGGAAAAAGAACCCAAAACTAAAAACAACAAAACATCTAAGTCAGCCAGAACCCACACAAGCTCCTGAGACACATGCATCACTAGCAACATTTCTACAACAATTTGCAATTCTTGGGCCAAGGTTTAAACTTCCATCAGAAAGCGTTTGGTCGAAACTGAAATCAGATTGAAGCCCTGATACTCAAGAAGGAAGAAAAATTAGAACACTCAGAGTGCAAACCCAGTGTACTATCTGATTTGTGCAAAAGGTTATAAGGAAAAAAAAATTCAAAACTTTCAAAACTGATGCAGAAAGAAAACACTTATCATAGCCTCCATTAAACCTAAAGCAACCCCTAGATATCTGGTCAACCGCTTGTTGTTAGTAGGCAAAGTCATTGGAGGTGTTCGTAAAAATGCCTCAAGGACAGGAAGGGCTACCAAGCACAACAAAATAAATCCTTGCCTAGTGAATGGTCTTCCTCCAAAACCTAGAACACAAAAAGCCCTGTCTCACAAACTGTATGTTTGTAAGCAGGACTTTAGAGGACTCTTTCTGAATAAACTCCACCAGAATGTTAAAAGAAAATAGTGAAAATGGCTATGGAGGTTCTGTGGCTATATTCAATAGCCAATGACCAAGTTGATGGGGCATATTATGAAAATTCATCCACAACATATCGGCAGTTCAACTTCAGAAGTAAATCAAAAAGTTTCCATGAACAGCATATCAATCCGCCAGCTAAGAATATCATACAGGTGATCAACGCTAATCTTGTGTACATCCTGCAATTATATGCATGCCAAAAGAATTAATATTCCAAAATAGCTACAAGAGAAGTTGCTCTAAACAAGGAAATTATTGAGACAAGCATCAAGCATCAAAGTTATAGAGAAAAGGAAGAAAACCAGTGTTTATCCTCCTCCACAGCCAAAGGAACGCCCAAACCACAGTGAATATCCTAAAACTAACACAATTTTGAGGAAGACATGCAAGGTAAACTGACTAGGTAGAAAGTAGCATCGTGTTAAGTTGAACATGAGCTAGCTGGTTTTACCTCTTCAACTAAGGTAACCAAACACAAACATTTTGCTGGGGGTAAAATAATGACCAAGTAGAGACATTCAATAAATTGTAAGGCTGAAACCTCGGATTGTATGAACTTACCCTTCACTGACCAAGCTTAAGGACAGATTCACCAAAACAGTTTGTGAAAGGCCTAATTTGTTAAGAATAGACGTAAGAGGATCATATGGATGCTGCACACTGAGTTCAAAATTTAGAGTGGTCAGTATCATTTGCTCGGCATCAGTCACCCGTTCCCGATACTGCTCAAACCAGTCCTGCTTAACATACAACAGATATCAGAATGCTTGAAAGTACAATTCTAATCTCAGCTTTCATGTTTGGTTTTTCAAGAGGAGAGATAAGAGTATAGAGGCTCAAAAGAAATCTGAAGAAACTCACAACAGGGAGCATATAGGACAAGAAACTGAAATCTTGCTTATGGAAAATCTCACAAGACGCTCTCAACACATTATTCAAAGGGCGTGGTGTCTCCTCATACTTTGCAGAAAGAAAAAGAGCAGCGGTAGCAATCAACTGCAAAAAGAAGCACAGTCATGAACTATAATTTCCAGATGGAGTGAACGAGTAAGTCAATAACATACTTAGTACATTACACCATAGGAAATTACTAAATAGCACATAAAGAGAGCAGAAACATAGGTTAAATGAGTTATTAAGAAAATGAAAATGAAAAGTAAAAACGAAAAGACTTTGAACACAATAAATGATTGAATTTCTGAAATGCTATAATGCTGATTGTACGAGAACAATAAAAATGATGATTATCTAAAAGAAAGGAATACAACTATTTTTCCAAATTCACACATGGAAACCTTTTTAACTTCTATAGATGCAATGAATTTCAAAAGAACTTGAATACTTACAAATCTATCATGGCAAGCATGTGATCGCCGAGCAAAAAACCGATGGCAGAGAACCATTGCAGTAGCGATAGTAGTTTGTGGCCTGGAATATATATGATAAAGTTTTTCAATTACATAGTCTTACAAAAAGAGAATAAAACCTTGAAACTTAATGTCAACTAGCAAAATCTTTATAATACCACAGCCACTAGTTTTTTTATTAAAAACAAAGACACTTTGTGAGAAGAAGCTTACAAATCAAGCCGCAATCCAAGATTCTGAAGGTAAGAACAATATGAGTATCGCAAATGTGCTTCACGCACTGCATCTATACCATCTTTTCTAGATGGGGAGTGTCTCTCAATCTCATCCCTTGACATAAAGGCCAGTTCATCCTCCTCTAATTTTGAGCGGTCACGTTTACCGGTAGTAGATGTAGAGGCATCACCATTGGACCTTGTGTGAGGAACATAGTTATTGTAGATAGACGGGGCAAAGTCATATGTGTTGGCAGGAAGATAGTGTCTCGCAGCATCACCCCAAGTAGAAGCTGAAAATTTTCTCCTCTTAAACGATGGAGCACTGTCAGGCTTGGAATAATTAGAATAGTCAGTATGCTCCCTATAATTGCCCATGTAATTATGGAAGTTGTTAAAATTCCTAGAGAAACTATTGCTCCTGCTCCTGTTCCAGTTGTTGTTGCAGTGGTTGAAGTTGTTGAAGTTTTTGAAGTTGTTGAAGTTTTTGAAGTCGTTTCTACTGAATGAGGGCCAATATTCATCACCAGCAGTGCCCCCTTGGGAGCGGAAGTTACGTGTAAAAGACATTGCTCCTGCTAAATTAAAAACAATACACAAACCATGAGAAATTACAAAACTAAAATTAACAAAAACCGAACAAGACATAGAGATCACTGTGATCAACACTGGTTAGAAATTTCTATTCACAATAAAATTTAGGTTATGCTCATGCATTTACAATGGTTTTACTTGATCAAAAAAGTTGCTGCCTATGCCCCCTTGGGAGCGGAAGTTACGTGTAAAAGACATTGCTCCTGCTAAATTAAAAACAATACACAAACCATGAGAAATTACAAAACTAAAATTAACAAAAACCGAACAAGACATAGAGATCACTGTGATCAACACTGGTTAGAAATTTCTATTCACAATAAAATTTAGGTTATGCTCATGCATTTACAATGGTTTTACTTGATCAAAAAAGTTGCTGCCTATGCACTATGTAGCCTATCTAAACTTGACCTCCTATAATCACTAATAAATCAATAACAAAAACAACCTATAACTTGTCATAAGAACCAACCTGCCTCTATATTCAACCAATCTTCAGGATCGATTTTCTATTGTCCAGTAACCAAAAATTTTTAATGAACCCAGCAACCAAATTTGTTAACTCTTCTAATTCTTCCAAAATCATCTTTTGCACACGCACATATCCATAAATATGTAGGCGCATGCATGAAATAAATATGATACTCAATAACGTATAAATATCAGATCCGTTCAAGGCTCTTCACTTAAAAATACATAAATTCAATACAAAAACCTACAAATAATAGCAGATCATTGCAGAAAGTTAAGTAATTCGAATTAAAATCGAAAAACTAACCAACTTCAAATATCTGATTGCACAAAAAGTGGCAGATTGAAACGATTAGAACCTTAGAACTGAAAAACGACGACGACGAGAACGAACAAATCGTGAAAACAACAGAAATTACCTGATCGGCAGCGATGGAGATCTGAAACCGCGGTGGATACGATCGCAATTAGGGTTTGGGAGAAGGAAAGCGTAAAGGAGTAGACAAGAGAGAAGAGAGCCCAAAGAAGTTCAAACCCAAACGAAAGTGAGAAGCTTTATAATTTGGTCAGGTATAAGAAGGTCAGCAACAACAACCCAATCCACGCTTTCACCCCTCTGGAATCTTTGTATTTCTTTTCGAATAAAAATTTCTTATCGGATTTAATTTTAATTAAATTTCTTTTTTTCACAAGCTTTCTTTCTTTTTATTTTGCTAACACCTTCTTCTTTTTTCTTATTATAAAAGCTTATTAGCGTTGGAGCGTTAACCGTTAAGTTAATATGGTGTTAACTATTCGTTTGGGCTTACTCAACAATATAAAATCTAAATCGTTCATTTATTATATCTTTATTTATTTATATATATGGTATTTCTGTATTAGAATTTAGAAAAGGGTGCGTTTTCTAAATTTTGAAGGGAAAAAAGTTGGTCGTGTTTTGCATATTAGTTTTCAATTTATGTCATTTTCTACTTAAAATTAATATGAATAATTAACAAATGTTGAATTTTCTCATTTCTATAGCTTTTGCATCTCTTCCTCCGTGGTGGTTTCTCCATACCTCCATCACCAATGAGACTTCTCCACCAAGAGAAATCAAGTTTTGCCTTTGATCCTCACGTTTATGCAAATTCATATATATTGGATCAATTTTAATCTACTATGTCGTCATTTTCCATAATCAATGAGTGGTGGGCAATGGCTCATGCTAGGGGTGACCTCATATGGTCTTAGCACCAATTTTGAAAATGTGACCAAATGAGTAACGCAAGAGTCCATGTTGAAAAGGAAAGAATACTCAAATCGAAAGGTCAATGTGACCAAATCAGATGGCTACAATTAATGAAAAGTTACAGCAAGCTTTGCAATCAAGGCTCATCTCCAAGGCAAAATGCTTTGTGGTAAATGTGTCTAATAAGTTTGGTTTGGTTTGCGTAACTAATTAGATAGAAAAAAATTTCCTATATTCTTTTTCAAGAGACGAGAATGGAAGATTTCTTTCTCATGTTTGATAACGTTGGGGATTTACACACAAACATTCCTAGGTGCATTAGAGTTTCGAACCTCTGCTTTGAGTCCAATTGAGCTTAACTAACTGAACTATACCTAATTGGTAAGAATACCAACAATATTTGTTGTTGAACTAAATTGTTAATGGGGACAAATTATTCATGAAAAAAAGTGCATTTAATGTTGACCTTGGTTTTCTATGGGAATGGAAAATAAAATTCATGTGCCAAAAAGCATTTCATATTACTAGAATTACCAAATATACTAAATTATTTCAAATAACTGGATTTACAAAATAGTTAGGCAAATGGTTAGAAGAAAAAAAAAACACTTTATTAAGAATTGTTCCTATGTATGTCATGTCCTTTTATCAATATATCTGCCTTAACTTTTGAACAAGGCAATTTGACTTTGTCAAAAGCTGCTTGAAAAACTTCCATAAAATTGGAATAACACTATTTTGTTATTCCCGATTAATAATACATTATACAGATGATAGCATTTTTACGTGGCATAGCTAGAAGCCTTTTATTGAATGTCCAATCAACTCTTATCGGCGGACCACACTACTTCTCAAAGTTAATTTGCTTAATTCACACATTACCAACTAACTTGATAGATAAAGAAAACCCTAAGGGCTCGTTTGGGACATAGGCTTGGCTTGGCTTGGCTTGGACTAAATTTAGTATCATGTTTGTTTCATTTAGTTTTAATCTTAGATGGGATTGCTAATACCGGGCCTACCAAAAACACCTCCTTAGGAGGGGACTACTAAGCCTATGTAGAAATGGAGGATTAACTAGTCATATGTTCACTAATGTATAAGATGCATATATTATATTGTAATACTAATAACATATATTATTATTATTATTATTATTATTACATACACATATATTATAATGTACATATATACACGTATATACACATATACATGTGTACATATAAACACATATATACATATAGATATATACACGTATATTATTATTATAATATACCCATATATACATATACATAATAGCATTCATGTATATATGTAATATATATTATAATATATATAATATATATGTATATATATTATACCCATGTATGATATACATATACACACGTATGTACACATATACATTATATATTTATACTATGTATATATATTATAATATACATATATACACGTATATACATGTATATTATTATTATAATAACATACCCATATATATTATAATATACATATATACATGTATGTTATTATTATTATTATTATAACATACCCATATATATTATATATTATATATTATATATTATAATATACATACATATATATAAATATATGTATATGTATTGTATTATACCCATATATATTATAATATACATATATACACCTATATACACACATATATATATATGTTTATATTATACACACATATATACATGTATATACACATATATGTTATATATATTATATGTATGTGTACAGAGAGCTTCCATTGAGGGATCCCTCAAATGAGCTTATTTGAGGGACACCCCTTGTAGGGCCCACTCCAGATTGTATTTCACTAATCCAAACCGTCTATTTTGTAGATACACATTCAAAGATCATCTCTACAAAAAAAAATCACTTGAATCCGATATCATTTACCATTCAATTGAGTTATTGAAATTTTAGTACTTTCTTGAAGCACCGTGTTCATTGATTTTGTAAGGCACAATTGAATGTCAAAACGGTTTCCGATTTGTCTAATTTTTTTGTAAGGATGATCTATGAATAAAGACCTAAAAAATAGATTGTTTGGATCATTGGAAAAAAAAATTGTAGGATACCCTAAAAGGCGTCTCTCAAATAAAATTATTTGAGAGATCCCTCAATAGAAGAGGACTGTGTATGTATATACACATATATGTTATATATATATATATACATATATATTATATATTATATAAAATACATATATACATATATACATATTTATTTATTTATTTATTTTTTGAAAAAATAAAAAAATCTAGTCCTAGTCCAAGCATACACCAAACGCAAGATAAGTGTTACCCAACTTAGACCAAGCCAAGACAGTCTCTAAGCAAAGTCCATGTCAAGATAGTCATGTGTAACAAACAAGCCCTAATGTTTTTATGCAACATGACACTTGTCAACTTGATATGAGAAAAGGCTTTACCTGTTTGAGTAGCCAACAACAACTACAAAATAGGAGAAATAAGAGGAAGCTTAATTAGCTATTAGGACCACATCCACATCCACATACCAAACAGCAAATACCAATCCTAGCTAGAGAATAATACGTGAACGGAACTAACAATACTGTTGCTAGCTGGAAGAGAAGCAAAGACATCAATATTATTGCTTTGGTCCCTTTCGGCGACGTGGATTATACGTGATAATATCGTCCATTAGGTGTGTAGGCCTAGCTACTAGTCTAAAAAGAATGAAAAATGAAAAAGTTCCATAGGTGTGCAGCTCTTGTTTTTTCCCCCAATGTGTGCGGACGGAGTAAAACCTTCCACACAACATGTTTCATACGCATTTTTGTTTATCATTTTTATCAAATAATAAGTCATGTTACGAGAAAAATAGAAAGACAAATTTATGAAATATGAAATACGCATGTTTTTTCTATGCGGGTAATTGATGCTCTAATCCGAGCACAAGGGTTTTAATTAACCATATACGGTAACTAACTGGCTTCTGGAAAAATATATGAGCAAATTGCAATTGGATATAATGCCATTAACTAGCAAGGAGAAACGTGCTAAGACTTTGCACTCAGAATCAAATAATTCAGAAGTTTGAAGTCGCCTTTAATATTGGCATATAGGATACTGTATATATGTCGATTTGTCCACGTTAAGAGTAATACCTTAGCCAAAAGGTCATTAGAGAAGCCAAAATCACGTGATGCAGCACAAAAAGCTCATGCTAACACTTTCTTTCGAACAATAATTGACACATCCAGTATTTGTGTTTCTCTTTTTGCTAAATTAAAGGTCATGGTACATTTTTGCATTCAAACTAAAGGTCATGGTGGGATGAAATACCAAACGTGTTTAAACCTAAGTGGGAAAATATAAAAGTGAAAACCCCTAGCCGCCCGCCACCCCTTTAGGGGCGGTGACTACCATACTTTTTGTCCTCTCTTCTTCTCTTTTTCATTTTCTATTCACCTCCTTCCTTTCCCATCCTCTTCGCTTCCCTCTCCATCATCATCTCTATTTTGTTAGCTCGTTTATGGAGTATTTTTGTAACAAATCCCTGCATATCTATTCATTTTTGGTGTATCTGGCTATCTTCGCTAAAAAGGAAAGTCGATTGGTGTATATATGTCATCTTTTAGTAATTGTGGACAATGAGTTGGCTTTGTGACAACATGGTTGCAATCTGACTGGTTTAGTTTCTTTCTTTTTGGAATAAGTTACAAAAACTCTCTTTGGGTTTATTTTTGGAATAAATACAGTCATAAGTGTTTTTGATTATCATAAAGTACTTTTTGCTCTTCCAAAAACACTCTCAAACACACCCTTAAATTTCATGCACGAGAGGCTTTTAATTGAAATTGAATGTCAGTTAAATGGATAGCTAGCCATAGTAAAGGGGCATTTTGGATGCATAGTAAAGGTTCCAAAGGCCGTTCACATCCAATCCAATTGACCTGTAAAACTCAGAGAAAAATGCTCCAAGTCGACCCAATGATCTCTTTACTAGTACAAATCAATTACTTCATATAGCATTAATCGTGGCTCTAATCTCCACTAATTTGCTGAAATATTATAGTATACGTATTCATACCTCGTAGCTAGCAAGTTTAACTACAATTAATTTTGTTTTCGTTCAAGATTACCTTTTTGATGCCTCGAAAAGCTATTTCTTCTCTACTATGATTCTGGGATTGGCGAGCAAATCTCATGTCATGAGAATCTAGTTAATTTTCCTGGACAGAGTGACCTCCTTAATAAATTACTATTTCATTATTTTTATCACATTTGATTTGATTAATTATATTTGTATGAAGCAACAATTTCCCTGTGCAAAGCAAAAGTTTAATGCCAGATGGATCAACAAGATCAAATCTACCACATCTTATCTGGCATGGCAGGGCAGGCATCAGATTTTACAAATAAAAGTACCGTGGGCTCTATGTATGATCACTTGCTAATAAAAAAAATCACAACTTTATGAAGAACAGCATGCAAATGATCAGATGGGCTCAAGGCTTTTAACTAGAAGTTAGTTGACCCAATAATGTAATGCAATCGGCAGGTTTTTATCAGAAATCATGATTTGCACATGTCCAAAGCATACAAGAGTGCATATATATATATATATATATATATATATATATATATAACCAGCAGCTCTGTAAACATATGATTGTGATTTGGTATGTAATTTACCGTAAAAAGATAAGTATCACTAGACCAATAGCTGATTCATTTCGTGTCTAAACGACGTCGAATAAGATTTAAGATTATAACGTATAAAAATTAAATCTATAAAAGATGAAGATCATATAATTATTATGGTGATCAAATGAGCCAGCAGCATGCCCTGCTTCGGTTCATGTAACTCTCTCTCTCTCTCTCTCTCTCTCTCTCTCTCTCTCTCTCTCTCTCTCCACAACAAAGATATCTTATAGATTATAAATTAGAATAACGTGGAGTAAACCCGACCTTTCACGTTTCAGGCACGTGACACCTAACCCTTCATATATCATCTAATCACTTGTACTCTACCGTGTCTCTCTCTCTCATCAGACACCACATCAGTCAGCAAAAAGAAAGAGAGAGAAAAGGTTCAAACTTCAAACCCCCATCATCCCATGTGAGCTGGTAAGAGCCCTTCCAAAACCCAGCCCCAGATCCACACCACTTTTGACGTACAAAACACGAACCACCACCCAAACTTCACATCAAAACAAAACCCATTAATATCATCCCCTCCTCTCAAACTCACAAAAACCATTATGTAGCTTCCCTTCTTCTTTTTCTTCCTTTTTTCTTTTTTGGTTCTTGTTTTTGTTTTTGCTTCAATCAAAGATAATGGAGATGAGGATGATGAGAAAAGATGATGAGATGAACATGATCAAAGTGAAGAAGCATCATCATATTCATCATCCCCACCAAAAATCCCAAACCCTACCGCCCTCCCCAACCCACTCTTTCTCTTCCTCCTCCTCTTCAGATTTCGAGTTCACAATCTCTCTCTCTCCTCGCAAATCCTCCAACACCCTCTGCCCCGCCGACGAGCTCTTCTACAAAGGCCAGCTCCTCCCCCTCCACCTCTCCCCCCGCCTCTCCATGGTCCGCACCCTCCACCTGCCCTCCTCCGCGTCATCGTCTTACAACTGCTCATCCTCCGAAACCACCACCTCACGTGACTCCACCGCCAGCAGCTCCAATGAGTCACGTGACTCCACCTCCTCCTTCGCCAGCGACCTCGGCCTCCTAGCCGACCAGTCCTGCGGCTCCTCTCGCCCCAGCTCAGTCGCCGAAGACACCAACGACGAGTCTTACAAGCGCTTCGGCAGCAGCAAGTACGCAGTGCAGCACACCGCCAGCAACAACGATGCCGTTTCGAGGAAGAAGTACTTCTCCTTGTCGAGATTCTCGTCCGTGTTCAAGAAGGAGCCGAAAGTACAGAAAGACAACAATGTTCCAGATCACCAGCAGCAAAACAACAACAACATGGTGGGGCCCGGATCCAATAATGCATCATCAGCGAAGCCGAAACGTATGAGTTTGACTGCCAAGGAGGTTTTTAGCAAATACTTGAAGAAGGTGAAGCCCTTGTATGAAAAACTCTCCCAAAAACAGCAACAGAAAATGGGAGGAGTAGGAGGAGGAGGAGGAGGCGGCTTAAGCATCATCACGACCACAAAAACCTCAGCAGAAAAATGCGCCACGAGAAATAATAAAGATTGTGGTGGCAGCAGTCATGGCTTAGTTTCTCAGTCCTTCTCGGGTAACCTGAGGTATCCGAGAAGGAGGGGCAGCGTTTCGAGCTGCCCTTCTTCCATGAGGTGCTCCCCAAGCCACTCAGGCGTTCTCTCCCGTACTACCGGGTTAACGGGTTCAGGCTCGAGTTTGTGTACGAGTGGTGGCAACAGTTCAGCGTCTTCGATGGAGGAGCTTCAGAGCGCAATTCAAGGTGCAATTGCTCATTGCAAGAACTCCTTGGTGGTTCAGAGCAAGAGTGCTGCTACGTGCCATGGTCAGTGATGAGATTTGAGATCCAACCTAATTAATTAATTTGACTTATATTAGAATTTGATGAATTAATTAATTAATTAAATTTGATTTCATCTAGATAAATAGATCTGTACAAGTGTTTTTATCTCTGCCTCTGTTTTCCAAATGCCTGAGGTCTCATGAAAAAGCTGCATCTGCATGCATGACATGCATGACATGCATGTGATGGGGTTGGATATGATATGATGGTATTTTGGAAACTACTCATTTGGATTTGGTCTCTCAAATTGAGCATCAAATGAGCTAAAAGTCTCTGTCTGTGAGTACTGTTTAGCCTCGAAACTTGAAATCTGTATAATCTTGTTGTTTAGGCTGTGTTTGGTTCCCGTTTTGTTGACCAAAAATGTGAATGAATTTAACGTAAAAATCATTGTAGCATATGGGAGTTTTCTATGCTTTTGGCTTTTGGGTTTTTCTTTGTAACGATGAATTCGGGTGTCATAACTTTTAGGACCGTTATGTTCATGAGCAGGCTGCTAGCTAGATCAGCTTTTTTTTTTTCTTTCTGGAAACGTGTATGATTTTTCTTGCTTTTTACTTTTCTTCTATGAATGAATTTGATCGAGTTCTGACTTGTAATTATGGGAATAAAAAAAAACAAAATTTTATTAATTAATTTAAAAGAAAAAGGCACATGGTCATTTCAGTCTGTTGAGGCTTGACTTGAGGTCAGCCATGTGGGGAGAGATTATTAGAGAGGAAGCTTCAGCAATTGTGATTGGATAAGACGGTGGATATTTAATAAGGGAAGCTGGCAAAGTAGTTGCCAACTTCCTATTTATGGCATTTCAAATCTAATAAAGTTTCAGTTTATAAACTATCTGGACGATATATAGAGCATCCATCTTAAGACAATCTGGACGATTATTGAGTTTAATATGATTGTTCCAATGAAATTAGTTAATATTATATGTCACACTAGCACATAATGATGTTTTTTTTTGGGGAGAAACTTTAGGATTACATTCATAATTCAGCTAAAAAAAGCCACTAGCCACAAGGGCCATTACAATAACATAGTGGTCTAACATCAAAATTAAGACAATCGGGTACGCCTCCACTAACGATCACGCAGGATCGAAGAAACTTTGACATAGGCATCCACACTAAGATTGCAAACTCAGAATAATAATAAAAAAGATAAAACTTGAAAAAATCAAGCCATAACAATACAAATAAAACTCTCACAAAGAAGAGATGAAAAACTCTCACAAAGGAGAGGTGAAAAACTCTCACAAAAGAGAGGTGAAAAACTCACACAAAAAGAAAAGTGAAAACTACACAAAGAACACAAAGAGTCTACGTGACTTATTCTGAACATAAAGAAACAACAAAAAGGATGGTAGTGGAGATTCGACGCTGAAACGCAGATGGAGATGCCAAGACGCAGCCATCTATGATGCTTGGAGGAAAATAATAACAAAACAAAGACAAATAGGGAAAACTTTTGTCTTTGAAAATGAGGGAAGAAGAGAGGGAGGAAGAGAAGAGGGGAGAGGGGAGAAATGAGGAAGAACAGTAACTTCCTCCTTCTTCAAAGTGAAAACGGTTCTAGAAGGGTTTTGAGAGAAAGGAGAGTAGGGTTTGGTATTGGCCCAAAAATGAGGGTACATAATGATGTTTAAGGATATTTTAGCTATGTTATTTCTTCACAATAATCAAAGGTTTTTTAAGATTGCTTTGTTAATGCATTTTGGCAATAAATCGTCAAATATGTGGAGAGGGACAAATCACATCAATTGGCACCAGATAGTTTGTCGTTGTCAGACCGATGACACATTCTGAATCTAACTTGTTTCCATGTGGACCATCCACGGCAAATAATACCAATGGATCATAAATATGAGATCCAGGCCCTCTGAATAAACATCAGCCACCCCTTTCATACCACGTACTACTACTTAGTACAGTACCTTCATATAGAGACGGTGGAACAATATCTATGTCTACCAATGGAGAACTTCTTTTATGCAACGTAAAACATCTACGTGAAAAAGTTAAAATGAATTATAATGTGTGATTGATTTGAAATATTGTCGCAATGATATTTCAGTGTAAGTAGGGACGGTCTCAAGAAGGGATTAACTTTGGCTATAGCCCAGGTGAGTTGTTATTTTATTAGCCAAAAATTTAATTTAGCCCAACTATGCCTACTAATGAAAATCATGTCATTGCTCATCCAACAATACACTCAAGGAAAAGAAGATAAGACAAATTAATGAATTGAATTCTCTTTGACTATTTTAAAACATTATTGTGTAGAATATCCCTGATGACTTATTTATATATATATATATATATTTTTTTTTATGAACCGTTTACTGGTAATTTTCCTTTCATTGATATCCCTCTTCACATATAATTCCTTTAAGCGAAAAAAATAAATAAATAAAAGAATGATTTGGTACGCTGCAAGAGTTGCACTTTTATGTTTCACTTTCTAGTGTGTACATAAGATAAATTTAACTTACTCTATTTTAAAATCTTGAATCCGTCCCTAGGTGTAGGTAGGTAACATTCCATGATAGTGCAAGAGGGGCCCTCAAACCTTCCAGACCAACACATTGCGTCACATAAGATGGATGGAAATTAGCCATATATAATCGATCGGAGTTGAGAAAAGTGAAATGTAGTCGCATCTATAATTATCTGTCTTCTATAGCTGGGCATTAAAGGTTTTTCACATGGATCCAGAGAGACAAGTCACATGAACTTTATTGCACTAATTTGCGTGGTCCTTCTCCTTCGTACTGAAAGTTTTTTCACGTTATAAAAGCCCACAAATATCTTACCTCAAAAAAAGAAAAGCCCACCGAAATATATTGTAAGCATTTCTATCAAAATACAATAAGCATTATTTTAAAAAATCTGAGATTTTGGACACGTGGATCCTAGCTAAAGAAACTGATATTTTGCCTAAAAATTATCGAAGTTGATTTTCAATCAAGTCAGAAGAAAAATTTATATCCACTTAATCGATTGATATTGATCGCTTTGATCAAACTTGTGTTCATTGTTATCAAGATAACGAACTGACTATCTAGTAAACATTGCTCTTTTGCTAAAAACAAATGGCAAGATTATTCTTAGCCCCGTTTGGTTTGCGGTTAATGTTATATTGTAATTTTAAATTGTTAATAAGGATAAAATTGTTATGAAAAATGTGCATTTTATGTTAACTTATTTTCCCAAACTTTTCCATGAGGAGAAAAACAAAACGCAAGGAGGAAGGAGAGTTTCATTTTCCCCCTACTTTCTCATGTACAAGGCAACCATTTTCCATACCTGAACTTACCAAATATGGAAAACCCCTTTTGGTTCATGGGAAAGGAGATTTGGGAATGGGAAATCAATTACTTTTCCATGTTTGGTAAGTCCATATATGGGAAATCGTTGCCTGGCTTATGGGAAAGTATGGGAGAAAGTGAAGTCCTCCTCCCAAATTGGGTTTTGTTTTCCCTCATCATGTGAAAGTTTGGGAAAATGAGCCATTATTAAATAAACATTTTTCATGACTATTTTGTCATCATTAACAATTTAGAATTACAATATCATACATTTTTTTTTTTTTTTTTTTTTTTTTTTTTATTTAAATTTATTTGGGTATATATGGGAAAATTTATACACAACTTTGTTTTCCATTCCTACTCAAAACAAACATGGGAAAGGAAATAAAGTAATATCTCCCGATTACTTTCCCAGCATTATCAAACATGAGAAAAGAATATTCCATTTCCCATCTATTGAGAAATAACATGGGAAATGATTTCCCTACAAATTCGTTTCGTGAACCGAATTAGGCCAAAAAGCAATTGATTTCTCATTCTAAGTCTCATTTCCCATCTATTGAGAAATAATATGGGAAATGATTTCCCTACAAATTCGTTTCGTGAACCGAATTAGGCCAAAAAGCAATTGATTTCTCATTCCAAGTCTCATTTCCCATTAACCAAACAGAGCCTTATGATTGGAGTTCTCGTGTAATACTTTTGGAAATCAATGGGTAATTGGCAAGATGAGAAAATTAATGACATAATTAATCATTTTGATTTTAAGTTTTAAGTCTTAAATTTTGGGCCGTTCAAAATCCAAGACTCAAAACCTAAAATCTAAATTCTAAAATGACGATCATGAACCATAAAAGCAATCAATCTTGTTGAAAACCAGATTAAAAATAGAAAGAAAATTAAATAAACTGTGGTGGTGGAAGTTGGGGGCCGTGGGGGTGAGGAGAGGAATGAGCGAATGACAACCACAGAATCTTACCAACTACGTATAGTTCTTTGTCTCACTTACCCTTCGTTGTAATGATAAGATACTTGAACTAATTAGACAATGGTTTGTCTGAACAAGTCTAGTCTCTGATCATGATCATATAAAGCTATGCACAAGGGGCAGCTTGGCATGATTTTGCTCCTCTCCCTCAACACATAACCCTCTCGTATGGTTGAGTAGTTGAAATGTTTGCTAGCTGCAGTTAGATTATATTAGATTAGATTAGATTAGATGCTTGAGGTGTTTTGAAATGTTTGAGGCTCGTCTGCTTTTATGATTAACAATTCGTTTACTTTACCCAACATAATCACATTGCGACATCCACAAACAAACAGTGGTAGCTAGAAATCGGTATTCGATCACAAAAAGTAGAAGCAGAAGACACAAATTTGTCCTAGCTTTTGTGTTTGTTTGATCATTTGGTTTATGTATTTATTAATTAAGGGAGGCGTTGCCTCTTATATTATTTTTGTGGATGGTATTCCACAACGAAAGATGGAAAAGGCTCTAAAGCCATACACGTACTAAAGAAAGTTGAGGTTTTACTCCAAAATCAATTGGCAATGGAGGGAATAATCCAATTCCTTATAAACCCAGACTAAGACTCTTAATTTTTCAATATGAGACAAACACGCTCGACACGTTTTGTAAGATGTTACCAAACCTAGCCTTAGCTTCCTTTAATTAATTCAATTGATTTGAAGGTGTCAGAGTGAAACTTTTGTGTAGCTTTAACAATTGGCAATTATAAATTTAAGTAGTATTATTAGCTGGCTGCATTTTTTTTTTTTTTTTTTTTTTTTTTTTTTTTTTAAGGAGCGTTCATTGAAGCAAAAGAAGGCGTACAAAAGAGATACAAACCTGAAAAGCTAATAGAAACTCAGGGAAAAAAACAAAACTCACAGAGTCTAGAAACCAGTTTTTCCCCACAGAGACAAAAACACTGAAAACAAAAATTACAATTAAGGGGGACTAGGAAGTCCATCAGAAGCCAGAACCCGCACCAGGGACGGAGGTGGCTGGTTAGCCCATCCTTGCGGACACACCGCCCTTAATCCTATCGCCGCCGTCACATGAGCCGCGCGATTTGGTAGCAGACATCAAGTATAATATAGTAGATTAGTCAGAAAGACTGCAGAGATTTAATTAACACTCCTCAAAGCAATCCCACATTCACGGCCCGATGATAATGCTCATCTTCTTCATTGCAAAAATTTATGTTCACCTGGTAACTACCAATTATTTTTCGTCTAGTTGTAGTTGTCTTCACAATTTGTGGTGGATTTATTCGATACCTAATTGCAGCTGGTTCTGTTATGTAGCGTAAAAGCCTCCATAATTTATAAATATTTATGGTTTATTTATAATTCAAGTGCAAGGCCCAATGCGAAGCTACGTATTCAAACTCTGGGTGAGGCACGGTTGGGAATTATTACAATACAATTATGTCTGTCTCTGGGCCACCTAATCCATGGCTGCTGATACTGTAGAAATGGGGGCCTTTTGATAGCAATGCATGTGTAAAGTTAGCCTTGAGCATGGGGCCTTGCCAACAGCAAGCTGTGGATGCCACATTGAAGTCCACCACTTTTTCAGTTAGCCCTCATTTTCTGCTCTTTTATGATCTTATTTTTTAATACAAGCGATTGTCTAAATTACAAGAGAATGAGAGCTTCTCTCTCACACACACTACCATGGTGCTATGGAGGTTCAAACATGAGACAATTTGTCTGCAAGTCAAGACCCTTTTCACTCTGCTAGATCATGTTGGTAGACCTGGCAAACGGGTCGTATTAACGGGTTTCGGGTCGTGTTCGTGTCAACCCATTAAGTTAACGGGTTAACACGACACGACCCGTTAAGTTAACGGGTTACAAATACTAGACCCAAACACGACCCGTTACAATTCGCGAATATCCGACACGACCCGTTACAATTCGCGAATATCCGACACGACCCGTTAACCCGTTAAGAATAAACCAAAAAAAAAAACTATCACAGCTTCTCTACCCGACACACCTTCTCTGTCTTTTTTCCCCCAAACCCCAACCCTAATTTTTCTTCCCTCTTTCCCTCTTTATTTCAGTCTTCTCACCCCAAAATAGTATATCTCTCTCACACATATATATTAAAAACTCAACAACTACATAAACTGAGGAAGAAAGAAAATTCAAAATTGACTGAGAGAACCAAAACCAACAACCTCCTTCTTGATCCGTGATGAATGGGCTGCCGGAGTCTATTGAGTGGAGAGAAGAAGAGCATAAGAGAATTTTGACCAAAAAAGAGCAAGGAAGCAGAGAAGCAAAGAAGAAGAGAAGAAGAGAAGAACGGGAGGAAGAAGAAAAGGAAAAGGGGAAAGAGGAAAAAGACAAAAAAGAAAGAAGAAACAGACACGGAAAGAAGGAAACTAAAGAGGAAAAGGGGAAGAAGAAAAGAAAAGAAAAAATATTTTGCAAAACTACCAAATTACCCTCCTTAACGGGTGGATGCGAATATTCGCGAATTGACCCAACCCAACCCGTTAGCTTAACGGGTAGCTAACGGGTTCACCCGTTTTAACCCAACCCATTAAGCTCAACCCAAATACTGATAATTTCGTGCGAATTCGTGTCGTGTTAACGGATCGTGTGCAATATTGCCAGGTCTACCTGTTGGCGTCCTATAATCCTATTATAACATTAGATAGTGTGTCCGTCCTTTTGCACTCAAGTTTGATTTCTTTTCTCGTACATTAGAGTAGTTAAAATATTATTTTGTAATCTTACATATTAAAGGGAATCAAACCTTGAACGTATCCAAATCCTAATCGTTTCTCATAATTTCGGCTAACCTGAGGGAATATAGAAAATCCATTTATTGCTTAAATATTCTTTTCTTTTCTGAATGCCTAACCAATCAGTTACCCAGATGATTCAATTTCAATATAATCCACCTAACCTATTATACTGTCTGGCCTGAGTCTTACAAATGACAATGTTTGCATCAAACTCTCTCTCTCTCTCTCTCTCTCTCTCTCTCTCTCTCTCTCTCTCTCTCTCTCTCGTACACACACACACACACTAGAGAGTAGAGAGTGCTAAATCTGAATGATATATAAAATAAATAATGTGTAATTAATGATCTCCTCTGTTTCATGTACTAACAGCTAGGATTTAGATGAAACCGGAGTAAACTCCTCTCTAATTTAATAAAATGGTCAATGCTAATTAATGGTCCCCCCAACTCTTGTCTTGTACAGTCTTTAGCCAGCCACATTGCTTTGCCTTTGCAGTTTTTATTTATTGGTTTGCATTTGAAATCACTCCTTTTATAATCATAATTGCCTAGAACACCAAAACTTGTGGTCCCAATATTTCTCCAAACTAACAAGATCGAATTGGTCACGTCTTTGACAGATAGGAATGTACTATTATTATGTATATATGTTCTTGTCTCTTAACCCTTTACTGATCATTGTCTGTCATAACTCTGTAGCCAGTTTTCTTCTGTAGATGTATAGTGCCTTGACTACTAGCCTTCACTTCCACAGGTTAAACGCTCCTTTCTTACTCGTGATGCACGATTCATTTCACGATCACTTTATCACGTGAACAACATATACAAGACACATAACATTTCAACCTAATTATGAAGAAAGTCTTCACTAAACCGATTACGTGAATGTGTTGTGATGAAATGGTGCATCAATTGATCGCTGCTAAAATTTGAATGATTTGTGTATCACATGATGGTTCTTGTTGTTTATTAGATTAGCAAGTAAACAAACACTTTGACACATTATTGTCTCCCTCAGTCATCGCAGAACAAAGACACAACAAACAAGAAATAATTATACAAGAGAGGACAGAGGAGGACCACAGAATGCTCTCTGGTTTATGTGCTTTTGCTTAAATGATCACAGCGAATAACTACATTTAATAATCACAAGATTTACCTCCAATGTTGATTAGCTGTCTTGATTTAATTACAACTGCCCAAATCTTGATGGAAGCTTTTTAAGCCATGAACATGATATCTACCACTTGAAAAACCCTTCCAGATGACAAGAACACACACCAGGATGGGAGAATTTACATAAAATACCAGAAACAGTCAAAGCCCATCAAAGGGTATTTTGGTCATCAAGAAAAATGTATCTTTGATTCAGAGATCACATGGCAGAAAATAACTCTCATGTGACCACATGCTTGGGACACCTACCATGTTATATCCCCCTGTAAGCAGGGGAGTCAAACCAACAAAGCTCCTCTCTCTTTGACTAATCCAAACTCAATTAGATCAATTGCCACTAAGCTCAGAGATAATCCTAATTTTAAACTCCACGCACCAACCTTTCTTTTCTTAATTTGAAAAGCAGAAGATCCCTGCCAAAATATTGCATGTATCTTGAAAAGTTCAGGATTTACCCTACTCTATATCTAGCTAGAAAAGAAAGGAAGGCAGGCATGGAAGGCATTAAGATTATATTCTATTTAAGTAACCAAACTTTACCAATTTCTCTCATAATGTCTCTCCAAGACAACCCAACTTCCCCAAATTTAAGCATTTAATCCTGTACCTGAAATCCTAGGTTCAATTTTCTCTTCCCTTAATATCGGATTATCCGATACACTGCAATAAATGTAGAGTTAATTATATTGGAAAGAAATGATCACATATATGATATGCTTTTTTTAGTTTTGTTAATATAATGTTTCACTTTCTATATATATATATATATATATTTTTTTTTATACTAAATAATAATCAATAATAGCATGGGTTAAATCCTTTTCCAGGTTTTTGACCAAAAAGAAAATTTCCCTTTTCCAGGATTACTTTGTACCTTTTCTAATGATATTTGGGATTTTCGAAGAAAAATTGTATGGGAAACTAAAGGTAAAAAAAGCTTTTTGTCTTTGAGTTTCCAAGATAAAGTTGTCCATGTGCTGCTTCCATATTCTAAACAGCACCTGAGCTCTCATGTTTCGCCTTCACCAGACCACCTAATTTTTATAATCTCACCGTCCAAACGATAACTAGCAACAACAAAAACACAGAGATTAACAAATTACTGAAACATTAAAAGCATCTCCTTCCCTTTATAAATCACATCCCTCATGCATTTGCTCAAAAACACTCTCCACCAACCAGCCCAAAACACAACCAAAATGGTGTCCCTAGAAATTGTTCAGGCAACCTCTAGATCCATGGACACACCTTCCAGCCCCCGGATTTCGTTCTCTGCCGAATTCCTCGACGAAAATAACTTCATCTCCATCACCCCAAATGCCCATCAGGGTGAGCAAGATCTTATAATGGAGTGTGATCAAAAGGTACGTAACCCAGAATTCGAGTTTCTCTCAAGCAATGTGAGTAGCCATACCATGTTATCTGCAGATGAGCTTTTTTTTGAAGGGAAGCTCCTTCCCTTTTGGCAAAAGCAGCATGCTGAGAGGCTCAGCAAGCTTAGCCTCAAAACCAAAGATGTTGAGGGAGATGAGAATGAGGAAGGGGTGAACAAGGAGGAGAGCAGAGGGAGTTGGTTTGTTGACGATGACCCCTCTCCAAGGCCACCTAAGTGCACCGTTTTATGGAAAGAGTTGCTGAAGCTGAAGAAGCAGCGCGCTTCATCATTGTCCCCATCTTCTTCTTCCTCCTCTTCGACGTCTTCTTCGAGCTCATTTGCTGATGCAGCAACAGCAGATCAAGAGAAGGAGGGGATGGGGAGCAAAGAGAAGTACATGAAGAGGATAAAGAAAGGGTTGGAGAGAACAAGATCAGCCAGTATAAGAATAAGGCCAATGATCAATGTGCCAATTTGCACACAGGTGAAGAGCACTTCCTTGCCACCTTTGTTTCCTCTCAGGAAAGGAAGGCTAGAGAGGTGAGAGCATTTAGGAATTTGGTAGAAAGAAGAGGCTGGTTTGATCTACAGCATTGTCCAATATGTTCATTGCCTTCTCAATTTTTTTTCTTTCTGGGTTTCATTTAAGATTTGTCTCATGTTTAGAGTGTTGATTATGGTGGATCTGAAAAATCATAATGTAAATGCTAACTTTCTAGTTTGTGGCTCAATATTAACAAAATTTGTTTAATTACTTGGTACTTCTTGTATTGCCCAAAAGTACATACAGTTTTCTGCCAACTGGCTCTCCTAAATAAGCCACTAGAAAGTGAGAAGTCATGCAACATGCAGATGCAAATCTGTGACTCAGTGGGTCCAACATGTGAGGCATGGCAGCAGCAGGAATCTGATATTTGACTTTAAACACGAGAAACACTTGTGGAAAATGGATATATCACTGTTTTGCTATTTCTGGCCATTCATATTATGCCATGCGTGATAACTTTTTCACTTGACATAGCGTGATTGGGCGGGGATAGCAACTATCCCTGTTTCATATAAGTTTTTCTGCTTAAAGACAGAGTATTGAATTATTGTTGGTAGATGAGAAAGTCAAGGGATGAAGACATGAAAAAACAACACCAATCACTTTACAAAAAATATAACAAACCAACATATTCATTGTGTACATTTTTCCTTGTTGGTCTAAATTCAGGGTGTACATTTGAAAGAGAAAAAAAAAGAAAACCTGTATTAAAGAATAAGGAAAATTAATATGAACAACTTATGAACAGCAACCAATTATACCAAGAAACCAGCAAATCAAAATGCCTGTACATGAACAATCGGGCATAAAACTGCAGACTTAAGTTTCATTGAAGACCTTGAATCCTATCAAAACTAAAGACAGCTGAGCACGAGAACTTTCGACTCTGGGATCAAAGAGCTGGCAAGGGAAAATTTCCCATCTGAATGTTTGAGAGCTCTTCATGTAGGTATGGATCAAGTTTCTCCAAGAAAAAAAAAGCAGCCACAGCAACCTTTGAATGCATATACTAGCTGTTCAAGAAGGTGGAGGTGCGGACAAAGAATTTCCAGAAGTCCTGAAATGAAAATCAAAACAATCAGCTTAAAGTGCAATTCATAAGGTTTAAGTGGGAAGACTAGTGGACATTCAACTACCTTAGGTCCAGCCCAGATTTTCCAGTAAGGCTACTAGGAACTTGACCAGTCAGATTATTGTTTTGTAAAAAGCTGAAAGAGACAAGGGAACAGGTCAGAAACTCAGAAACATCAAGCAAAGAGCAGAATCACCACATGTGCAAGAACCCCCAACCCAAAAGGAGAAAAAAAAACAAAAAAGAAAGGAAAAAACAGTTTGCCCAGCTGCATTGTCATCTAACAGCATTGTTAGCATAATAATTGGGAAAGAATCTGAATTATCAGCAAGAAACATAATAATTTAGAATATCTTCAATAAAAATGGAAAACAATGTATCAATTCGGATAAATATCTATATCTGAAACCAGTAACAATAAGCATCCATAACATTCTAGTCCTATACATAGATATAAACGTAAGTGCATATTTCCAAACTTGGTGAGAATCCCTTTGTCAAATTAGAAGGTATAGACCATGAAACGCTTCTAATGGCAGTTCCTTCCCACCAACAAAACAGACAGAACATGCAGATTTTAGTTGAAGCAATTCTGATTCTAATATGCCTTGAGAAGTAGGTGTTTCCAACAATAGGAGAATGGGGAGGTCGCAGATACTGGGCTTAAACCGTAAGTTATTTTCAACCAAAGGAAATTTACATCATAAAGTTCTCAAAGCAATTACAACTAACTTTTAGCACCAGTAAATTACAATGCTAACAATTCTATAATCAAACAGTATATTTGTTTGAGCTTAAGCTTAACCTAATAATAAAATAATAAACCAAATTTTTTCTCATTCAATTTCTATACAAAGAGACATTGTAGAAAATGCAAGTAAAAATCTCAAATTAATACCAAGAACCAACAAAGAAACAACTTTGATAGTTTGATACTTACAGTTCATGCAAGCTAACAATATTCCCGAGCGATGAGGGGATATCTCCACTAAAATGATTGTCTTCCAAGTGCCTTAAATGAGTAAAAAATGAACAAACATTGGATCAGAGAAAGAACATACTTCAGGCAACAGGTCAAGGTAAAAGGAGACTCAGGTTCCGAATATTTAGTTGTGACAATCAATGCAATGACAAAGTAGCACATAAGAAACCCCCCAAAATATTAGTCACTCTGTCAAACCCCAAGTAATATTTGTAATAGATTGAGGTCACTGACATCTATGATTCCATTTATAGTGGCTGATGTGCTAATAGTTCCATATGCTATCATGTGTTTCATTGTAAGTTCAAAAATAAAATCTGGGGGGAAAGTAAATTGCCACAACTTACAGTTTCTCCAGTCTCTTCAATGAACTGAGATCAGGAATAGGCCCTGAAAAATTGTTCTTCCCAATCCAGCTGTCGAAAGAATGAAATCATCAATCAGGCATTCAACAAATACTTTTTTTTCTTTCTGTCAATTTAAATAGACAGTTAAGTTTTCAGAAACCTACATATTAGACAATGCGGTCATATTGGCAAAACTAGGTGATAACGATCCTGAAAGGCCCATACTCGTCAGATTTCTGGAAGAAGGAGGAAACAGATATTAGGATATGCAAGCTGAGACAGAAGAAAAAAAAAGAAAAAGAAAAGGAAGTACTTGATTAGCAATATGAATGATTATAACAAGTTTCAACTCACAAAGTGACCACACGAGGTCGAGGGCCAGAAGAGCATGTAATGCCTGTCCACGAGTACTGACGGGGCAAACAAGGATCACCATTCCAGTCAGATGGAGGGTTCTGAATCCTCTGTTTTACACTTTCCAAAGCAATAACTGTGGAAAGAAAGCCAATTCCCAGTAGGAATTGACATCACTAAACTGACTGCCATAAAGTATGAAAACCAACCAACTTATCCGAACACATTTCACTCATCTTGGAGATGTGAGATTAATTTGTGAGCTAATAGTTCATATTTGCATAAGCCTAGGAACAAAATGGCATCTAACAGTTGGTATCTGAATATGCCAAGATAAATTTTTTTAGCATGTGGGTTGGTTCAAAATCAAAATACGAACCCAATAGCATCAAAGATAAGCATACCGTCTCGAGTTAAAGTTGTTCCTCCAAGGGGCAGCACATCAAACACCTCGCCAGCATTAATCAGAGCACCGCCACTTGACCCAGCAGAGGGAGTCAAAGTGATCCTTGTAACACCAGAAAGAGGCCATTTGCGCGCATAGACCACAAGCCCTTCTGGGGTCACATCCAAATTCTTATAATATGGCACACCATTGATGCTGATGTTGAAAACCCTCGACCCCAACATCCCTAAAGCAAAGTACAGAGCAATGTAGTAGTTCGATTCCCGAACCGACCCAGGAGGCCAATTCAACTCCATAGTTTCAGCTTGCCCGGTCGTCAATTTGCTCTGGAAAACTTTCAACGGGGGCAAGTTCCACAGGTCAGAAACAGACACATTCGTGTTGCTTACATTGATGGGATTGTGCCCTTCAAATGGCACCCAAAACCGATCGAATTTGTCATCTGGGTATCTGAAAAAGACCCAATTTTCAGATTCTAAGCTCACACAAATTTGACTTCCAAGTGTATGACTTTACGAATTTACGAGTTGAACAAAGAAAGAAGAAAGGCACATACCGAATGACTGGTCCAGTGTAGCCAAAGCCGTGCCTTGCAACCAAGCCGAGGCCGTACGACTTGAAATCCGTGGAGTTGTAGAGTGAGTTTTCGAGAATCACAAACTCCAGGGCGGAGATAAACGGGTCAGATTCGGTGTAATTGTTCGACCCGAGACACACGCTCATGGTCTTGCCCTGAGCGAGGAAGACCCCCTCGTAGTAAGTCGAATTGCCTTTTGCGAAGTCCTCTGTGGTGTTAACGACGGCCCAGAGGGTGCCGTCTACAATCAGGTCGAAAACCGGCGGGGTGTCGTCGGGGCCTCCGTAGTAGTAGTAGGTGGTGCGGACCATGTACCTGGCGTCGCGGTAGACCTGCACCGTGTAGCAGTACTTGCGGTGGGGATTGTTCGGGAACGATCGGACGGTGGAGAGGATGGGGACGAGGACCGGGGCTGTCAGGTTCCGAGGGGTCCCAACGGAGACAAAGCCGGTGTCGGGGAGCCATTCGCGGCCGTCGATCAGGGATTTGACCGGCGCACCGCAGTTTATTAGTTTCCCTGCATCCAACCCAAAATCAATTGGCAACTAAAATGATACTAAACATTAAATATTATAAGGTGACACTAAAAAAAAATTCAAATGAATAGTGCTTGCTTACCTTTGGGGAGGGAAAGAGATTGAGGGAGGATGGAAAGGAGCGAGAGGAGGAGGAGGGGGAGGGGCAATGACATGGTGGGGGGATAGGCATGAGAGGGGTGAGGAGAGAGAGAGAAGATGGGTGTGGGGAGAAAATGAAGGGGTTTTTAGTTGGTGTTTTGGTTTTGGTTGAGTTGGTTGAGTGAGTTATGCAAGGAAGGAATAGGAGGAGGAGGAGAGAGAGAGAGAGAGAGAGAGAGAGAGAGAGAGAGGGAGTTGAGAGAAGGTGGAGTTGGGGAAGAGGAAAGGTATTTTAGTTGGGTAAACGCGGGGAAAACGAAGGCTTGGTCAGAGTTGGTAGTTTTTTACTAAATTAATTTATTATTTTTGGTGGGGTAGGTGGGTGTGTGGGGTACACTTAGTAACTGGTTCTTTTTGTTTTGTCAAAAAGAAATGGAGATGGAAGGCCCAGTCCACGGTGAAAGGTTACCAGAAAAGAAAGGAAAAACAAATAAACTGTCGTAACGAACAAAACAACAACTGAGGAGGCCAGCAAAGAATAGGCAACGAAAAAATGAAGCCCAACAGTAAACTGCAAAACAAAACGGATAAAAGCTCCAATCCAAAACCACAAAGGATGAACAAAACAATTGGCTAAACCTAATTTAGTTCGTCAAACAAATATCAAGAGACATTGAAGTCAACTAAATTGTTTTCGGATAAAAAAAAAGGGGTCAACTAAATTGGCTAAATCTGTATTTGTTATGTTTTTGTATTTTATTTTTAACTTCGTGCTAATACATGTCATATCACAAATAGTATCTCCCAAGGGATGTCACATTGATAATGTGTGTGTTAAAAATTCCCTTATGATCTCCATTGTAATTCGACATGAATATTTCAATTAAAATGAATTAGTCTCCTTTACAAGGTTCCACGTTCTTAATATTAAAAGATGATATATTTCAATGGGGAGCCTAGACTGGTCAGGCTGCGCCTAATCATGCTAAAATGGGTGTGTGGGGTTTAGGTTTCAAACCCTTGACCTAGGCTCTACCTTGGGCGAAGGTGGCTACAAGTAGCGACGGCAAAAATCTCCGTTGGGACGAGTCCTCATTGGGTCCCCGGCCCTAATAGAGGCAGTTTTCGGGGAAAAATCGGGTACGAGTACTGGGATCCTCGAAAAAAAATCCCCAACAGGTCCGGGTTGGGGATGGTAATGGTGTCCCCACCCCATCCCTGAACTAGGCTCGAAAGTATTATATATTTATGTTTGAATTAATAAGTATATAATATATATATAATTATAATATACTTATAATCTAATATGATGTTACCCAAGCCCGCTCTAACACAACAAGCTCACCCTGTCTTCTTCATAGCTCTCTCTCTCTCTCTCTCTCTCTCTAATCTCCATATCTTTGGTCTCTCAATCTCCTGCGAATGCTTTGTTTCATAACCAAACTCAAAAGCTCCATCTCCTTCACAGGCTTAGGAAATTGTCACTTTCTTGCTTCTTTTTTTATTTATTATTATTATTATTATTATTGTTATTTTATAATGGTTTTGCTAAATGGGTTTTCCTTTGTTTGTGTATTTCTTGGTTGTGTAGCTATGAACATGATTTAATTTTGGGCAAAATGGTTTCAGTTCAAATATTGGGGTTTTTCCCTTGGGTTTGATTTTATTTTGTAGAAAATGGTTTCAGTTGATCGCAAGCTTAAAATTTGCAGAGGAACATCAATAAAAATAATTTAGTTATGGAAGCACAATCTGGAAAGAAAAAAAAATATTCGAGGATTCATGGCGGGTTTTGGGAGAGAGTCTCCTGAAGGGGACATGGATGGAGATTCCCCGGAAATTATTAGCGGGTATAGGGGCGAGGATTGGGAGCGGAAACGGATGGTATTGTCATACCCGGCCTGTTGCCATCCCTAGCTATAGGCTTGGTTAGGATTTGTTTCGTCCAACTGACGTGTCATGGGCTGAATAAGATCCCTATAGGCACTAATATTCTATTTAGCGACCCTAGTTGATTAGGGAAATGTGGTTGATTTGATACGAGTGCTGCTGTATTCCACCCCTTTGTCCTATTTTCCCACTCACCATATTTTCAAAAAATTTAAGACAAATTTACCCCTATGTAAAATGACTTCTAAAGACTTAAAGATTTATTTTTTTTTTTTTTTTTTTTTATATTTTAAGATTTTCTCATTTATCAATCCAATCTCCATCTCTTTCTCTCTCCTCCCATCTCTCTCTTCGAATGAACCCAAACATCACTAAGAGCACTTCCACCCAATTGCCGTGGCAAAGGGTAATGGCAAAGCAAGGGCTGTTACTATTCATGTGAATAGTGGCAGCCCTTGTAAAAGGCTTGTGGTGTTTCCACCCATTGCCATGACAACCCAAGAGCAACCACTATTTACATGAGATATGAGGAGAGGAATTTGTATAGAGTTTTGGTGTGGGAAATGAAGAATATGACTAAGTATTAATTAAAAAAATTTCTGAAATTTCTAGTATAGTTTTAGATTTGTTAAATTTTTTTTTCGTTGCTAACATCATCGTTGACATTAGCAAACCCAAGCTATTCTTGCCTTTGGGTTGGCCCGATTTGCTGGGACCCACAAACTGCCAGGGTTGTAGAAGCTGCCTTGAACGTCAAATGGGGGCTTGGCCCCCTTGTTGCCCTGGCTGGGGAGGCACCGTTGGAAGTGTTCTAACAGCCCTCATCCTTTTCCCCAAACATCCCATCTTTCATGTCCCTCACTGTAGAGTAATTATAAAAGTCATTTTCAATTTCAGTTTTGGTTCTTATATTTACATTTGTAGTCGATGATGGTAGAGATCTAGGGATGGGATTGCAGGGGCTAGCACTAGAGGGGTGGGTTCATTCAGTTCGTCAATGATGAAAGGGTATTTTAGGAATAATGGTGGGTGGAAAGATATGATTGTGTTTTTTCAAATTTATATGGTGTGTGAGAAAAAAAGGTGGGTAGGAAAATATGACAGAAGAGTGGAAATAACAGGACTCTTCCATATACCCATTCGTTCTCATATTTAAACCTAATCCATCCAATTCATATCGTTTTTTATTCCAAATACGTAAATATGTAAAAAGAAAAACAGTTTGATCAACTAGCCTGCTAGAGTAAGCCCAAAGCAAAGTGTGGAAGTGGCACTATTAAGAATGGGCCCGAAACTTGATTGTGCTGATGGTCACCCTATATTTTATTATGTAATCATCATTGGATTCTCTCTAAAAATCCCATGGCTGCGTGCATTGTGTGTGTACCTCTCTCTCCAATCGCATTTCTGAAAAATGTTTGTTGGACATGTGAACACGATTGAAAGTTAACCCAAAAAAAAAAACAAAAACAAACCCATCATCATCGTGTGTGTAAAATAAAATCCACCTCCTCCTCAATCCTCCTCTATTTGATGATGATGAGCCCGTAGTTTGGTTGGTCGGGTTGGTGCCAAATTCATGACCCTTTCAGCTTTTTCCCCCCCACACGTCACCTTCACAAGGATTCAATTCCGGATCCATTTCTAACCCGACCAGCATCCCGCTCGGGTCGACCCGGCTCAGCCACCCAAAGTCAGCCCCCCACTTTACATGCAAGCACGACGGCTCTACTCTACAGTGCAATTGGAGGGACCCCCAGATTCTCGCGGGCCCATCCTCTCTACACCCCAGGCGCACGTTAGCTCCACTCCGTCCTCCTTCTGTACTTTCTTAGAGCGGGAGCGCACGTTAATCAATTAATTATCAATAATAATCTAGTAAAAAAACAAAATTAATTTAAAAAAAAAGAAAAAAAAGATTTAGTTAGCAGAACCGGAAATCATGAGGCCGGTTTAAACCCGACACATTTCACCGGAAAAGAAAAGAAAGGGGAAAAAAAAGAACAAACGGAAAGAAAAAGCTTTTACTTCTTTTTCGTAATTTTTTTTGGAATTCCGAAAGTGCCCCTCTGCACTCTCTTTCTCTTTCTTGTCTCTGTCTTTCACTCTCACCTATTCAAATCCAAAAATTTTCCATTTCGGATCAGCTTCTTCTCCTCATCTTCGCTTTTTTGGTTTGGCCTCGTTGATGGAGTTGCAGAGGCGCCAGGATCAGAACCACCCGGAGAGGAAGGGGCAAAAGCGGAAACTGGAGGAAGAAATCGGAGACGAACGAGAGATCTCGGTGAAGTCCGGCGAAGCCAGAAAGGCCCTGCTCAGCGAGGTCAGCGAGCAGGTGAAGGTCCTCAACTCTACGTTCTCTTGGAGCGAAGCCGATCGAGCGTCGGCTAAGCGCGCCACGCACGTCCTCGCCGAGCTCGCTAAGAACGGTTGGTTGCACAAAATCCCCAAAACACCCTCCGATCTCGTCCGAATTTCCGTTTTTTCTAGTTTGCTCTCAGTTCTGCAAGTTTCTAGCGTTATGTTGGTTCTTGTATTGTTTGGAATAAACTATTTTGTGTGTTTGTGTTGGGGCAGAGGAGGTAGTGAACGTGATCGTTGAAGGCGGTGCGGTTCCGGCTCTGGTGAAGCATCTTCAAGCGCCGCCTTTAAGCGAAGGAGACCGGAGTTCGAAGCCGTACGAACACGAGGTCGAGAAGGGAAGTGCCTTTGCACTAGGCCTTCTCGCAGTTAAGGTCACTTTACTCTTACTGTTTTTCAATATTTCAATCCACTTAAAACTTTCTATTTCTGCATGAATATATTTCGTGTTTTATTTTTTGGTGATCGTATAATTGAGTGTGTAAATTACTTGCAGAGGGTCAAGGATTGAAATTTGTATTAGCTGGATGGTAACTGAAGTTGCTAAAATTTACAATTTGTATAAAATTGAATGAAAAAATTAGCACGAGGCTGAGATTTCATAATAGCTTGCAAGTTGTGGCAAAAAGTTGTTTTATTTTTGGTTGTAGTATATATAAGGTTTATTACAATTAGCTTCTCTGGCCTTTTGGTTGTTTTGTACTTGCCGAAATGTTATAGTAAGTTGGTGTGGCATGATTGTGCCTGAGTGCATAAACTCTGCCATCTTGTGTCGGTTTTGAAGTATACTAATATACCAAACGTGGAACATCTTGATGCCCTTTTATGTCTGCTTGCTTTTGATTCTTGGTGTAGCCAGTATTATTCTTCACCTTTATGATGTTGCATGAATATTTATGCGGTAGACACTCTGGGATAGTATTAATTCAGCGTCACAATAACTCCACATGTAATTGCTAAACCAGTTTCTTTTATGTGTCAACAGCCTGAGCATCAACAACTCATCGTTGACACTGGTGCATTGGCTCATCTTGTGGATTTGTTGAAGAGGCACAAGGATAGTCCTGTATCCAGGGCTTTGTATAGCGTCATTCGTAGAGCTGCTGATGCCATCACCAACCTTGCTCATGAAAACAGCAGCATTAAAACACGTGTCAGGTTTGCTTGTCTCTCAAGTACCCTAATTTTAAAATTTGACTGTAGCAACACAATATTCTAATGATACCAGGACTGCATATACAGAATAGAAGGCGGAATTCCACCTCTAGTTGAGTTGCTTGAATTTGCTGATACCAAGGTGCAAAGAGCAGCTGCTGGAGCATTACGAACCCTGGCATTTAAAAATGATGAGAATAAGAATCAAGTAATAGACCTTTCTTGTGAAGTTATGATTTATTATAAAAGATTTGTTTTGAACATGAAACAAATGTTGTCAATTTACGACTTTGCAGATTGTCGAATGCAATGCTCTTCCTACCCTCATTCTAATGCTTCGGTCTGAGGATGCTGCTATACATTATGAAGCGGTAGGATCTTCTTATTAGACTAAAATTTACAATGAACTACTGGGCTTATACTGTGCAGAATTAGGTTTTTGCACTTCATGTTTCTGCAGCATCAGATTATTTTTTATGTAATGCAGGTTGGTGTTATTGGAAATCTGGTACACTCATCTCCAAACATAAAGAAAGAAGTTCTTCATGCGGGAGCTTTACAACCTGTTATTGGATTGCTTAGGTGCGTCCCAATAGTGTCATGTCGCATGATGCAACTATATTGTTGTTATTCTCTGTCCACTATTTTATAACGTGAAGAAGTTTCTCAAGTCTTCTATATTGAATTATAGTTCTTGCTGCTCCGAGAGCCAAAGAGAGGCAGCTTTATTACTTGGACAATTTGCTGCAACTGATTCAGATTGCAAGGTGGGTTGGATATATTTCTCTCCTTCTAAATGTTTCCATTAGTTGAGTCAGCAGTTTCACTCCTGTTCTGCGCTTGGCACGACAATGATGTTAGGAAACAAAATGTCATCAATATTCGCTTTCTCTCTGTTGAAAAATAGTTCCTTGACCTGTAGTGTTTGCTTTCTCATTGTAGGTAGTGCTTTTTTCTTGCCCTGTTGCTTCGATGCGGATAATTACCTTCACGTTCTTAATTTTCTGTGGTTATGCATTAATTTGCCTTTGGATCCTTCCAATTTTCCTTTGCCCTTCCATTGAAATAGTAAGTTTTTGGTAGGTTCACATTGTACAGAGGGGTGCTGTCCGACCTTTGATTGAGATGCTTCAATCCCCTGACGTACAACTGAGGGAGATGTCAGCTTTTGCATTGGGGAGATTGGCACAGGTTATTATTTCTCCACATTCGTTGTTTTTTCTTTGTTTAAATTGAAAAGTTCAGTGTGGGGCTATTGTCTTCATGCCAGCAGATGTATTCTATTGTGCGCTAAGAATTGACATAACGTAACATAGATGGAAATAAAGATGAATTTATGGGTCATGTATGTTAGTACAGTTGGACAGGAGTTCCAGAATTAAATTTTTGAGGAATTTCTTCTAATCACTAGTACCGTTACTGGTTTTTCGGGCTCATGATAGTGCAATCCAATGCCATAATTTTGATTTATTATTGAAATACTGGTTTTTCTGTGTCTTGTACTATGTGATTTGGCAATAATTGCATCAAGTGTTGCAAATTCAGGACACAAACAACCAAGCTGGTATTGCTCATAATGGTGGTTTATTGCCATTGCTGAAGCTTCTTGATTCAAAAAATGGGTCTCTGCAACATAATGCTGCATTTACTCTTTATGGCCTTGCAGATAATGAGGTATGGTATAATTTATGAATTTTCATGAAATTGTGGGCTGAATGCTATAAATTGGTCAACAAGTAGACATTGAACACCATTTTAATGTGATGTTATTTTGTTTATTCATTTTCTCCTCTAGGATAATGTGTCCGATTTTATTAGGGTTGGAGGTGTTCAGAAGCTGCAGGATGGAGAATTTATTTTTCAAGTATCTCTCTCTCTCTCTCTCTCTCTCTGAGTTAGCTATATTTGTAGTTCCTCTAAATGCAGTATGTTTCCAAATGTCATAGTTTGATAATATGATTCCTCCATTAATTTAGTAACTATAAGAGATGTTTTTCAATTATTTTCAATTTTTCTTCTCTCTTTGCTACATATCACAAGTTATTGACAAATTGTATTTTCAGGCGACAAAGGATTGCGTGACGAAAACACTGAAAAGATTAGAGGAGAAGATTCATGGACGAGTGAGCTCATGCTTATTACTTTTTCTTTTTAATTTTTGACTTTTGTAATTTCTAGCTGTTGGTACGCTTATGGCATTATGTTTATGTGAATTTTATGCTAAAAACATCTGAGATTGTAATTCCTTAATTTTCTTAATGTAGGTTTTGTCCCATTTGTTGTATTTGATGCGTGTAGCAGAGAGGGTTGTCCAGAAACGTGTTGCTTTGGCTTTTGCTCATCTTTGTTCCCCAGATGATCTGAGAACAATATTCATTGACAACAATGGCATGTCACATCTTCTGTATTTAAATCATACTTTTCATGGTGTTTTTTCACATAGAAACTTAAATTGTTTATATATTTATGTTGATTTTGAGTTTGCTGATATATACAATATTATTAAGCAGGGCTGGAGTTGCTTCTTGGGCTTCTTGGCTCTACTACCCATAAACAGCAGCTTGATGCTGCTATGGCTTTGTATAAGTTGGCCAACAAAGCCATGACTCTTTCTCCTGTGGATGCAGCCCCCCCCATCTCCGACACCACAGGTTGGGTGTTTTTCAATAGCAGAAGGCTTTTTCATGCTTGTGGTCATTATATATGTATACATGTGTATATATTGAATCCTTATGTTTTGGACATAATATAATGTCAATATGGTGGCATAATACTTTTTTTTTCTGAAACTACTATTATTTTAAGCATTAAAGTATGTATTTGGTATGAATTGCCTATGACGGTGGATAAATATTTGTGCAGGTCTATCTAGGGGAGCAGTATGTAAACAATCCCACACTGTCCGATGTTATATTTTTAGTTGAAGGTTTATATCTATTTATTTTCATTTAAGTTTTTCCTACTTAGCTGTCATAGAAGAACATCCAATTATCATAATTGATTGTAGTCTTAGCATAAAGGAACTCCTTAAATGTTTGATTTTTCACTCACCAACTGCAGGTAGACGGTTCTATGCTCACAGAATTTGCCTGCTTGCTTCTTCAGATGCATTTCGTGCAATGTTTGATGGTGGTTACCGGGTGGGTATCTGCATATAGTGATTTCATACTGGATCACCATTTACCTACAACTAAACTGAAGTGCATGTAACATAGTAGAAAGGATGTCTTCATGTTCAATAGTGTGCAATATCTTTATAATTTCCAGTTAACCTATTACAGGAGAAGGATGCAAGGGACATAGAGATACCAAATATTAGATGGGAGGTTTTCGAGTTGATGATGAGGTAAAGTGAAGGTTGTGTGTTTCCTGTTTCATGAAAGCTTTCTGGTGAGCTTTGATAATTCAGAGACTTTTGATTGTGCACAGATTTATATACACTGGATCAGTGGACATTACTCTTGATATTGCTCAAGATCTCCTCAGAGCTGCAGATCAGTATCTTCTGGAGGGACTGAAGCGGCTTTGTGAGTATACAATAGCACAGGTGACCTGACACACACTCTCTCTCTGTTCATGTACTGCTCTGAATTGAAAAAGGCGGCTGCCTAATTACTATTCTACTTTTTTGACATAGGACGTATCATTGGAGAATGTTTCAAACATGTATGAACTTTCAGAAGCCTTCCATGCAATGTCATTAAGGCACACGTGCATTTTGTTTATTTTGGAGCAGTTTGAAAAATTGAGTGCCAGACCAGGGTATGTGCTCCTTCCAACCTTTGGTTCTTATCCAAAATATATCTCTTCCTATGCAGATCAAGCAGGATTTCTTCTTTTTCCTTAAAAAAGATATGCAGGAAAGTTTGCAATGTGTTGGGAGTTACACCGTGTATTTTAACGGAAAATATTAGCTAGCTTGTGCTGATGGTGTTACTTGCTAAAGCTACTGAATACTTTCTGTTATATCATTCTTCTAATAAATGGACCTGAAATGAAACTTATGGAGATGCACATAGTTACTCTTATGATAAATAAATACTTTCATGCTCTTAAGTTATCTCAAGTTCATATTACTTAATGTAACTCAGATAATGTTTTGTGTTGCAATGTCAGTTGGATCTTTGCTAAGCTTACTGTGTTTGTATATTCTATGAATGGACTGGTTGAAAAAGATCATATTATGTATAGTCACATGAGTTCCTAGATTTAGTCTTGTTTTCCTTAGCGGAAAGGTATCATCATTTTTCTTATTTTGATGAAGAAGAGTCTTGATTTTTTTTCTTTCTTTCATCAACTGAAATTCTCTCTATGCTGGAATTCTGCAGGCACTCTCATTTGATCATGCGTATAATACCCGAGATCTGCACTTACTTTACTAAAGCGCTTACTAAGCCTAACCCACATAATTTGCGGCTATAAATTGCCGCCTTCGATTCTTGAGTTCTAACACCTCTTGTACAGAGACCGGTAGTAGATGTTCGTGCTGTTGTTGAGCCAGTGGAAGTTTCTAATTCTTTGATTTTAGTTTGCTTATAGTCCATTCTGATTCCATTACTTGTAGACACGCAGCCTCATTTGTAACACAATTCCGACATTGCTTGGAATGTGACCTTCACCTACATTTTCTCTTGGTATTCCCCCAAGTTTTTGCTCTTTAATGAGATAGTATTCAGTAAGAGATACAATTGTGCATAAACATGATTTGTGCTTTGATCTTGTTGCCTTTCAAGGGTAACTATTTTTATTTATTATTTTATTATTTTTTTGAATAGCATTGGGTGGCTTCTCAAATTTAAATCTAGAAAAATATCATAAGTTTATTAGCCATTGAATCAAGGAAATTACCTCTCGTGTTAAACTTAAACCCTACTGGTTAACCCAAATTTGGTTAGTCATAAAATTAAGGCTTTTTATCACGAATGATTCTTGAGGTTTGTGAAATTTGCATCTTTCGTCCTTAATATTTTTGTGTGAAACTAATGGTTCTTAAGGTTACTCTTTACGCATCAAAATGGTTTTTATTGTTAGTTTTTGTCAAATTTTCTATTAAATTACTGATGTGACACATGTACGGAGCTCACACATCAAATGGTATATAGCCGCGTGGCTTTAAATAATTTTTTATTTATTTATAAATATTTTAAAACTTTAAATCCAAAAAATAAAAAATAAAAAAAAATACTGCACCATGACCATCCCCTCTGCGTCCTCCCTCTGCCTGCGCTGCGCCTCTCTCCTCGCAAACACACTCTTTGCCTCTCTCCCTCTTCCTTTTTTTTTGTACAGTCTAATCCAACTAAACATTACCCCTCCTTTTCGTTCTGCTTGTGATTGGACATGGGCAGTAAAAGATTGCTGTTGCCTACAAAGACTGGAGGGAAAAACAGATTTTATAGAGTAGGAGATGCAGAGGAAAGAAATCAAAAGCAAGAGACATCATGTGATCATTGTGGAGGTCCAAGAGTAGAGGCCTTCTACAGGGTCAGCCAAAGATCACATATAGTCTTTGGCATTGCAGCCGTAGCCAAAGCAAAAGTCAAAGACTTCGGCTTTGTAGAATTTTTTTTAAAAAAAAGGGAGAGAGAAAGAGAAGGGAGGAAGAGGAGGGGGAGAGAGAGGCAAAAGGTGGGTCTGCGAGGGGGCGAAGGGCGCTGGCAGAGTGAGAATGTGGAGGGTGCAAGTATTTTTGTTTTTGTTTTTATGGATTTAAGTTTTAAAATATTTAAAATATATTTTATTTTATTTAAAGCCACATGACTTTATACCATTGGATGTGTGAGCTCTACACAAGTGCCACGTTAGCAATTTAACAAAAAAATTTGTCTGAAGCTAATGGTATGAACCATTTTGATGTATAGAGGGTAACCTTAAAGATCATTAGTGTCACAAAAAAACGTTAGGGACGAAATATGATAATTTCACAAATCGCAGAAACCATTTGTGATTAAAAAAAAGGTATATAGAAAAATGCCAATTGGGTCTTGCCTCTTTTTCTTTTTAGAGCCCTCTTTACTAAAAAAAAAAAAAAAAAACACCCCTCACCATGTATTCCATGCCAAGGAGGCAGACAGAGCTTCTCCCATTTATCTGAGTGTACAAGGATGGCTCTGTTGAACGCCTATTAGGCTCTCAATATGCAGCCCCATCGCTTGATGACTGATAAACAAGAGTGTCCTCAAAAGATATTGATCTCAGCCAGAGTCTTTCTCCCAGAACTTGATGAGCCCCAGCAAAATCTCCCCATCTTGCTCTACTACCATGGTGGAAGTTTCTGCATCGAATCTGCCTTCTCTTTAGATCACCATTGCTATCTTAACAGCTTGGTCTCCCAAGCCAAAATTGCTGTGTCAGTAGAGTACAGGATGGCCCTGTTGCCTAAGAGGACAGCTGGGCTGCTCTCCAATGGGTTGCCTCACATTTTACTGATAATGCCATCGCTGATGAGCCGTGGCTGCTAATCGCGGCACTGTGGATCGGTTAATTTTTTTTTTCTCTGGGTGGTGACAATGCAGGAGCCAACATTGCTCATAAGATTGCTATGTGTTTGTACCCAATTTTGGTAAATTGGCCAAAAATGGTCTCAAGTTTTTAAAAAGAATTTTTTAAAGATAAAGCTAGATCCATCAGCATTTGTCTTTTCTTAAGGTCATCCTTTTCCAATTGGGCCTCTCTTAATAATAAAAAAAGGCCCAAGTCTTGAGAGTCAGATCTTTATCTCGCACTACAAGTTAAAAGATTGATAAATGTGTTTTCTAAGCCCACGTGGGAGGTCGAAGGGGATTATCACATTTAATGACGACTTGACCTCCTTCTCTCCCAGCAAGAAAACAAGTCGTATTGAAGCCCCCAAAACCAAAAAAGATCAAAAGTGCCAACTAGGTTTTCAAGTACAAAGAAGTCAAATCAAGAGAGCTCCACAAAGAAAACCGACAGTTCCTGCCAGAAGTCCTCCATCATTCCTTATATAAACTGGTTAAGATCAGCGAACTAGCAGGTGACCTTGAACCACAAGCCAAAGGTCTTGTCTCAGTTTTATCATTACGAGTTCCCTCCACCTCTATAAATGATGAAAGTCTACTTCAGAAGAAGGGGACTCTCTCTCCAAAACCAGATGCAACGTCTCAAAAAACACTTGAAAAACTCCCAAGATAACAATCTGCCTATTTTTTCTTTAGATAACCAATTGACAACTTTTGCGCTTATCTCTCGTAGCTCTGCCACATCCATGGTATGATTTTTCTTTTAAGACGTATTTTTGTTTCAATTCATGTAATCGTTTGAACTGGATTGAGAAATCTCCAAATCTTTTCTTTTACTCTATAATTCGGATTCAAGGACAATTGATGGATTAATTAAAGAATCTTTTGTTATTTAGTTTAAGGTTCAAAGTAAACATAAGTTGCAGAAGAATCTATATGGGTAAAATTCACTTGATTATCTTAAGAAAGAATTATAGATCATTCTAATACATAAAATTGGATTCCCGCCCTTTTACCCCTCAAACAGTCCAGAAAAACTAGCATTCGGGCCCGAAAGGGATAGGGACCCGAAATGAATAGTAAAATAAAGGGACAAGAAGTTAAGTTGGGCCCGAATTGCACCAATGGGCCCGAATTAACTATTGATTTAGTTGAAAACGAGAAAATATTGAAGCAGGTTAATAAAACCCAGGTAGGGTTTTTGCTAACCACAAACTTGGTCTTGCCCTGTTGTCTGTTCAAGTGCTGCTCATACTTGTCAGGGCGATACTGACGAAGGAAAGAGTATTGAAGTCCTCTTAATTGAGGTATAGAAAAGAATCTATTTGGGCCAGTACCCCCCCCTGGAGCACAATGGCTTGGTAAGAAGTCCAGAAAGGAGGCGCAAGCTCCATCATCATTAATCATTCATATCCACACTAGATCTATTAGGCTGGTTATATACTCAATAGTGGCATGCCTACGCAACAAAATGGATCAGTACTAAGAAGAAGTTGACAGATAGGGCCTTGATCGGGCCCGTCCGCTTTTGGCAAACTGATTCAACTTTCAATTTTGTTCAGAAATTGAAGGAGTTCTCTCTGCGAGCCAAGAGACACCATCCGATCGGGGCATTGGTGTTGATCTGCCAAATTCCTCTTCGTTCCTCAGAGTAGAGCTGACCTTTGTGGTTGGTAAATGGGACGAAGGAAAAAAAAAAGGACCAACACTATGACAGTTGGGAACGAGGGTTTGCCTGGTGGTTTGAAGTACCAAGCTTGGCAGGGCTTGGGTGCTCTTTGTTGTTTGTGAGTGTTTCTGAGAATGATGGGCTAAGAAATAGAGGCATTGGTTATTATGAAGCAGTGAAGGAAAGTGGGTGGGAAGGAGAAGCAGAGGTGGTTGAAGTGGAAGGAGAAGATCATTCATTTCATATTATCAAAGCTGAGACTCAGAAAGCTAAGGATTTGACAAAATAAGTGACTGACTTTCACCTCAAGTAAAACCCATTTTATGTATTTCAACTTGAGTTTAATGGCTGCCTCAAGTAATGTATGCTAGGGTAAGATACTCAATAATTTGGAACCGAAAGGCAGTTCCTAGTATGAAAGCAAGGTGCCGAAATCAAACCTAATATGAAAGTGTTGGAATTTAGGAGGTGTGATGTGTGTTGCTCTTATACCATTGTTGGTTTATGTGTGAAGGGGTTTAGGACAATAGGACAATAGTTGAACAAAGTGATTTTATTATATTTGAGGGGCATAGTACATGGGTTGGTGTAGGTTAATTGACATTCTTCATAACTTATTGACTTATTGGCCACCCCACTTGGTTTAGATTTGTTTTGAGCTATTTGGCCCTTCACTTATTGGTGAGCTTATTGACTCTCTAAGGCCTTCTCCAACCCATGAGAAGCTAAACCCAAATTTTTCCCATTCAAAAAGTAACTATTTGGGTTTTGTCCGAACTCAAATCGTTTTTTCTCCTAACCCTCCAGACTCAAATTTTAACTCCACAACTTTATTAAATTGTTTAAGAATGATTTAAGTCTAATTTTTTTTTAAGGGATAACATTTCTTCATTCAATCTTTTTAAATAACTTCATAATTAAATTTTTTGAACAATTTGTCCTAACAAAATTGAAATTCCACAAATATAATTTGACCTAGATTAATTTAAAATATTTTTTTGACATTTGAATTTAAATTTCAGCCGTTGGATCTTTTCTTTTACCATTAAAATAGTTTAGATTTAATCTAGATCGTTGATTTAAGTTACATTTAGAAATAAAAAAAAAAAAAAAAAAAAAAAAAACAAATCTACAAGCAAGACACAACAGCAGCATGACAAGTGGCTAGACAAGTAGCCAAACAGCAACAGTCCAGCATGTCAGCTGGGGCCCACGTCAGATACTGTGCACATGGGGCTGTTTTAGGTGCAGTGGGCTCCATTGAATAGTGTTGGGTCCAAATTTGGGTTTTCCAAAATTTTGGGTCCTTCATTTTTAGGTTTTTTAGGTTTTAGACATAAAAAAATTCACTTTTGGAAAAAGCCAAAGCTTTTTCAAAAAAGACAAAAAAACCGCTCAACTTTCAAATCAAAGACATGCAAATGTATTGGATTCCTTAGGAAATCTAAAAATACATAAGGGCATTTTTGTCCATTTTTGCTTCTTTTAAAATTTTTCTCTCTCCTTTTGTTTTTTCCAAAATGTCCCTTCATTTTTTTGGGTTGGGAGAAATTTTGGGCAATATTTTGGGTTTAGATCCTTGGGTTAGAGATGGCCTAACATAGCTAGCTTTGGGTAGCTCTTGACTCCCTTAGAGCATTTCCACCAGTTAGCCCCTAGCCATGGCAAGGGAAGCCCTAGGGCAATTACTATTCATGTGAATAGTGGCTGCCCTAGTCCCCCAGCAAAGTGTGTTTCTAGCAGTTTAGACTTGCCATGACAAATACTATTCATTTTTTTGTTTTTTTTCACAACTTTGTTTACTTAAACAATTACTTTGGATAATATTTTCGGATAAGATTTTTGGGTTCCTACGTGTCAATACTATTCATATCGGATAAGATTTTGGGTTTCAAATTTCAGATATATTTCAAAATTCAAATTTCAAATAAATTCAAAATGTCAAATTTCAGATACATTTCAAATTTTAGATAAATTTCAAATTTCAGATAAGATTTTCACCCTCTAAGATTGCGCCACGTGTCATATCTATTTGTCCAAATTTTTCTATAAAACAAGAGGCTCAGCTCATACCTCCCACACCATATCTTCTCTACATTTCTATTTCTCAGATTTTAGATTTCATTCTCCATTTTCAATGGCAGACATGCAAGAGGTTTTGGAGAGGCAAGAGCGAGAAAGGAGAGAAAGAATGCGTCGACGAGCTGCAAGCAAAATGGCACAGAGAGAACTAGATGAGCAACTTGGCATGGCCGTTGCTTTGCTGGAGGAAGAAAACCAGAGCCGCTGTGGTTCACGAGAAAGCCGTGCCCTGAATGTGGACAGACGTAGACATTCTCGGGGTAAGAATCTCCTGGAAGATTATTTTATCCCACATTCTCTATACTCTGATGTTCATTTTCGAGCGAGATATAGAATACCTCATTTGTTCAATAAAGTCATGCATGATATTTGTAATTATGATGAATACTTTGTTCAAAAGAAAAATTGTGCTGGAAATTTGGGGCTTCTTCCCGAGCAAAAGTTCACAACTGTGATACGAATGTTGGCGTATGGGTCATCTGCTAATCAGGTGGATGAGATTGCCTGGATGGGGAAGTCCACTATTTTGGAGAGCTTGGTGCGATTTTGTTATGCAGTGGAAAATCTGTACACTAGGGACTACCTGTGCAGACTTACGCCCAGGGACCTACAACGGCTTCTACAAAAAGCTGAGTCTCGTGGATTTCTTGGAATGATTGGTAGCATTAACTGCATGCACTGACAATGGAAAAATTGTCCAACTGGTTGGCAAGGGGATTATGGCAATTGGAAAGGGCAGAAAAGCATCATCCTCGAAGCAGTTGCTGGTTTTGATACATGGGTTTGGCACGCCTTCTTTGGAGTTGCCGGCTCTCAAAACGATTTGAACGTCCTGTGTCAATCCCTGGTGTTCAATGATATTTTGAGAGGTGAATGCCCAAATATCACATATCAAATTAATAATACCGTCTACTAGAACGGGTATTATCTAGCTGATGATATCTACCCGAGGTGGACAACATTTGTGAAATCAATTCCACATCCTCGATCCCATAAGGAAATTTTTTTGCTGCCTATCAAGAGGGGTACATAAAAGATGTGGAGAGGTGTTTCGCTATCCTTCATGCCCGGTGGGCTATTATCAGGAGTGCGGCGTGTCTATTTGACGAGGAGGTGCTTAGGAGTATAATGATGACTTGTATCATCCTCCACAACATGATTGTGGAAGATGAGTATGATTATGATGCTGATGAAGTGTATGAACCAGATCCCATGAACACGGCCTTAACACGAATTTATGAAAAACCCATGGGGCCAAATGGAGAACCAGTGTAGCATGATCTGTTGGTTAGAGACGGTAGTTTCTTACCTCGTATGATTGAGCGCTACACGGAGATGCAATCGTCGTATATTCATGAACACCGTCAAGTTGACTTGATGGAGTATTTGTGGGCGGTGAAAGGTAATGAAGGTGAATGAAGTGAAGTGAAGATGTTTTTTTAATGTATTATGTTTATGTTGTATTTTTAGTTATGCTTTAGTTGTGGTTTGTTTATTTTTTATGCTTTGGTTGTGGTTTGCTTTTTATGTATGGAATGTTTTGAATAAAAAGGAATTTTTTTGAATATTTTCTTTATTCACTAAAAGAAAATCAATACAACTCATAAAATAAAATGCATGAATTACCACTAATTTTTAAACAAAACAAAAAATACAATGAAATGAAAGGCAAGCAAACTAACTTAATGGTACAATTTAATGAAAGGCAAGCAAACTAACTTAATGGTTTTGATCATTTAACCAATCCGTGTTGCTAGGTCCATCGTCACGAAAAAGTCTTCGTCTCATAACTTTACTTCGTTCTAGCTTCCAAATTTGTTTTGTTTCAGGGGACATATGGCTTGTATCCATAGCCATGGTTTCCCGATCCTTTTTTTCAATTTTTTCTTGGCATACATACTCCCTTTGTTGGCGTACATACTCCCTTTCTTTTGCATATTCTACATCAATTGCCATATTGTGCTCTTGTTGTTTCATGTCCATTTCAATTCTCATGGCTTGCATCTTTGAAAGTTCTTTCAAAAATTTAGATGCATTCTTGGTAGAATTTACTCCCTCTCTTCGCTTTCGCCGCCTTCCTCCCAATAGGCCTCAGCTCCTTTTCGATAAGTGAGTCTTGACTCATCGGGGAATCCATAGGTGAATCCGATGCCGGTGTCTCATAGAGTGGCGTCTCGTTCAAGACTACCGTTGGACCCGTTGGAATAATTTGGAATCTCTTACAATTCTTCACCACCTCCCAACATAGGATATGGTTGAAACTTTTTTTGCCTTGCCCAGTAGCACCAAAACATTTGTGCTTGCATAATCTATAAAAAAGAAAAAAAAATATTGGCAATGCAACAAGTATATGGCAATACAAGAAAAAAAAAAAAACAAATGGAAACGCAAGAAATTTTAACAATTTATTAGAAATGCAAAACAAAATATAAATATTGCAAGAAACATTCATATTAATATTGGAAATACAAGAAATATTAACAACATATATAAATTGCAAGAAACATTTAAATAAAATTTAATATGACATAGAAATTAATAAAACAAAAATTAAAAATAATTTACCTCACTGCTAAGGTTTTCCCCGCTTCTATGGTTGTCCATCTCTTTTGCCAAGGCATCTCTCCATTTTGCCAACTCTTTATTAAGAATTTTCCACCTACTAGATAATGCCTGATCCGTACGGGTCGAACCAATTACCCTTTCACAAAATTCCTGATGAATTTTTTTTCCACATATGACATAATTTCATCTCATTGACCGTTATGGGACAATGACTAACTTGGAGCCAAGCCTCACACAAGCTAACATCTTCCATCATGCTCCATGCCCCTCCGGTTTCACTAGAAGAACCCATAATATGATAGAGAAAAAAACAACTTGAAAGTGAAAAAATAGTGAGTAGAAAGTGAATAATAGTAGAAGGAGAAGAAAATGTATGAGGAGTTGGTGTTAAAAGTGAAGAGTATTGGTTGGTATTTGTAGAAAAAAAGTTCAGTATTTTTTTAAATTTTTTTTGATTTTTTGATTTGGGAAAAAATTGGCTACTGTTGGATTGTTGAAAAAAAGGGGATCGGAGAGCCCAGAAGGAGCCACGTGGAAGAGAGTCGTTGGGGGGGCAGTTTCGATTTTTTTTCATTTCTTTATTAGGGAAAAAATGGATGCCGTTGGATTGCTGGAAAAAGTGGATTGGAGAGCCCAGAAGCCAGCCACGTGGAAGAGAGCCGTCGGGGGGCACTGTAGCGGGCGCGTCAAATTTTTTTTAACGTTGGTGCTTGCGTTGCACGCACCAACGTTAAAAAAAATTTAAACTCCAATGCTAACATCGTGGTGACGTCAGTGCGCTGACGTCACCCTTGCCCTCGGGCTGGATCTCGGGCCAGCCTAGTTGGCTGGGCCCTACTCCTTGCCCTGGCAGATCTTTGTTGCTAGAAACACCATTTTGGATTTCCCCCCCCCCCCCCCCCCCCCACCCCAAACCCCCCCCCCCCGGCCCCCTTGGGCCTTGGAAATGCTCTTATAGTTTGGGAGTTCTTTTCGTTGGCCTCCACCTTATATGAGTACAACCGTGCCTATTTATAGGCTTTGATTGCCGACATACATAGCTACCGACTTGGGCTTCTTCATTTCTTAGAGCATCCACAATGGGCTCCTTAAACCACCTCCTTAGACAAATTTTAGGGAGGGATCGTAAAAATGCAATTCCAACCACGCTCCCTATCCACCTCCTAAAATAGGGAGTCCTCTAGGAGCTCCTAAATCTGAGGAGAGAGAAAAGACTCATAATGGCTCCCTATAATTTAATGTTGCTTTATTTAATGAGTATTTCAAACCTTTATTTAATGTTAACTTATTTTATTTTATAATAGAAATGGACCAATCAAAAAAGAGTGATAGCATTTATGACTCTCCAAATTATGGAGTATGGTTGGAGTTGAAATTTTTTAGAGAGCTCCTAAAATAGCTTTCTTATATTTTAAGCCAAATTTTAGCTAAGAAATAGAGAGTATCATTGTGGATGCTCTTAGCCACATATGTGTCTTGTACTAGAATGTTCTTCAAACTTCAATTGCTTTTGTTCTACCGCCTTGAGCATTCAGCCACTGCTAGCGTGCTCTAGAATATTCTTGCATTGCCATCTCCATCTTTTGAATTCTTGACTTCTCTAGAATTGTGAACACAAATGATCATTATTTTTTCAACACTCCTCTTTAATACGTATTTGTGTTTCTCCACACCTGCACCTTATGAAGCTAGCATTAATGAACATCTAGTTGATGTTGTAGTTTCGTGCTCGTGTGGCATTTTGTTCATTTGTAGTTACCTTGATAGTTCTTCGCTGGCAATATTTTTCTCTTGTCAATGCCTAATTTTTTAGTTTCAACATACGGGCTTCTTTTTTTTTAACAGAAAGATACAAAAGCAAAACGTTTTGAGAGGCCATAAAGCTAACATTTTTTGACCAATGGAAGACATATGGCGGCTACTTTTGTTCCACCACCATACCCACGACCACCGCGAAAGAAATAGCCTCCGAATTCCTTCCTCGCATCAGAATCTACAAAGATGGCACAGTGGAACGCCTTCTGGGCTCTCCCTATGTGCCCCCTTCTCCTCATGACCCACAAACCAGAGTCTCCTCTAAAGACTTCACTTTTTCACACAACCCCAACATCTCTGCTCGACTTTACCTCCCAAATGTCCCTCAAAACCAAACCCAAAAGCTACCCATCTTGGTTTACTTCCATGGTGGAGCATTTTGCATTGAATCTGCCTTCTCGTTCCTTGACCACCGTTATCTCAACCGCTTGGTCTCAGAAGCCCAAGTTATAGCTGTCTCTGTTGAGTACAGACTTGCCCCAGAGAACCCACTTCCTATTGCTTATGAAGATTGCTGGGTTGCGCTTCAATGGGTCACTTCTCACGCAAACAACGAAGAATTAGATGATAACAAAGAACCATGGTTACTCAACTATGGAGATTTTGATAGATTGTACATTGGTGGTGATAGTGCAGGTGGCAATATTGCACATAACTTGGCTATGAAGGTAGGGGCTGAGAGCTTGTCTGGTGGTGTGAAAATTTTGGGTGCATTTCTGTCCCACTCTTACTTTTGGGGTTCCAAGCCAATTGGGTCAGAGCCTAAAGGTGAAGACTTTGAGAAGACTATGGAGTATAAACTTTGGGACTTTGTTTATCCATCAGCTCCTGGAGGGATTGATAATCCAATGGTGAATCCAGCGGGTGAGGGTGCTCCAAGCCTGGCTGGACTCGGGTGCTCTAAGCTGCTTGTGTGTGTTGCAGGCAAAGATCAGCTGAGGGATCGAGGTGTTTGGTATTGTGATTTGGTGAGGGAAAGTGGGTGGAAAGGAGAAGTGGAGCTGTTTGAAGTGGAAGGAGAGGACCATTGCTTCCATATCTTTAGTGAGACTGAGACGGAGAACGTTAAGAAAATGATCAAACGCTTGGCTTCTTTTCTTGTCTAGTATTATTTATCATGTCAGTTTGCTCACGTTTGTGACTGTTGAGCTCTGCCCATCCCATTTCTCTCTTTGACAAGAAGAAAAAGAAAAATAATTGGCTGACTTTTTCCTCAAGTAAAACCCATTTTCTCTTTCTCTTCTCTTTTCTCCTCAAGTACTACTTGGTGGTTGTAATGTCTTTTATGATATTTGAATAATTGGAATCTATTGACAGTGTTTAGTGTGAGCATCAAAACTATCACCATCATGCAATTTAAGCTTAAAATGACTAATCAAATTTCTTTGATGGTCTAATTCATTACCTGCAGCGCACTAGCATTATGAAGACATTAAAATAAATGAGTTGATGGCAAAAGTGCTAAAATATGAGATGTATAAGAGAATATTGTTTGTGGGAATTTTCTATGTATTCTTCTCCTTGCAGGAGATTGTATTTATAATACAATAAACCCTTATAGTTCAAGGAAAGTAATAACTCCTAATTCTATTTACAGTAGGAAATCATGAATTAAAGTAAATCAATTACACTTAATATATGAATCCTTGGTGTGTAAGGAAAGTAATTGTGGGTCCACAAGTCACGCCAACACTCCCTCTCAAGTTGGTGCATAGATATCGCCAATGCCCAACTAGTCCAGTGAGTTGTGGAACGCTCTATTGGAAATTGCCTTTGTCGAAATATTCGTCAATTGATCCTTGGACTTTATGAATGAAAATTGAATCACTTTAGCTTCAAGCTTCTCTTTGATATATTATCGATCTACCTCAACATGTTTGGTGTGATCATGTTGAACTGGATTATGTGCAATAGCTATTGTAGCCTTGTTGTCACAAAAGAGATTCATTGCAGACATAGGTCGACACTTAAGTTCAGTAAGCAACCTATATAGCCAAAGGAGTTCGCACTAGATAGAGCTACTACCTTCTGTTTCTTGTTCCTTCACTTCACTAAATTACCTTCCACGAATGTAAAATAACCAGAAGTAGATATTCTATTTGTCACACTTCCTGCCCAATTTGCATCTATGTAACCATCACTATTCATATGACCATGTTTTGAGAACATAAATCCTTTGCAAGGTGTAGACTTCAAATACCTAAGTATTCGGAGAACAACATTCATGTGATTTTCACTTGGAGAATGCCTAAATTGACTGACTACACTCACTGCATAAGCAATTTCTGGTCTAATATGTGACAAATAGATCAAACTTCCCACTAACCTTTGGTATTTTTTCTTGTTAGTTGGAACTTGATCCAGATATTCTCCAAGATGGTGATTATTAATAATAGGAGTGTCTACAGGTTTGTAATATAGCATTTCTGTGTCCGTCAACAAGTCCAAGATATATTTCCTTTGAGATAGAAATATGCCTTGCTTTGATCGGGCCACCTCAATCCCCAAGAAATACTTGAGTCCACCTAGATTCTTCATATCAAATTCAATAGCTAAATAGTCTTGCAGCCGAGATCTTTCCTGTTCATCATTCCCACATTCCCAGTAATAATCATATCATCAACATAGATTATTAAATTTGTTATCTTTCTTTTATGATGTTTCAAGAATAGAGTATGATCTGAATTGCTCTACTTAAACCCATAATTCCTCATTGCCAACGTGAATCGTTTGAAACATGCACTAATGACTGTTTCAGACCATATAGTGCTTTTTGCAACTTGCATTGGAGGACTCGCGTGTTCTATTTAGTGACCTTGCTATTTTGTGAAGCACGTTTTAGCCTCACTAAATTGGAGGAGCGAGTCAGGCGTTTTTTTAACTGTTGGACTCTACAATCCCATTTAAGTTAGTCCTCTCTCTTACTAAACATGAATTTCAAATGCTATTTAACTTAGTCCAATCCAGTCCAGTCCAGTGAGGCCTACCAAACATGAATACGCCGGGGTATAAAATTTGGAGCATTGTTTATCCATGAGCCCCGGAGGGATCAATAATCCAATGGTGAATCCAGTGGGTGAGGGTGCACCAAGACTGACTAGGGTGGGGTGCTTGTGTTGCTGGCAAGGATGAGCTAAGGGATAAGAGGGGTTTGGTAATATAAGTTGGTGAGGGAAAGAAAGTGGGTGGAAAGGAGAAGTGGAGCTGTTTGACGTGGAAGGAAGAGGAACATTGCTTTCATTTGTGGAGTGAGTATGAGACTCAGAATGTCAAGAAAAATGATCAAACGCTTGGCTTGTTTTCTTGTCTGATATCATGCCAAATTTCCTCATGGTTTGTGTCTGTTGAGCTCTGTAATGAAGTAATGATAGCTGCATGAGTCTGAATGAAAATAAATAAATAATAAACTTCTCTGACTATGACTTAATCCCATGAATAGGCCTAAATAAAATCAATATGATGCAGGTGCATGATCAGCAAATATATAGCCACACAGAACTTTATACTTTCCAACACATGCTTTGGTTAAATACATTTTATTAGTTATAAAAAATCAGATTGACATTGCTTTTTTCAATGAGGTTGGGTGTTAGGTAGGCTGGATTTTTGTTTTAGCCCTTCTAATTATCCAGGTGCAGTATTTTGACTGTATTCTACTTACCTATGTTTATATTCAAAATAATGCACCTAATCAATGTACTAAGTATAATATATTTGGCTGTTATTCCGAATCTGTTACCACCGTCAGTTTCATAGAACAAGCAAAATCATCCTTCTGGAAAAGCTCTCTGAGTTACTTTCCAATGCAAAAAGAAATGTTCTGCAACTGAAATCCCACTCATTTCTGTTTGCTTGATGTTGATGTAGGGACCTTTTTTTTTCCCCTTAATTCTTTGTTTTCTAATTTGATTAGTTTGCTTCACGCATCAAATCACTCTATTTTTAGCTTGTTAAAGAAAGAGTGGCAAACAATCTAAACAGGTGAGGATGAATTTACTTTGTAATTCAAATTTGTTTTTAGTACAAGCAATTAGGGGAGGGGGATTTACACAAATATTCATTGAGTGTCTGGGGATTTCAAACCTCTGCCCGCATGAGTGGAGGTGAAAGAGCTCGACCAACTAAGTTATACTCCATTGACAAAAATACATAATTAAATATTTTTGACAACAAAATCCACTTAAAAAAAACCATTATTCATATTTCACCCACTTATTTGTTAAATTAATATAAAGGCAATGTACTATATATCTTTTGGATTGTGAATAAAATCTCCACAAATAAAATACAAAAAAGCCTTGAGGTTACTTTGTTTGACTGCAACGAAAAACAAGACACATGTTAGCCATTTTGGCTGCTGTTACTGCATGATAAGTACGTGTCAGAGAAACGGCCCCTCTCTTTCTCTGTTTTCTAATGAATAAAGGCAAACGCTCCCTCCATTGAAAGGCACATCATCACCTTCTCAAGTTTCACAATTCTTAGTTTATCTGCACATCTTCTCTTCTCTAATGGCTTCCATCACCAAAGAATTAGCCTTCAAGGGCTTTCCTTTCATCAGAATTTACCAAGATGGAAAAGTTGAACGCCTCATAGAGTCTCCACATGTGCCTCCATCTAATCAAGACCCAGAAACTGGTGTCTCCTCCAAAGACATCACAATCTCACACAACCCCAGCATCTCAGCTCGCCTTTACCTCCCAAATCTCTCTCAAAACCAAACCCAAAAGCTCCCCATCTTGGTTTACTTCCGTGGAGGAGCATTTTGCATTGAGTCAGCCTTCTCACTCCATGCCCATTGTTTTCTCAACCGCTTGGTCTCAGAAGCCCAAGTTGCAGCTATCTCTGTTGAGTACAGGCTTGCCCCAGAAAACCCACTTCCTCTTGCTTATGAAGATTCCTGGGCTGCTCTTCAATGGGTTGCTTCTCACTCAAACAACCAAGAATTAGATGGCAAAAAAGACCCATGGCTAGCCAAATTTGGAGATTTTGACAGATTGTACATTGGTGGTGATAGTGCAGGTGGCAATATTGCACATAATTTGGCTATGAAGGCAGGACTGGAGAGCTTGCGTGGTGGTGTGAGAGTTTTGGGGGCATTTCTGTCCCACCCTTATTTTTGGGGGTCCAAGCCAATTCGGTCAGAGCCTAAAGGAGAAGACTTTGAGAAGACTCTGGAGTATAAAGCTTGGGACGTTGTTTATCCATCAGCTCCTGGAGGGATTGATAATCCAATGGTGAATCCAGCGGGTGAGGGTGCCCCGAGCCTGGCTGGACTTGGGTGCTCTAAGCTGCTTATGTGTGTTGCAGGCAAGGATCAGCTGAGGGATCGAGGGGTTTGGTATTGTGATTTGGTAAGGGAAAGTGGGTGGAAAGGAGAAGTGGAGCTGTTTGAAGTGGAAGAAGAGGAACATTGCTTTCATCTCGGGAGTGAGACTGAGACAGAGAATGTTAAGAAACTGCTCAAACGCTTGGCTTCTTTTCTTGTCTAGTATTATCACGCTGGTTTGCTCATGTGTTTAACTGTTGACCTCTGCTTTGATCTGTGTCTTTGGTGTTTAAAATAAAATAAATAAACTTGTTTTGCTATGAGTTTAATCCCATGAATACAGAAGATAGAATACATAAAACTAAATATGATATGCAGGCAAGAGGAAAAAAAGAGAGGAGATTTGGTGATCTGTGCTCTCCCAAAGCGCTGAGATGTATATAATATGAATGAAGTGAATGATTACTTTGTTAACCATGTGTTTCAGTTAAGAAATTGTTAAGTCATCATGTGCAGCTCATGTGCTCTCTGTTAAGTCTGTTAGTGAGAGTTAGCTGTATTTGTTAAGTCTGTTAGAGTGATATTAGGAGATAAGTACTGTACTGAAGCTGAGCTTTTATTTTTCCATTAATCAAGATCTGAAATACAGAATATACAGCTATTTTCCTTCTTGCTTCCTCTCTACCTTCTTCTATGGAAATCCCTAAATCTCATCCTCTTCTTCTTGTTAAGATGGTATCAGAGCCCATCGTGGCTTGACACTTTCGATCCGCTTCCGATTTTTCTGAACTATCTCTTCGTTGTGCTCTTCTCTTGCTCTGTCTCTATTGTTCTTTCCTCTTTTCTGTCTTTTCTCTAATTTCTGTTCATCAATGGTGTCTTCTTCCTCTTCCCCTTCAGTCAAAATTGACGGTTTGCTTGGGATGATTACTCTTCGTCTCAAGGACGATAATTTTCTCAAGTGGAGTTTTCAATTGGAATCCGTTCTTCAGGGCTATGATCTTTTTGGGCATTTTGACGGAACTGATATTGCTCCTCCTCGCTTTGCTATTGTTGATGAGGTGGGTGTTACATCTGAAGTTACTGCTTACAAGGATTGGATTCGCACTGATAAGGCTTTACTCAGTTTGCTCATTGCCACTCTCTCTGATGAGGCCATAGAGTATGTTATTAGCACCAAGACTGCTCGTGACGCCTAGTTAAGTCTTTCTGATCGTTATGCGTCGATTTCTAGGGCACGAATCAATCATTTGAAGACTGAATTACAGACGACCCAGAAGGGTGGAGACTCGATCGAGCGCTTTCTCTTGCGTCTGAAAACGGTCCGTGACCAATTAGTTCAAGCTAGGGTTAAGGTGTCTGACGATGACTTTATGATTGCTACTCTTAATGGCCTCCCTCAGGAATATGACTTGATCAAGATGGTTTTGATTGCAAGGGATACTCCAATTTCTTTGAAGGATTTTTGCGCTCAATTGCTAGCTGCAGAAGCTCGATTGGTTCCTCACTCTGCGATGTTTGTTACTCCGTCGTCTTCGTCATATGCTTCTGTGAATGCTATGGGCCTTTCTAATTCTGGTATGGGTTTATTGCCTACTCCATCTTCTTTACCAGTTGCCTATATGGGGTCCTATGATTGTTCTGTTCTGCCTTCATTAGATCGCAATTCTGGTTCAAGACCTGTTCTTGGTAACAATGGTGGTTTTAGTCGTTTTAATGATCATCAACATCACAGTTTTGGCAATAGCCAGCATGGAGGTTTTTTTGGTTTTCCTAATCATTCTGGTTCTGGAAGAGGTAGATTTCAAAGCAAAGCCTCTCCTTCATCTTTCTCAGGAAATCGATTTGGTTCCAATTCTTATCAGAAATCTGCAGTTGTTCCTGAATGTCAAATATGCCGCAAACGGGGTCACACGGCTGCTAATTGTTATTTTCGCCATGAGGCAAGCCCTTCTAGGCATGGGTCTCAGGTTATTAAATGTCAAATCTGTGGTAAGAAGGGTCATGGAGCCTTGGATTGTTTCCATAGATCCAACTATGTTCATCAGGGTCAAGCTCCTCCTTCCAACCTTTCTGCTATGACTGCCCAAACTTCCTATGTGCCTGATTAAGTCTGGATTGCAGATAGTGGGGCTTCTCATCACATGGTGTCTGATATTTCCTCATTAAATCATGTTGCTCCTTGTGAATCTACAGAGCAAGTGATTGTTGGTAATGGAGAAGGTTTGAAAATTAAACACATTGGTACTACTGCCATTGCCTGTGCTTCTACTTCTCTTAAACTGCCATCAGTATTTCATGTTCCACAGTTATCTGCTAATCTTTTGTCTGTGCATCAGCTGTGCAAAGATAATAATTGTGTTATCAGCTTTGATGCTTCTGGTTTTGTGACACAGGATTGAGTCACCAAGAAAATCCTTCTAAAAGGTCGGAGTAACAATGGATTGTATCCAATTCCCTCTGTTGTATCCTCTCATTGCTTGTCCAAGAAAGTAGCTTTGCTTGGTCAACATGTTAAGTCTTCCATTTGGCATCACAGACTTGGCCATCCAACAAATGAAGTGATGCAATCAATGCTTAAAGCCTCTGGTTTGCAGTGTGCAAGTGACTCTTCCAATTCGAATCCCTTGTGTTCAACTTGTCTTCAAGGGAAGATGCATCGGCTTCCATTTCCTATTAGACATAGTAGGTCTGAAATTCCTTTTCATACAGTTCATAGTGACGTATGGGGACCTTCTCATTACAAATCTGTTGAGGGTTACAGATATTTTGTTTCCTTCCTTGATGAATGTACTGGATATTTGTGAGTTTATCCCCTTTTCAATAAATCAGAAGTTTTCTCCAAATTCCTACAGTTTCATGCTTTGATACAAAATCAATTCAGTGCTGCTATTAAGTGTTTTCAAAGTGATGGTGGTGGTGAGTTTCTTAGCAAGGTTTTTACAGATTTTTTGGCTTCCAAGGGAATTGTGCGTCGTTTGTCCTGCCCTTATACTCTGTAGCAGAATGGACTGCTCATGGCCAGCCGTGGCGTCCACCAGTTGGTCAATTCTTGGTAGTGGAAAGCTATCCTTCGGACATGCTTAGTTCAGATCGGTGTAATCCTGGCACATTCGCCAGGCGCCGCCGAATTTCTTCACCAAAACTGAGTTAGCGAGCCAAATGGGGTAGGTGACGTCTCGGATGAAGACGATTGCCTGAAGCTTGTCTACTTCGGTCTTCATGGCCTCGTATCGTTCGGCGTCATAGGATCGTCTCTTTTGTTGGACTGGCTTGAAAGAAGGGGAGATGCTGAGCTTGTGGCTGATGACGTCCAGAGAGATACCAGGCATATCGTTGTAAGACCAAGCGAAAACTTCCGAATTATCCCTAATAAAGGTAATGAAGATTCGGACCGAGGGAAGTGCCGATTCGAACCTGCCGATCTTGTGTGTCGGAGATGGAGATCGTTTCGAGCTCTTCGGCAGGTTGAGCTTGCGGAGTGACGTTGTCATCCCAGTTGCTTGGGCGTTCGGCATGCTTGGACGGGTAACGGCCCTGACGTCCGGGTTGCCGATTCCGCCGTAGATGACACGTAGCATATCCGCGCGCCCAGTTGGTCCCCTCGAACTTGATCGACTCCTGAGTGTGTTGGGAATTTGAGCAGCAGCATATGTGATGACAAAATGGCTTTCATTCGGTTGAGGGCGGGCTTGCCGATGATGGCGTTGTATGCGGTCGGACAGTCAACTACCAGGAAGTGAGTGTAGATGAAATGAAACGACCTGACCCAATTTCCACTTTGGAATCCGGGTCGAAACCTGTTTAAAACTGACACCTGGTAAATGTGGGTCGTAAATGACCAAAATATCCTGAAAACAAAAGCACAACTGAGGGACTCTGATTCGTGGTTGCACCTGATAACTGTAGGCTGCCCGCGTACCCTTTCTGAGGGATCAAGCCACACGTAGTTCTTTCCTCTGTTCCTGATCTGCAATTGATTTGTTTATCTATAACTGGTTTATTTATTCGTAAAACTCGTTCTATGGCTGACATTCCTGGAGTAACCAGGACTCCGTTTTACAATTCGTCAAATACTATAGGATCCTGGCCAAGTCTAGATTAACACACTTGGAATTAACTACGATCCAACGGTTCAAACGTATTGAACCCGGAACTCGCACAGTAGGCGAGATCCGTTCGGGGTTCAAACGATATCCGACTTAAGCTCCGTGAAATCCTACACGCCTGTGAGGACTAAGAGATCATTCTAGGACTGACTGTAGTCCCCACCCTACTACCCACGCGCCACCACACGCGCTAGCAGCGCGTGGTGCCTAAAGCGATAACGCCTTGCGGGAAAAACTCAACATTTAGGCTCAAGACTCCTATCCTAGGTATAACACCCCATTTGGAGCCACTTTTGTTCTTGGACCTGCCCCAAAAACTGACCGGAAGTGGCCGAAACAGTGACCCGAAAATTGGCTAAAACCTAACTCGTAAATCGAGCTATCTACGCTAGAAATTTCTGAAATCCTACTAAACCCGCAGCTAGAGCATGAAAAATAGCTAGAAAAACATACCTCACTCGTCCGATTTGGTGGCCGGACGACGGAGAACGAACGCTTGGAAGTTCTGTCAAAAATTGACCAGCACCGCCTGTTTCGTGGCTGTTTCCAGAGACTGGCGGCGGATCGGGGCGGCGAAAGGCTGGGGCTGGAATAAGGAGGTGTCTGCGAACTCGTTTCGTCGCGCTCTACGCAACGGTACAACTGAAATCCCTAAATTCCTTCCCGGTCAAAAAGTCAACTTTTAAACCTAATAAAATATTCTAGGAGTATAAGTGTATTTTACCAGAATAAATCAATAATTAAATATTAATTAAGGACTTGGTTGTTACATGAAAGCCCTTCTGGGGCCGGAGCCGATGTTTAGGGGAAGCTGGAGGCTCCCGATTGGCTCGACCACATCGCCCGAGAAGCTTAGAAGAGGAGTGATCTCCTTGTTGAGGTTTTGATGGTCGATTCTGAGGCCATTGAAAGCATCGGCAAAGAGTACGTTGACCGAACTTCTGGTGTCGATGAGGATTCGGCCTACGTTGAAGTCGGCAATGTCTGCTCGAATGATCATGGGATTTGAATGGGGGAAGATGATGCCCTTCTCTTCTTCTTCGGAAAAGGTGATGGGTTCCCATCCGAGTCGACGGATTTTGCTGCTGCGCTCCTCATTGAGGCTGAGGACCTGAGGGTGCCAAACGGCACGTACGTAACTCTTGACGGACCGACGGCTGGAGTCAGCGATCGGTGTACCGCCGCTGATCATGTTGATCTGCCGATTCCCCTAGTACTTGGGGCCCGATTGCGCATTCAGATACTGGTCTAGTTTGCCCTCGCTGATTAGTTTCTCAACGATCTTCCGGAGGGCAATGCAGGACTTGGTATCGTGGCCATTATATTGGTGGTATCGGTAGAAGACTCCGGTATCATTGTCGACTTTCCAAGGGAGCTTCCGGAGGCTTGGCTTCGGGATCATCTGATTTTCGGCCATGAGGACATGTTCGTAGGTCGAGTTGAGAATGGTGAAGACCTCCGGCGGTCGGTCACTTTTGGTGCTTCGGAAGTTTCGGCCACCTGACTCCTTATTGCGTTTGCCTCCGTCCTGCCGACCCTGGAACAAGTCCCTTCACTTGTCCCCCGTTGTGCAAGGTGGGGGCACAGTGGGTGCCGTTCGGTAGGGAGCTTGATTAGTGGTCTGGTGTGGCGGGAAACGGTCATAGGTGGATGCCGAAAGCTGTCCTGTGCTTGTCGTCGGGCCAGGAGATGCCGAAGGCATTCATTTCGAGTTGAAGTGTTCGACCTTGGCGTGAATGGCTGCGTGCTTCATGAGTTCGCCATAGGTGGTCCAATTGCTGCTGTGTACTAGGTAGCGAAATTGGGAGGCTCGGAGACCACTTTTGAAGGCGCCGAAGGCTGCTTGGTCATCGATTTCTGGGCACCGAGAGTATTCGTGGCTGAATCTAGTTGCGTACTCCCGAAGGGGCTCACTGTCTCCTTGCCGAATGGTGTAAAGGTCGTCGGCAGAGTATAGACGATCATTTTGTACCATAAAATGATTGAGGAAAATTTGCTTTAACTAGTCGAAAGAGTCTACTGTACCTGGTTCCAGCCGATAGAACCAATTCAGAGCTGCCCTGGCCAAGGTAGATGGGAACAACAGGCATTGGCCTTCATCGGTGAGTCCCTTGCAAACCAAGGCCGATTGAAATGTGTAAATGTGGGTGACGGGGTCTTCCACTCCCGAGTAGAATGAGATTCGGAGGGCCTGTATCTCTTTTTCAGGTAGATAGAATCAGTGATGTCTGCCGTTCCCGTCGTCGGTCGTTGATTCTGTCGCGGCAGTCGGAGTAGAATTGGTATTCCCGGTGGTTCTCTGTCGAAGTTGGCACGAACAGTCTTCTGGAGGCAAACGGTTCGCCCTGAGCTAGCCGCTTTCCAGCATTTCGATCGTTAGGCCTTGGTACGCTCTTTAGTAATCGTTCCTGCCGAAGCTGCGTGGTTTGTTCCAAACTATCTTGCAGTTGGGCCGAACGTGATTGTTGCTCGTGAAGCTGTTTCTGGTGTCGTCCAGTTTGGAGGAGATGATATTGTTATGCTCCTGCATCCTGGTCATTTACCACTACAGGGCTTCCATCTTATCTTCCAAGGTGCTTTGCCGACCAGGCGTTTCCACTCGGGGTGTGCCGGGTGGCACAACAGGGTTCTCTCGGTCGGCGAGGCCGAGGATGGGACCGTCGGCCGCAAGGGGCGAAGGCGGGTTCATAGTTTAGAAGTGAAAGGGAGATATGGGCTGATTGTCAATCGGTTTCCCACAGACGGAGCTAATTTGTTCGCGCTAAATCTGAACATATAAGAGTTTAGGCTAACTTACAAGTATGCTGATGGTTGAGGACCGGGGTGACCTTCTTCCGTGATGTCCGAAGGTTCGAGCGGGGGCTGGATCCGAACTGAGGAGAGGATACCGGTGTGGTACCTGCTGAAGGCACTCCGTTGCCAAAGTTAGTAACTAAGAGCGATTCTATTGACAGTGGAAGCACTAGTCAAGTCAGAAAGTCTTACCACTTGGTCGGGCCAAGGGGCACTATTTATAGAGAGCATTTGTGATGCTCTTAGTACTCAGTTTTGATGTGGGACTAGTGGGAGAGTCTTCTGAGATCGACACGTGCTCTGACAGGTTTTGGTAGGAGTTCTGAGACGACCTGTCAGAGTTGGATTGATGTGACCGTTGGTCGCTCGGCACACCATGCCGAAAGTTGGCGTGGGTAGCTGATGGACCGTAGTTGATCCTAGAATCGGTAGAGAATGCTGAAGGAACATTCGGCATGGCCTACTTGAGCTGCTCACGGCTTTAAGTGTGTTCCACGTGTCACGACGCGGGTGGGTGGTCAGATATGGTACAAACAAATCACAATATCAACAAATTCGTATAGGAACAATTATGATAGGAATAGCTGGACTCACTAGAGCACAAGTAGGACCTAAAGCACTAGTATGCATATATGATGACAAATGGGATAACCATCAACAAGTAGCTATAGCCACAACAGAAGTAGATCTTAGCACAAACGTAGCAGTTATAGGATGTATTCCTAATTACAATACCAAACACCTCAATCCCTCAAACAAGCAGCGGAGAGCACCCAAGCCCAACAAGGCTTGGTGTACCCTCACCCACTGGATTGATAATTGGATTATCAAGTTCTCCAAGAGCTGATGGATAAACAAAGTTCCAAAGTTTAAAACCCAAAGTCTTCTCAAAGTCTTCACTTTTAGGCTTTGATCCAATTGGCTTGGAACCCCAAAAGCAAGGGTTGGACAAATATGCCCTTAGGATTGGTCCCCAACTTAACCATATGTTTAGCAAGTATAGAGTTTTATACAAAAGTCCTCGATGTTATTAGGAGTGGAGCCATTTATTATATGAGACTTTCTATTTTGTTAAGTATGTAATGTGGGACTCTGTGTATTTTTCAACATTCCTCCTCACGTAGGACCACTTTTTAGTGGGCCACAAGTGCAACCAATTCCACAACAGTCACCTATTTTTGTCCTTTTTCTTTTTAATAAAAAAATTGGGGTTTGTTTGATTTTTGGTTCAATTTGGGGTTTTTTTTTATTTGGGTTTAATCAGGCCCAATCAACTGGCCCGCTTTGATACCATGTAGGAAGTTGAAGTTTCACCCTAAAACCTTATTAGCCATTTCAAGGTTTGTTAGTTTTCCAATGTGGGCATTTTCACCTTCACATTCTCACAAGTCCCCGAATTTTTCAAGCCTAACATGGGGACAACACATATTGGCTGACATGGAGCACGTGTAGCCGTTGCGCATTTCCACATGGGCAAACCATTTTTTAATATCATGAAGGAAGTTGAGGTTCCACTCCAAACCAATTGGCATTAGAGCTTGGTTTTCCCACGTGTAGACACAATTGATGTGTTGTGCTCATTTCCTATGGGTCTTCTATTTTGTTTTTTTAGTTGTTTTTTATTCTCTTGTTTGTTGAAAGTTCTCACACCCCAAAATCAAGACAAGTGACAGCGGCACGTACCTTGAGGACCCAGAAAATATAACATCCAAATCCCTAGAGTTATACTCCCCAGATTCTCAAAATACGTTAAGCCATTTATTTAATTAAAACCGGTTGGATCAGAGTCTTTAATAGCAACAGTAAATAAAAATATTAAACAAACTTGATTAAACAGGAACCAAGCCCAGAGGTTGTGAATAGCGCAAGAAACCTCAAAAGTTTTTTTACAAGCCAGAAATTAAAATACACACCAACTAATCCTTTATTTATAGACAGAGGAGGGACATGAACAACAAGCACACTCAGCTCCAAGGAGAGGAAATCACAACCCATCGAAGAATGACAAGGAACAGGAACAAGTTGTTGACAGGTCTAGAAACAACGCCAAAGTGACGCTAAAGGATTTTGATCTACAAGGAAAAGTAGGGGTGAGCATCACATACGTTCATCTGCCCAGCATGGGGGTCTCCTGACCAGGTTCGAAAATAGATAACGAAAATACTATAATATTATTTAAGAAAAACAATGAAAAGATTATGCACAACCCAAACCATTTCCATGTAAATATAGGATCCAAAACAGTTGGCATGCTCACACAACTTTGGCAAACGTTTTTCGGGAGCCCAAATATGTTTGTTAGACAACCGATTCCAATAGGCCAACTACCCTTATCAGAAATAAAAATATAACCCACTTACTTGGTACGGTAGCGAGAGTGTCCATTTAACGGGCTACACTACTTCAACTAGAACTCACATGTAGGGTATTGGAAAAGTCAGTATGTGTAGCCCTTTCAAAGGTTTAAGGGATCGAATGTAATAACCCAAACCTTAATTAATATTTAACTATTAGTTTATTAAGGAAAAATGACACTTTTGCCCTTAGACTATTTTTAGTAATTAAGAAGTTGACTTTTTGACTGGAGATGAATTTGGAAATTTTGTTTGCACAGTTGCGTAGAGCGCGACGAAACGAGTCCGTAGACACGTAGTGTGCTCGATTTGGAGTTATAAGGAAGAAAATACGGTCAAAATACTTCCAAGGGCAAAATGGTAATTTTCGAGATCAGGATTGTTTTTTTAACCACCGACTTTCTCTCTCCTGCCTCACTCTTCTTCCTCACGACACAGCCCCCCCCCTCCTATTTCAACCCGCCACCTTCTCTCCTCCATAACCACCGCCACACTCCACTCCGGCCGACGAGACCGGACCCAATCGAACCACCGCCGCTTCCTCTTCCAAGTCCGACCAAGCTCAGCCGTAACCACCGCCAGCAGCCACCGGAAAACGCAGAAAATCGTGCGGGTTTTGACAGATTTTCTCATCGCTCGTTCTCCCTCGATTCTCCACCAAATCGGACGAGTGAGGTATGGATTCCTACCTATTTTTCGTGACTTAGCTACTGGTTGGGTATGATTTTAGAAATTTCAAGCGTAGATCGTTCGGTTCTCAACTTAAGTTTCAGCCGGTTTTGAGGGTAGGATTCCGGCCACTTCCGGTCACTTTTTGGGGTAGGTCCAAGAACAAAAGTGGTTCCAAATTGGGTGTTTTATCTAAGTTAGGAGTTTGGGCCGGCGGTTTGGAGTTTTTCCGGCCACCGTAAATTTCTCAAGCCACCCAAGCTGCCAGCGCGTGTGGCGGCACGTGGGCAGTCTGGAGGGGACCACTCTCAGTTTCAGATTGATCCTCGTATTCTCACGAGCGTGTAGAAATTCACGGATCTCAATTCGGACGTCGTTTGAGTGTTAAGCGGACTTTTACTTTGTGTGCGTTATCCGGGTTCAATAGTTTCGAACCGTTGGATCGTGATCACTTTCAGATATGTTAATCTAGACCTTGCCAGGATTGTGTAGGATTTGACGGATCGTGAATCGGAGTCCCGGATACTCCGAAATCGTAAACCCTAAGGTTAAGGGTTTAGAATCGTCGATCGTGTGATCGTGACGAATCTAACCATCCGATCGAAACCAGATTCACGGGACGAAGGTCCTAGGATTAAAGGAACGTAATGTGGGCATATGAATAACTTTAAATTGATGCACGCACTTTTAGAAGCCGGGGGTCAGGGTTTTATTTAAATATTTATATCGAGCAGTTGTATTAATATATTTTATTATGGTATTTGAATCAGGCACTCGGGCACCAGTCGACCCGCAGGAGGGACCTTCCAAAGGTCCAGCGAGCTCGAACCAACCGTGAGTGGACTCTTTGTTTTCATAAATGAATTTATGCAATTTAGTTTCAGTATTTGATCTTGAACAAGTTTCATTCAAAGAATAGTATTTTATAAGTGAGACATGCTTTTAAATATTATAATTTGCATGCTGCCGAGTGGAATATCCTTTAGGGATATAGAGAAAGAGAATTTTGTTAAACATCAGATAATTGGCAGCAGAGTTCAGTCTTAACGGAAATTCAGTTATTTATCAGATCTTTCAAAACTTTGCTTATTATTATTGTTATTGTTATTTTCTAAGCCACCTTAGGTACCCAGATATACAGATGTTGCCTTCGGATATGATGATGTCCACGGACATCCAGGTTGCCTTCGGATTTTATTAGTTGCCTTCGGTTTAGTCAGCATGCTTGACAGCTGCCCACGAGTTCTATGGTACCCGGACTCGTGTGGAGCGAGGACGCGGATCAGGTTGACCAAGGTCCCCTGAATCCTGCGAGGTTGCAGCTCGGATTGACTTTGTGTCACCGAGACTTGCGAGGACGTGTCACCAATGGTGATGCGAGGGGAATTGACGGATATCAGGAATTGACGGAAACAAAGGGGTACACCTAAGTGGTAGTTTTAAAACTGATTTCAATGCTTTTAAGAGATTGATGTTGACCATGAGCATGATTGGCATATTTATATATGTATATATGAGTGCATTGGTTTCAGTACGTATATACAGAAGAAAATGATTTAGTTTTTATAACTGCTTTTACAGTGGGGTTAGTATGTTCTTATGTATTTTCTAAACTTTGTTTTTGGGTCCACTCACCTTTTTAATGTTTTGCGCCCCAAGGCTGTAGACGTGCATTCGAGAGCCACCACAAGGCATTTCCCGCTTCCCGCTCTTCCCCGTTTTGATGTAGGGTTCCTTGGTTCACAAGTGGTTACCTTCATTGTAAATAAATCTGTATAGTTGCTCTGACAATGCCCTGGAACGTATTTAACTGTTGGAACTTACTTATTTTTGTATACTGGCAGTTGGTGTGTATATTTAAGTGCTTGTTGACAGGTGTAAATTTTGGGAACGTTTGTTTTACAGGGGAGACTGCCGAATTTTCGGTAGAAGTCAGGATTTAAGGGAATTAAGTTTCTAATCAGAAAAAGGGCAACCAAGTCAATTGTGCTCGGCACCCGCCAGGTGTCGATCACGAACAGGGTTCGGCTCGGATTCCAAAGTGGAATTTGGGTCCTGTCATCGAAACCCAGGGAAGTCACTATTCCCCCTTCACCTTCAGGTCGTCAAGGATAATGCCGGCATGCGTATACCCTCCAAAACTTTTGCACACAACAATATTTACTATGTTATACATACACAAAAATACGAGTCCGGGAGTGAGTCCCCCTACCTGAAATCCAAAGCTCAAGCTTGACTTGCCCTCTGCGCCTTTGAGTTCAGCTTGCCTTACCTGCGAAACTGAATCCTAGTCCAACATTTAAAAATGTTACTAAAAATTCCTTATTTATACTTAATTCCTTGTACTTGTGTTTATTTTCACTTTGGTCTTTATATTTATTTAAATTGCACTTTGGTGCTTTAATTGTGTCCAAATTGTCATTCGGTCTTCATTTTGTCCAATAATTGTTCATAGTCCTTGAAATCTCAGGTAATTGTAATACAGTTCAAAATGTCCAAAAGTCCTTCCAAGTTCCATCCCAGGTCCAAAAACGGTCAGTTCACGGTACGGTAACGTTAAAGTCCAAATAGTTTAATATTGTTCATACATATGGACCAAAGGAAATAAGTATAATTGGGTCTGGTAATAATAGTCTAAGGAAAATGGGAAATATCCATCAGAATGTTTTGATCAGAATTTAAGTAGGCAGAATAACACTTTAGAAAGGAAATGAATAAAGGATGAGGTAAGGGAAAAAAATTACCTCGGTAAAATACTGTGATGTGTACCCCCGAGTGAAAGTTGCATGAAATTATGAATAGTGACCAAGAGGATCGATTATGGAATGAATAATGATTTCTGATGAATACTGTTTTGGGTAAAAAGTATCGTGAGATTAATAGTAACTTCCGAGAAGGTGGTTATGGTGGAGGAGAAAGAAAGGAATAGAGGGAGGAAGGTTTTGGGGAGTTTAGGTGTGAGGAAAATGAATTGGGGAAGTGGTATTTTTAGAATACTCAAAACGGTTTGCATTAATTTGAATATTTAATTCAAATGTCTAGATTGAAAGTTGAGTTTTGGTAATATATGGGAAGGAGCATGATAGTTCATAGATGGATGGTCCGTATACATTCCCAATTACCTATCTAATAGCCCATACCAAATTAGAAGTCTTTGATCTGATCTTATGGTCCACATCTAATAATCCTAGAATATATCAAAGGTCTAGATTAAGTAATCTCACAAAATAGTACTATATAACCTAATTGCAGTGGCGAAGCAAGGATTTCATGTATGTTGGGGCCTCTTACAAATTATAAAGAATAAAAAATTCGAACTCACAATACATACGGAAAAATAGTATATATATATATATATATATATCTCTCACATATATCAAGAATTATATTTGCTTATTGGTTGCAATCATAATTGTCTTCGACAAACGGATAGACAAATACAATATAAGCAAGAAAAATTGCAAGAGATAGACAAAGAGTAGATTTAGCAAATATTTTTAAAGCTTTTTCGCCCCATTAAACCCAATAGAAAGAAAAAATCAAAATTTCTAAACTAAAAAAAACCTTAGGTCCCTTCATGCTTTCATATCATACATGAAAAAATGTTTTATGTAAAAATATTGACTAAGTATGAAAAATGATTTTTCGGAATAATCATTTTCTCAAGATAATTTTTGGCGGCTTTTATTCCTTACACATCAAATAAGAAAACTTTATTTTATGAGATTTTAGTATGAAGTATATATTGACTTGACGAACAATCGTTTTTAGCCTAAATCATATTTTGTACTAAAATCGATTTTTCATATGTGGGTACATATCATTGTGCTTTAATAGGTCCGCCATAACACATGTGGGTACATATCAAAACATAAAGTTCTTGAAATATATGTAAATATAAAAAAACATAACAATATATAAAAAAAAAAAAAAAAAAAAAAAAAAAAAAAAAAAAAAAAAAAAATAAGAGGCCCGGGACCACATTGGTCTCAATGTGGCTCCTCCCCTGCCTAGTTGTACCTCAAAAAATATTTGAACTCAATCATTGATGGACCAACCAATCACTAGTTGCCATGTGGTTCAATCACACACTGCCATGTGGTGGTTATTATTTCGTTTTTCTTATTTTCCAACTTCGCAAATCTACCAAAAATACTTCCGACTTCCGAAAAATTCTCCGAGAAATACCAAGCTCGTATCGACCTCTACTAATTTTCTATGAAGTTAAAACACCAAAATTCTAACTTCAAATTTGTAAGAAATAATTTATTCTCAAATAGAATAATGGTAATTACTTGTGAAAAAATATCCACTTACCTCAAATAGGATTGTGTGTATTTTTCAGGGGCTCACAAAAGTGGCCTAAGTCGGACTCTCTTGTTAATCCATGGAATATATGGTACTCTTTCCTACTATGGGGTTTGTCCCATGTGGTTTTCATCGGAATGTTTTAACGATGCCACTGTATTCGTGCTGATCTTTGTATGTCTTTGTTAGTTTATGAATGACATCTTCTTTCTAAAAAAAAATAAAAAAATAAATCCGTTTATAATTCAAGGACAATTCGATAATTAACCCTAGTTAATCAACAACAACCCGATTTTTAGAATTGTTCTTCTTTGAGTTGAAAATGTTATATCGTTGACTTCAAAAAAGAAAATAAAACAAAAAGACCTAAGTTAAGGAAACTGAGGATGAGAGTCCATCTCCTTTCATGAATGTATCATATAGGCCAACAGCAATATTCGGTTTAGCTTAATTAAATCTGTTTTGTCTTGTTCGGATTTTAGTGTTTGGATTGGGAAGGGTTATCGCATTTACTCCTCCAGCAAAATGTAATTAAAACAAAATTATCCAATGGTGTAAATAATAAGAAAAAAAAAACTTAACTGTTTTTGTATAATGCGGATAAGATTAAAATTTGACCTGAACTTGCTCAATAACAACAGATATAATCTTATTATGTTTAAATAAAAACCCAAAATCCAATTTGAGTTAAACTTCATCCGGATATCAAAAGCTATTAGGATTTTAATTAGATTTACAAATAGGGATAAGATTACAGGTGGGCTCCACCTCTATTAGAGAAGTGATACACAATTTGGAATAAAAATGTAGCAGCCAAGTATAGACTCTCATTATCTAACAAGTACTAGTAATCCTGCTAGACATAGGAGGTTTTGCACTATAAATATCTCATCAAACCCACCTAATTTTGCACGCTTAATTCCATCGATCCTTCCAAGTTGTTTTCTCTTGTTCAATTTTTATTGCTTCAAGTAATTTTCTTAGCTTTCTTTAGATTGATCTTTGAGTGAAAGAGAGAAAGAGTTAGAAGAAGGTAACAATGGCTGGGGGCGATATAGCTCCATCGAGTGGTGGAAAACAATACCCTGGTAAACTCACAGCTAGGGTTCTTATAACATGTATTGTTGCGGCTACCGGTGGTCTGATTTTTGGGTACGACCTTGGAGTTTCAGGCGGTGTGACATCCATGGACTCTTTCTTGAAACAGTTCTTTCCAGCGGTTTACCAGAAAGAGTCTTCGATCAAGCCTTCCGACGATCAGTACTGCAAATTCGACAGCCAGACACTTACACTGTTCACATCTTCGCTATATTTGGCTGCTCTGGTTGCATGCGTTTTTGCATCAACAATAACCAGAGTGTGTGGTCGCAGGCTCACAATGATCTTGGGTGGAGTTCTTTTCTTGGCTGGTGCCTTGGTCAATGCCTTTGCTAATGCTGTTTGGATGCTTTATGTTGGTCGTCTACTTCTTGGTTTTGGTATTGGATGTGCCAATCAGTCTGTGCCGATCTATGTCTCTGAAACAGCCCCATCTAAATACCGTGGTGCTCTCAACATGATGTTCCAATTGTCGATCACAATTGGAATCCTTGCTGCTGGTGTGCTTAACTATTTCTTTGCCAAGATCAAAGGCGGTGGGGGGTGGCGTTTGAGTTTGGGAGGTGCTGCGGTCCCTGCCATTATAATCATAGTTGGAGCATTGTTTTTACCTGATACACCAAACTCCTTGGTCGAGCGTGGCAAGCATGAGGAAGCCAAAGCTCAGCTTCTTAAGCTCAGAGGAGTTCCTAATGTTGATGAAGAGTTTAATGACCTAGTTGCGGCCAGTGAAGCATCCAAGTTGGTAAAACACCCGTGGGTTAGCTTGTTGAGCAGGAAATATAGACCCCAGCTTGTGTTTGCAATCGGCATCCCCGCCTTCCAGCAACTCACCGGCATGAACGTGATCACGTTTTATGCTCCTGTCTTGTTTAAAACAATGGGGTTTGGAAGCAGTGCTTCTCTCATGTCAGCTGTCATCACCAATCTCGTTAATGCTTTAGCTACATTTGTCTCAATTCTCACTGTTGATAAGGTTGGAAGGAGGAAGCTTTTCTTACAGGGTGGTTGCCAAATGCTCCTC